ATAGTGGCTGTCCAGTGAGTAGCCCAAGAAATATTAATGATCACATGTTTCAGAAGAATTGGTGTAAAACGGAAGCTCCAAGTCACACTGTACTGCTCAGTGAGCACAGCAGTCTGTGTTAACTGATGTTTGAATGTCAACTACATTTTTATTACTGATGAATTTTGGCTGTCTTATTGACTTCAGTCAATAAAAAAAGGTAGGGGTGGTTGAGCATATTGTCCGGGAAATTTTTAAACCCTCGATCTGAATTAAAGTTTGGTTCAACTGCAAGCAGTGTAGTTGCAGTGATACTCCTGCTGAAGCACTCCGGGATCCCACCCCACATGAAGGGTGCTATATAAATGCAAGTTGTTGTTGCTGTGAAGCTGAAGCAGTGTGAGAATACCGCCTTTAGGAGTGCGAAACGGTTAGTTAAATTGGGATCAGCAGTGTAAAGCCACCAGTAAAATAGCAAATTTTACATTGAATTAAAATTATTATACACAACCTCACAAATAAACGCCTTAGTACTGTAAACAATCTCAGAACGTCTTTTCAGAGTGTGTGGGACACTGTTTGGTGTATTTTTATAGCATTGGTAGCTGAAAATTCTCGAAGTGCAGTGATAGTAATTACAGTCGCATGTAGTGATAGTTTCTTGTAAGCAAACATGTAGCCAATTTGTGCACAACAAAGTATCATAAAGAGCCGTGAGGTGAATGATCAATTAATAAAGGAATGATAATCCTCTGCATCTGATAGAGTGCCTTTCACGTCAGGAGGATGTCTCAAAGTTCTCAAAAGGTGAATAACTTTTTTTGGAGTACCGTTGGCCGGGATACTGGGAGAAACGCTTCTCTTTTCAAAGTGTGACACAGGATCTTTAATGTCCGCCTGAACAGGTAGATGGGACTTTGGTTTAACATCTCACTCGAAGCACAGCACTTCCCACGATGCTGCGCAACTCCTGCAACATATTGGAGTATCACAGATCAGTAACAGATTTCTGTTCGAGAAACTTATTTATGCATTCCTGCAAATAGTGACAGAGGTATTGACAATAGTGACTATCTGTGGAAGAAATGGAAGCTGTTTATAGGTGAAATCAAACAGTGAAGCTCTGTCTTTAAAGAATCCAATCTAATGTCCTGAGCAATCAGCAATAGCTGTGAGAGTAATTATTGTCCTGTTCTAATGAAGTTACTGCCCATTCACAATGGAAATAGAGTCCTGAAGTATTGGCCTTGAAAATGTGCATTCAAAGTCCTGATGTGGGCCTTGAGCCCACAACTTTGTGAGTAAGTGGCGAGACTGCTATCAACTGAGTTGGCACCTGGAGGATCTCTTGCACATGACACTGGGAGAATCTGCCTTCTGTGTATGAATAATGTCATGGGATCATTATCTATGGTCTGTGGACAGACAGACAGACAGGACCGCAGTTTAATGTCTCATTCGAAGGACGGCACCCTCACTCCCCCAGCACCGAGCTGGAGTGGATGTGCCGTCCACTCCAGCAGTGCTGAGGGAGTGGAGTCGAATAATTCACTTTGAAGAGTCACTGTGTCGCAGAATACCTTTTTTTATTGCTTGAACCTGACCTTGCTTTGTATCACATTTGTCACAGTGTTTCCTCAGCATACAGTACTAGCACCATTCCTACAGTGGTTGACCCTGCCTTCTGTGTTTTTTGTAGTTGGCTGTTTTGGTGTGGAGTTGCTCTGAGTTTTTTTCTCTTTGTTTTAAATTGTTGTGGGTAAACTACAAACTGCACTCTTGTGATTTCACAGCCTCTGAGTTTATCAGTAGTTGGTAACTGGATGACTTCTTGCTTTCTGTAGCCTCAATAACTTTCTTTGGTTATTGCTTTTGTGGAGTCATTTCCAATGCGGCATTTTCCTCTTTTATGTTAACTGCTTATTTGCTGGCATGTTTTGTTCAGTGAATGCTTAGGGGTTGTGAAAGTAAATATCAGACCACAGCTACCAAACTACCAAATGGTCTGATAAGTATAGCAGCTAAAACATTTTACTTTACACATGTCTAGTTCTCTACTTCTAATTCAGGCAGGCATTGCTGATTTTATGTGTACCTCAGGGTTTATTTCTCAGCGAAGCCACAACATCAAGTCACTTGTTTTACATATGCATTTGTACTGAATGACCTGAACTTTTCAAGTTTCTAACCTATTTTCTCAGATGGAGAGTTTGTAATGTCCAGGATGTTTTCATACATTCAGTTTTAAATTGTGATGCCCGCAGGGTGCCACATCTTTCACATAAGGTGACCATGTCATAGAACAACTCACATTTTTTATGGCACCTATGGAGCTGGGGATCAGGATCAGGAGTGTGGAGGGCACAGGGAGAAGGAGGGTGATTGAAGGCATGGTGGAAGAGGAGGGTCTTGAGATGGGTCTTGAAACAGGCAAAGGAAGGGGTGAGGTGGAGGGACTGCAGGATGGAGTTCCAGAGGGTGAGGGCAGAGTGGCTGAAGGCCCACCCGCCAATGATGGGGTGGGGGCGGTGGGGGACATGAAGCAGGCTGGAGCCATGCTCACAACTTAAAGCATGTTAAAGAAATGGCTCATCATTTGATTATGGTACAAAAACAAAGGGTATTGGGACTGAGAGCCCTCTTATTTGGATTTATTCAACCATAGCATCATTTGACATTCTCAAGCCTCTCTGGTTGAAGCTTCCGCACAATGTATGAATCTTTTGATGGACTCTCCTATTGCATTGTGAGGATCTGCCATTCAGTGCAGCCTATTGCAAACCTCCACTTATGTCAGCTATGCATTTGTCATCAGAGCACCTGCATTAATTCAACAGGAATTCCTCCTGGATGCTGCTTTCTGAGTTGTGGGCAGGAAGATGGCTGCAGTTCTCTCGCACACTTCATGTTGAGATGTGTTGCTCACCAGGAAACTTGCAGGGAGTTCCTGGTATCTGCCATCCACCTTGTGAGGACTCAAACCTGTGCTTGTCAGATGTCAAATGATCAACTGGTGACTTTCCTACTATGGGTGGGGGGCGGTGGTGGAAACAAACTAATCTGATCTTTTAGGCAATAAAAAGATAACTAAAATAATAAACAAACTTCTGCAATATCCTCATTCATAGAAACATAGAAACAGGAGTAGGTCATTCAGCCCTTCGAGCCTGTTCCGCCATTCTATAAGTATCATGGCTGATCTGTACCTCAAGATCAATTAGTGCCCTTGCCTCGTATCCCTTATATACTGACCTAACAAATATCCATCCACTTCAGTCTTGAACATTTAAATGGATCCAACGTCCACAACTTTTTGGGGAGAGAGTTCCATATTTCCACTACCCTCTGGGTGAAAAATTGCCTCTTAATTTCACTCCTAAACAACAATCACAACAACTTAGATTTATATAGCTCCCTCCATGCCAGATGGCGTCTCAGAGCGCTTCACAGTAAAGAATCCCAGGGCCGAGCCAGGAGGAGGGGGAGGAAGGTGACCAAAGGCGCGGTCGAAAAGAAAGGTCTTCAGCCGAGACCTGAAAGTGGAAAGAGAGGGGGCGAGGTGAAGGGAGTGAGGAAGGGAGCCTCGGGGCATAGTGGCTGAAGGCACGGCTGCCGATGGTGGAGCGGAGGACTCGGGGGACAAGGAGGAGGCCAGTCCCGGTGGAGCGAAGGCAACGGGCACTGTTGTGAGGAGAGAGGAGGTCAGAGAGGTAGGGGGTGCAGAGGAGTGGAGGGATTTGAAGACAAGGGTGAGGATCTTGAAGTCGATCCTCTCTGGGACAGGGAGCCAGTGTAGTCTGGCAAGGACTGGGGTAATCGGGGAGCGGAGTTTGGTGCGGGTAAGAATATGGGCAGCAGAGTTTTGTATGACCTGGAATTTATGAATGGTTGATGGTTTAGTTCTAATTTTAAGATTATACCCCCTTGTTTTGGATTCTCCTACCAGATTAAGTAGTTTCTCTGTAGCTACCCTATCAAATTCCTTTATTATTTCAAAAACCTCAATCAGATCATCCTTCAACCTTCTAAATTCAAAGGAATAGAGACCAAGTTTATACAACCTATCCTCATAATTTAACCCTTTTAGCCCTGGTATCATTCTGGTGAATGTGTGTTGCACCCCCTCCAAAACTAATATATCCTTCCTGAGGTCCGGTGCCCCAAACTAAATGCAGTACTCCAGGTGGGTCTGACTAAGGCTCTATATAGTTGAAGCATCACATTCAGTTTGTGTTATAATAATAATCGTTGCATTTGATATAATAATAGTGTCTTGTCAAGTCATCGAGACGTCTCAAAGCACTGTTAATTGTAAGTGAGGCAGACGATTTGCGCACAACAATATCACACAAACAACCATGAAATGAATGACCAATTTTATCTGGAGGATTATTGGCAAGGACACTGAGAGAAACTCTCCACTTTTCTAACTGTGCCATGGAATCTTTCACGTACACCTGAACATGCAGATGGGATCTCATTTTAACGTCTCATCCAATAACCCAATCTCAGTCAATAATTTTAAGTGATGTATCGTCTTCACACCATGCTGTAAGCCTAGTGTTGACTTGGTTTTTTTTCCAGGCCAAGAGTGTTTGATGTTAATATATGGGAGGAATTGGGAAGAGGTTGTGTGAGCCACTTCCATTTCCATCTTCAGCCAAGAGTTCTACAAGTTGGCTTCTTTCCAGGCAAGAATGATTCACAGTTGCTCTGCCCAGTAATACTGTTGGTAATTTGGCAGAAGGTGCTACCCTCTCATTTACAGTTAAATTTCACCTTGAGGCCACTTCAATAATGAGGGTAATCCACTATTCATACCACTTTTTAGTCTGTTTCAGTCCCAATCTCACTTCGAAGAGTAAAATAGTCCAGTCTGTTAACTTCTTTAATAGCAAGTTTCCAATGTAATTTACAGTTTTTAAGATGAAATGTGGCAGTTTTGTTGGATTTTTCTTTGTGGTGGAATGTTCACTTGGTATGAGACACATACTTAACAGCTCATTTTGTTTTATTTCCAGGATATATGCTCATGAAAGGGTAACCCGTTCCGAAAAACAATTTAGATCTCTTTCAGCATCTCACCGCAAGCTGCTTCCTAACTTCCTCCCCCACGTGAACAAATTGAGGGAATGCATCGAACATAATTATGAGATCCTGAAAGCGATCATTAACAACTGCAACCATATGTTTGAAAATAAGGAGTATGGAGAGATTGACATTGAGGTAATATTATAGGCTATAATAGTAAGATTATAGGGGGTGGGGGAAGTAATCAGTGTTTCCTGGGAGCTGAACTGGTTCCAACATGACATGTTTGGCAACGAAATGTCGGAATCGAGAAACGCCTCTGTGGCGGTTCTGGTATTCTGGTTCTTGAACAAGGTGGGTCCACAGTATTCCAAGGCGTTGCTGATGACAGCACAGCAGCCTGGCTCAACGGTAGGATCTGGAAGGACAGACCAGTCACTGGTGGCAGGGAGTCCTCATTTTATCCCTGCAAACCAAAGCCCTAACGGGTATGGTGGTCCTAGCTGGACAAGCAACGGGTAAACTTGACAGTGCTATGAATGGCAAGCTATGCGGTTTTAGCTGGTTAGACTCCAGCAGTATCCCACGCACACTTTGAGGTCCCCAAAGGTTGGTTCTTGCCAATCTGCACCTAATACTTCCGGAAATAGGTAAGCAGGATGCATCCTCCAGAGAGAGCATGCACATCCCAATAAATATCTCTCAGATTTTCATTTGTAGGTCGAATGGGTGGACCCCCGTTTTGGTTTGGATACTCTTAAGCATGGTGAAGGGTTTCTGCATATGTCGGACACACAGCTGACCATAAAAAAAAACCAAATCGCTACTTTATATCCAGATACCTATCAAGAGTTTTTATTTCCTTTCACGAAAGTTGATAGATTATTGTAATATTTCATTGCCATTTTATTTAATGTGTCATTTATTTTTCTGTTCTTTTCTCCTGTTTGATAATGTCTTGGCTATAATTTGGACAGGGTGATTTGGGACCATTAAAACCAGCGTCCACTTTTGACATGGATAAATTGAAGTCCACCATCAAGCAGTTTGTGCGAGACTGGAGCGCGGATGGCCAAGCAGAACGGGATACCTGTTATCAACCAATCATTGATGAAATCCTAAACTTTTTCTCTTTGGATAAATGGTACAGTGCTATATTCTATAAATGTGTTTAGACTATAGATGTGTATATACTAAAAAATATCTATTTTTAAAAATGTATGTTTCTCTTCACCTGACATCTCTAGAACTTGTCTTTTATATTTATCTCTGTTTGTATCAGTGCGGACACAATAACTGCTGGATTGAACCTGTAATTTAAAAAATCTGCTTTTTGTTAATAATACTTCCATTTATATGTCACCTTTTCACACAATTGAGATGTCTCAGAGTGCTTCACATGATTTACTGTAAAGTGACTACATTTCGCCCACAAATATACGGTCAATTCACTTTACAGTATATTCTGTGAAGCACTTTGAGATGTCTAGAAGACGTGAAAAGTGCTATATCAAATGCAAGGATTATTATTATTTTGTAGAAAGGTGTGGCTGTTTGTGGTGCTTTGTTATGCACAAATTGGCTGCCACATTCACCTACAAAATACACAGTCACCGCAAATCCTGTGAACAGATTTGAGAAATGAAATACGTGGTATCAAATGCAACAATTATACATTTTTTGTAATAACTTTTCCTGTTTGTTTTCATCAGCCCTTGATGTCCACCCCAAGCTCTGCAATGTTATCACCCCCATCTTTGCTCAGCTCCATTGGCTCCACATCCCCCAGCTGCTTATCACCTTTAAGTTCCTCCATGGTCTCATCCCAACCTACCTCTGCAACTTCCCAAACTCTACTGATCCATCCACTTCCTTCCCTCAGCAAGCACTGGCCTACTTCATGTCCCCTGCCCTATCTGCCCCACCATCAGTAGGCTGGCTTTCTGCCACCACTCTCTGAAACTCCATCTCGGAGTCCCTCTGACCCACTCCCTCCCTCATCTCATTCAAGGTCGGCTTAGGACCCATTCCTTTAACCATGCTTTTAATCATCTTTCCGCGCCTCACTTTCCACACTTTCACCTTAGAAGTTGTTGGCAGTCTGTTCCTAAGCTTTTTACAGTGTCGCTCATACCCAGAAGTTGGGAGACTCCTGAAAATGCCACATTCCACACCTCTCCATGCAGTTGTGGTAGAGAACTCAGCAGAGTGATATAATGGGCGTGCACCCGAACAATGTTAAAATGCAACTCAGCACTTCCATAGTTCGACACAATGTATATAGCAGCTGACCTCCAACTAGGGATTTCAGATTCTAAACAGGCTACTTCTGCTTCTAGGTTTAGCCTGACGTGCATCATCACTAAGTAACAAATGCACAAAAGGGAGCTTTATATTGTGGCAAAGTGGAGTCCAGTTAGTATATTGGTTAGAGCACTCGCCTCGCAAGCGAGAGGATCTGGGTTCGATTCCCAGGTGGGGCGAAATCTTAGGCAAGTTTTCTTACTCCACAAGCCTCTGTTTACCGAGCAGTAAGTCAGAACCCGGTTGTTAGTCGATTGGCAGATTGCTTTCCAGGGGTAATAATCCATTCAATAAAAATAAATAAAAATAATAATAATTTGGTCACTCAATCCAAGACTGTGAGACATTGATGTGCACAATTGGCTGCCTTGTTTCACCCACAAAATACACAGTCACTACCCTTTATGGTATAAAGTGATAAGGTGCTATAGCACATGCAAGGATTATTATTATTATAAAGGGCAACATTTGAGAATTGAATAAGAGAGCTAGGTTTGAAATAAATGTGGAGATCCAATTGATGACCAAAAACCAAGAAGGGTGGCAAAAAAAAAAATTCTGAAATGAAATGTACTTCGAACAGTCCATGATAACTCAGGGACAGTTTCTTTAAAAAAAAACTTGGGTGCTAGAGCTTACTGCGTGTGTCAAGGTAATCGGTTAAATGCATTTTGGAGTATGTGAGTATGCTCACAACTGCATTAAATAACAACAACAAAATTACATTTGTATGGAGCCTTTCATGTCGAGAGGACGTCCCAAGGGGCTGGACAGACAGAGTTTCGGACCCGCGCTGGGGGTCAGGGTCAGGAAGTGTGGAGGGCAGGGGGGAAGCAGGGAGATCAAAAGCACGGTCAAAGAGGAGGGTCGTGGGATGGGTCTTGAAGGAAGCGAGACAGAGGGGCTGCGTGATGGAGTTTCAGAGGGTGAGGGCAGAGTGGCAGAAGGCCCGTCCGCCGATCGAATCCTATGAAAGTTGAGCGTTCATTGTATTCTAAAGGGGACGTGAAGCAGTGGGCGAGACCATGGAGGGCTTTGAAGGTGAGGACAAGGATCTTGAACTGTATTCTCTGTGATGGGAAGCCAGTGGAGTCGGGCGAGGATGGAGGTGATAGGGTCACAGAGCCTGATGCAGGAGAGGACGCGGGCAGCAGAATTCTAGATGCCTATGGAGGGAGGAGTTGGGGAGGCCGACAAGAAATGAGTTTGCGTAGTCAATCCTCAATGTAATGAAAGCATATATGAGGGTTTCAGTGGCCTGTGGTGCGAGACAGTGATGGAGTTGGGCAATATTGCGGAGGTTGGGGAAGGCAGAGCGGGTCATGTCGCAGATGTGGGGTAGAAAGGATAGTTGAGGGTCAAACAAGGTTCCGGACTGGCTTAGCGAGGTGGAGTGTGCGACCATGGATGGTGATATTGTCGGCGCCTGAGGTGAGGAGGCGCTGACGGGAGCCAATCAGGAGAGCCTCGGTCTTGTGGACGTTCAACTGAAGAAAATTAGCTCTCATCCAGGACTTGATGGTCGATGTCCGATAAATAAGTGTAGGAGATTGGAGTAAATTAGATTATTAAATCTAAATTAATTAGATTAAAAAAGGTTTAACTTGTTGCAATTTTTTTAAAAAATCACCAGTCCTTAACGTAGTACTGTATAGTACAGGGTTAAGAATCCTTTTATGTAAAATGAATTGTTGAACTATTTACTGTTCCAATGCAGCAATCCTGCTGATGTTAGCGTGCTCGTACCAGGAGCAGGACTTGGAAGACTTGCGTGGGAGATTGCCAGACTAGGCTTTAACTGCCAGGGTAACGAGTGGAGTCTATTTATGCTCTTCTCTTCACATTTTGTACTTAACAGGTATGTGTCTAAGTTCATGTTTAAGTGTTCTGATATGCTACCCCGTGTGAAGGGTGCTATACAAATGCAAGTTGATGAATAGAGCTATTTTACGTTTAAATTATTAAGCCAGGTTATTTAGTATTTTTGAAACTTTAAAAGTGTATAATTAGCTTGCCAGGTCATTGTGTTTTTTTTGTAGATGTCCTGGAGTTAACACAATGACACTTTATCCCTGGATCCATCAGTTTAGTAACAACAAGAGATCAGCTGATCAGATTCGACCAGTGTATTTCCCTGACGTTAATCCTCATAGTCTTCCATCTTATGCAAACTTTTCTATGACAGCAGGAGACTTTCAGGAGATATATGTGGAACCAAGTAAGTAGGCTGCTTTCCTAGCATTTCTTAAACTGTTTGCTAATTTTTTTAACCCATAGTATATGTGTTAATAACAGACCAGAAATTTGTTACATGTTAGGTATTTCAATTGGCTCTTTCTTTTCAAGTTGGGTTGTTTTACTGTGGGCAGGACATTTATTGTGGGGCATTTCACCCACAAAATGTACAATCAATTCGCTTTACAATATATTCTGTGAAATGCTTTGAGACGTCTCGAAGACCAGATAAGGCACTATATCAAATGTTAGAATTATTATAATTATTATTATTGTGGTAACAGTTTTTGAGAAATGCACATTATGTTTTTAGATACAGTATTTGACTCTTCTAGGCTAAGTAGTTATTTCATTGGAGTCTGGACAGTTTCAAGAGGAAATAGAAAGGTTAACGTGATGAGGAGGATCGAGGGGGGTTATGTGAGAAAGAAAGCTACAGTTCTGGCCAGTCTTTACTAGTCATATTCATTTCAATTGGTAGGGGCCCATGAGGTTTATTGAAAGCTCAGAAGTAGAGGAATGTTAGCAAACACAATAAATGAAAGATGGATAAAATGCTTGTCTTAACCATGCATCCTGCCACTTGTAAAGGAATTGAAAAAACAGGAGGATGTAGTAGAAGAAATCATTCCTATCATACTAAAACAGGAGTATTAGAGAATGTTGAACTACTTTTACGACTTTAATATTGTCTTTGGTTATTCTTTATTGACAGATACGTGGGACTGTGTAGCAACATGTTTCTTTATTGACACAGCGCATAATGTTGTTGATTACATTGACACAATATGGAAAATTCTGAAGTTTGGAGGAATCTGGATAAATCTCGGTGGGTATCCTCTGAATACCCTATTTACATCTGAAGTTTTTTTCCCCCCCGTGTTGAAAACAGCTAAAATTAAATACCTGTGTATTGCTGTTGTATTTTTCAAATGTGCATCCTAAGACTAATTTGTTTCAGCATTTGAACTAAAACCTTAGAAAATGATTAAAACCAAATTTGTCTTATCATTAGCCAAATTTTTATTCTGCCTGTCTGTGAAAAAAAAGTCACATCAGTGTGGATAGTTAGTGAAGAAAATGCTCTGTGTATGTCTGTTCTATGTTTTCTCCAGAAATAATGATCACAACTGCCTTGATTCCTTAAGGTATAGCCATAATAAAGTAAAATATGACTAGGCTGCTATCTGCTTTATGAATGTAATGCAGGAATACTAATTACAAACACTAGTGGTATTTAAATTATGTTCCTCTGATGCTTTTCCACCTATTTCCTTATATAGACAACACAATGCATCGTGCAAAGTGCAAAACCTGATAAAGAAATCACCTTGAAGACTCTTTGTAGGTGACCATTATTCTGAAGATTGTGTGTGTGTTCTTTTTACATTTTAATACATAAATATATAAGATGAGCAGACTAGAGAACTTATCTGACGTAGATGTACCTCGACGTTATCAATCATGCCATGTATTAATGGTTAGTGGGAAGACTAGTGGCATGGACTTTATTGTGATCTACATAGGCAGGATACAATTGTAAAAAGGTTATGGGAATATAATGTAATAGAATTTGTCCGAAGGACAATGTTAAAACTAAAGGTTAGATCTGTAGTGAAAGATCCTGGAGAATTTTGAAAACCTGTAAAATGAATAGATAGCCTGGAAAAGACCATTTATAATACCCCACATTTTAAAGAACATGATCATTATTTTGTACAGTCAATTGGGCTCATTGAGCCTGTTCCTTTTTCCATTTACAATCTGTTACAATGCATTCTACCCAACAAATCATAATCTAATTAAATCATACAATGGAGAGTCTTGTAAAAATATATTTTCCCTAACCTCACAAAGGTGTTGGAGTAAAACTCTTAAAATGTCTGTCTAAACTTAAACTGACGTTTCCATGGATCCACAACACAGGACCAATTGTCTTCCACAGAGAACGTATATTTTTATGTATTTCTCAACTCCAGTCTCATTATTAACTAGATATTGAACTGACTTTTTAAAAACAAAATAATTGACTAATATTACCTATCTGCATATTTGTGTGTTTGTGTGTGTGTGTGGGGGAGGTGGGTGGGGGTAGATGGTGAGAGCGCAGTAAACTCCCATTTAATTCTAGTCTTGCTTGATCTTTGTTAATTTTGTTCTCATGCCTTCTTGTTCTGCACCCATTGTCCAATAACCTGCTTACAGTTACATTATCTAAAGCTCTCAGCATTTTAAAGACCTGGATCATATGCCCTCTGACTTTTCTAATGGAAGTGTAGGGGATCTACGTAGCTACTCAGAATTGTTTTCAGAATCCTATGAAGGTTGAGCACTCATTGTATTCTAAATGTGATTTTACAAATGAGTTATCTATTGTTAAAATAAACTATTGATTTACCATAGATGCCTTCAGACCCATTCTAGTTGTTGACTGGTCTTATTAGTAATAGGCCTGTAGCAATTGGGTATACTTTGTGTATGGTAATCACATCCAGACCATCCTCCTTCTCCACTTATTCCACTTATTTATTGTGCAACATAGTTCATTGTGCACTATTGGCCATTCATTGGCCTTTACTTGTAATGGTTTGGGTTCCTATCAAATTTCTATACACTAGTCACATAGTTGTAATGATTGAGGACATTGTCAAAATTATCCATCATGTTTATACTGCAGTTTAACATAAAATGAATTCAAGCCCATTTCTTAGAGTGGAACACAAAAAATATGGCTTGGCTTCTTCTAGTCAGCATATATTTAGACACATTAATGAAATAGTAATTTTAACAAATATTTCATTTTTAGCCACTTTTTTTTTAAAAAAACCCATTTGTGAAAAAATCATATTCGTGATTACCATCCGTAGTTCTAAATTTATACAATCTAAATTTAAAATCTAAATGATACATGGAAAGAAATTTTCAGCCCAGAAGAAGCTTATTTGGCCCATCCACTCTCAGCCACTGCTACATGTAACACCAAATCACCCTGTCATTTATCCCATTTATCCAGTTTCTTTTGACCAATTTCCATTGATCTAGCCTCAGCAGCTTTCTGTGGTGATGAGTTCTAAACTCTTAACAGCGCTCTGGGAAAATAATTGCTCCACTAAATTTTGTTCCAACAATCTAAGATTGTGCTCTGATTGTCACCGATTCCCCAACCAAAAGATCTTTTTTCCTATTCCGTCTTATCACATTCCTTCAGAATCTTGAAATGACTCCATCTTATTCCTTTATCGTGAAAGAAACTATATACTGTACATGTAAATTTGTATTGTATCATATACCTTCTCAATCTCTGCTTCACTCAAAAAGCCCCAATTTAGCCAGTCTCTCTTTATGTGTACATTTTCTGTTCAATATTATCCCAGTGTATATGTGCTGCACCCTCTCTAGAACTGACATCTTTCCATAATAGAGACCCAAATTCTCCCAAATACAGTCTAACCAATGTTCTATACAATTCAAACATGACTTCTCTATTTTATATTAAATATTCCTCTTTATAAGTCCTAAACTCCATTTGTCTTCTTGACAGCTCTTGGGACTTGCCGTTCCACATTGAATTAATTAAAGATATGTTCTCTCAGATTTTGATACTAATACCTTAGTTTTGTGATTTATCCTAATTTTGTCATTGTGAATAATGGCTTGAGTTATTTTTCTTTGTATGTCTGCTTGTTTCCTTTTTTATTTTGATGAAGTAATGGAGGGTGGATTAAGGTGGTGCAGTTGATGTAGTTTATATGTATTTTCAAAAGGCGTTTGATAAAGTGCCACATATGAGACTTGTAAGCAAAGTAGAAGCCCATGGTATTAAAGTGACAGTGGCAGCATGGATACAGAACTGGCCGGGAGACAAAGCAAAGAGTCGTGGTGAACGGTTGTTTTTCTGACTGGAGGGAAGTGTGCAGTGGTATCCCTCAGGGGTCGGTATTGGGACCACTGCTCGTTTTGATCTATATACATGACCTGGACTTGAGTATAGGGAGTACAGTTTCCAAGTTTGCAGATGGTACTAAGCTAGGAAAGGTAGTAAACAATGAGGAGGATAGTAGTAAACTGCAAGAGGACATAGACAGACTTGTAAAATGGGCAGACACGTGGCAGATGAAGTTTAATGTAGAGAAATGCCAAGTGATGCATTTTGGGAGGAAGAATGAGGAGAGGCAATATAAGCTGATGGTACAATCTTAAAGGGGGTGAAGGAACAGAGAGACCGGGGGGTTCATATAAGTAAATCTTTGAAGGTGGCACAACAGGTAGATAAAGCTGTTAAAAAACGTATACGGGATACTAGACTTTATAAATAGGGGCATAGAATACAAAAGTCAGGAAGTTATGATGAACTCGTGGAATCCTGTAGCTCAGTGGTTAGAGCACTCGCTTTGCAAGCGAGAGGCCTGAGTTCAATTCCAGGCAGGGCGAAACCTTGGGCAAGTTTCCTTACTCCACACGCCTAATAATAATCCCTCCAAAACCAAAACAATAATAAATTGGTCATCTTCAATCTACTACTGTTTGCGGGACATTGCTGTGCGCAATTGGCTGCTGCGTTCGCCCACATATACAGTCAATTCACTTTACAGTGTGGTCTGTGAAGCGTTTTGGGACGTCCTCCCGACGTGAAAAGCGCTATATCAAATGCAAGGATTATTATTATTATTATATGAACCTTTATAAACACTGGTTACGCCTCAGTTAGAACTGTGTTCAGTTCTGGGCACCACACTTTAGGAAGGATGTCAAGGCATTGGAGAGGTTGTAAAGGAAATTTACCAGAATGGTACCAGGAATGAGTGACTTCAGTTATCAGGAGAAGCTAGGATTATTCTCCTTGGGTAGGGAAGGTTAAGAGGAGACTGATTAGAAGTTTTCAAAGTTATGAGGGGGTTCGATAGGGTGAACAAGGAGAAACTATTTCCACTGGCAGGTGGGTCAGTAACCCTAGGACACCGATTTAAAATAGTTCTTAAAGAAAGAGAGGGGAGATGATGAGAATTTTTTTCACTCAGCAAGTTTTTTGAATCTGGAATGCATTGGCTGAAAAGGTGTTGGAAGATGATTCGATAACAGCGTTTAAGAGTGGTGGATAGTTATTTGGGGAGGATAAGTTTGCAAGGCAATGGGGAGAGAGCAGGGGAGTGGGATTGATTTGGATAGCTCTTTTCAAAGAGCAGGCATAGACACGATGGGCCGAATGGCCTCCTTCTGTGCTATATGATTCTATGATTCTCTCTTCCCTAATCCCTTTTACTCCTTTTTTTTCTCTTCAACTGTGCCTTCAGCTCCCCTTTCGACTCTCTACCCCCTCCTCGCTCCCTCCCTCCTCTCCCTCACCCTGACCATTTCCCCCTGCTCAGGTCCCGACCCAACTGTCCAGCGCCTTGGGACGTCCTCCCGACATGAAAGGCGCTCTATAAATGCAATCTTGTTGTTGTTGTTCTCCATTCTTTCATTTCCAATACTATCTTTGAGAAGATGACCAGAGTAAACAAACAACATAGAGAAGAATGACCTGAGATCAACCTAAGAATGATCTTAGGTTGCTAGGAAACTTCTGGTTGTAAGACATTTCTGCACAGAAACCTATATGGCCAGCAGATATTAAGGAAATGCTTGTTACTGAAGTAAGGATATGCTAGTTATGAGTGAGGAAAGGGGGAAATATGACAACCAATTGAAGGAGCTGTAGAATCCCATCATTCTCTTGTACCAAACCATGCTGTCATGCAATGCGGCAAGCACTATTCTTGTATTTGTTGTGGAACAACAACAACTTGCGCCCTTCACGTGGGGTAGCCCAGAGCGCTTGGAGGACCAGGAACATAGATGACTGAGGAAGAGTGCAGTAATGACTAGTTGCCATAAGTATTTTCACACTCTTAATTTTTGTATAACCCTTAGACTGACTGGAGGTCCAGGGAAACTGTCTGGCTGTGTCAAGCAGTTCTGGATAACTTTGACTTTAAAATTAAATCCTAATAATAAATGTCAGGAATTGTTTTATTACTAAACACAATTTAAGTAGAAATAATTATTTGTTTTGATTTGGGCTCACCCTGGCATTCCTTTTTCCTTTTCTCTTGCATATATTTATTTTCCTTAACCTTAATCCTTTTAGTTCTTGCAACACATTTGTGTTTGAAGCTATTTATCTTGTCTTTCTTTCATCTTCTTGACCATATTTAACAAGTCCTTCCTTAGGATCATTCCCTTATCTCTCATCACATTCTCTCCCACATAGTCTAGCATGTGTTCCCTTGACTGCCTTTGATGACCCAACTTCCTCATCTTGGGTCCCAGTTTAACTTATAGTAACATCTCTCCATCTTCTATAACGGTACATCCTCTTATCACTGCTGTCATCTCTACCTTCTCAAAAAAATAACCTCAACAACTTTACCCTCTTAAACTATTGCCTTACCTCTGGCTTGCCATTTCTTTATGAAGTACTGGAACATGCGACTTTCCAATGTATCTCCCTTCTCTCCCCCTATTCCCTCTTTGAGACTATTCAGCTTGGTTTTCAGTTTGCTCAGAGCACTGGCACCACCCTGGTTAAATACACGCATGATTTCCTATCTCTGTGACCATGGCTCACTATCCCTCCTCCTCTTCCTTCACTTCTCTTCATATTTGACACAGATGACTACTCTATTCTCCATTTTGTTTGGCCAAATTCTGCGGCTTTGCACTTTATTGATTCTACTCCTATGTTTATCACCATCTCCACTATATTTTTCTATCTCTGGGACATTGCGTGTTTACATCCTTGCCTCACTCTCTCCACTGCTGAAATACTCTTTCATACATTTATCCTTTGAGTAGATTTCTCCAGTGATCTCTTCACCACCCTCCACAAGCTCCAATCAGAATTTGGCAGTGAATTCTCTCCCACAACAAGCTCTGCACTCCTATCATCACCATGTTTGGAATGTGTAGCAGAAGAATTGCATTACTATACGGAACTCACCAGTGAGAATGACTTAAGACCAAGATTATTGCTTTAGAATATAATGCATTACTTTTGATGTCACATCAGACCACCCAATCTGTTCATAAATGAGGGCTGAATGTCTACAGGATCATCATAGCATTAGGATCAATAATGTATGTGTTAATTGTTAAATGTAGCACGGTGCAATTGTGATTTGAGTACTGTAATAGCACTTTTGCTTCAGGTTTTTTAAAAATGGAATTTGTTTATTTTGGCTGCTGAATACTGCAAATGAAACAACGGGACAGACCTCAATGCATTTTTAACAGAAACTATGATTATATTGAATGGATTAATGCCCAATTAATCAAACTTTTGTTGATTAACTAACATAACATAGAATTTTCCTGTATATATATAGGGTTTCAGTTAAATTAATTCTAATCTTACAAATAAATGAATTTGGTAAGAGTATTACATAATCTATCCTAATTTATTCTAGGTCCTTTGCTGTACCATTTTGAAAATATGGCAAATGAAAACTCAATAGAACTGAGTTACGAAGACATCAGGCATGTCATTGTTCAATATGGATTTCAATTAGAGGTGAGAACTTATAAATTGGGGAAGTCTAACATATTCTAAATAGTTTAAGATTCTGAAAGGGCAGTTTAATACTGCTTTTTGAATGCATGTATAGTAGTGAATCAAATGATTTTGGCAGGGATTCTGCACTAAATAGGGAAAAGTTAGTCATTTTCCTGTGTTTTCACCATAAGTGGGGTTTCAGCCAGAATCATGTTGGAACTGCTGTTTGTGATACCACCCTGGGGAGCTGGTGTCAGGAATAGTGTGATTTTTTTCATTCCAGTCTAAAATAATGGATGTGAATGACATGAGTTTTCTTTCAGTGTTTTGTTAAGATACTGTTGGGTGGTCTAGGGCTAGGCACTTTCAATAACTATTTTGCTTTGTTATTGAAGAGCAAGTCACATGACCAATGTTACAACATTAAAAAAAATAACATCTGATTTTGGCAATCTGTTCACTTGTCAAACTGTGGATTTGCAGAACTCTGAGTGATGAGAGGGTTCGCAGTTCCCTAATCACATTGGACTTCCTTCCAACGTGAAAAGGACTAAACCAAATGTAAGAATTATTATAGAGATATTGAGCATGAAATTTAAATCAGACTTTCACATTACCGTACTGCTAAGAACAAAATTTAATATTACACTGAGCAAATTTCTTTGGGGATGAAATACACTTTTCCTGCAATAAAGAATGCTAACTGAGTTACTGATTTCAATTTAGCTTTAAAGAGGCAGAGTACGAGAGGTGAATGAGAGACTAGGGCAGAGCAGGAGAGGCAAGAGGGAGGCTGGGCAGATAAGATAAGTGAACAGTAAACTGGAGCAGAGTTGGCACTGAAGAGACAAACAAAATATTGGGAAATAAATTCTATAACTAAACAATTAAGACGGAAAACATTTCACAGGTGAGGATTGGTGAGGAAATAAGATAAGATAGAAATAATTATGAGAAAATGAATGAAATTGTAAAGGAGGTTGTGACAGAAGTGAAATGATTAATATTAAGCAATTTTAATTTAAAAATAACAAAGTGGTAGTGAAAAATTAAAAACAAACTTTACAAAAGTTAAAATATATTGGGCCTGTTACCTAAGCACAGATACAATTCTAATAGAGAAGGGTGATATAGAACTGTCTTTCTGCTGAAAAACTAAATATACATTATTGAATTTCAGAAATAATTAACTGATGAAAACGATGTGGCATTTTGTATTTCAGATGGAAAAGAACTCTGTAGCATCCACATACACAGAAAATGACCAATCCATGTTAAAATACCTTTATGACTGTGTCTTCTTTGTAGCCAGAAAGCCAAAACACTCATCCAACCTGAATGGTTTTCCACCAACAAATTGTTGAGAAAGGAAACTTTCATCTCTTCTGGGGGAGAACAGACAGTATATAAAGCTGGTGAAGAAGGAGTTACTTGGGAGTCAGAACAATATAAATGACTTGGACTACTCTGCTCCAGTCGTGCCTTTTTCTTTTTAAAATCGACTTCAGGAAATTCAAAACTTCCAGTGGTTCAGTGGATGCCTACGAATGTGCAATGAAATGAGGAATGATTATTGTGATGGGCGAACAGAGAAAAGCTAAACAAGAGAAACTGGTCCCCAAGATATAAATGTCAATTAGTTGTAGTAAGAATGCAAAAATATTTGCAATTCTGGGCTTTGCATATAATGGCCACGGTGGTGTTTTTGGACTGTCATTAAGCCATGGTAGCTGATAAGCTACTGCCTCTCAAGCCAATTTGTTTTCATGAGTTTATAATTCTTTACACAAGTATTTAAAAACAAGGTTTGTTGTTGTGTTCTCTCTACACTTCACTGACCTAAATCTTACTGTATCAGATGAATGTTTTGTAAAAATACCACTATGCATTTTCAGACTTTTTTAACATGATGAGTGAAATGTTAAGACTTTATCAATGGATTAGGAGCTCATTCAGTATCTTTGTATGAGCTTTTTTTTAGCAAGAAATCTTTTGGCATATCAATGCACTGTTACAAAGTGATATTGTGAAGACTGGGGAATATCACACAGCACCAAGAACTAGGGAGATCATCATCAATGCTGTGGTAGGCTAAAACAATGTAACACAACACCCCAGAATGTGCTGTTTTGTATTGCTGCTGGGCACTATGGTCATCTGTATTGAAACTGCTGCCATCACATCAAACAGAATCCACTTTCAATATCCTTCTATTTTATTTATATCAGTGCAGTATTAATCCCTAAAGAGTATTTTTTTTTAAAAATCTCTTAGCAATAATGAACTGAAAAGATATATATCAAGACTTTTTTTAAACTAGACAATAATCTGTTTTAGCACTTCATAAAATCCTTGATATATACAGTACTTGACTTAATGTTCGTTATTGCTTATTCAACATTTGTTGCTCATACTTTTTACCAGTATGTGACCGATATATACAGGATATGCTGTTCACTTGTAACATAGTACAATAAAACCCTGGTGTTCAAATCGCATGGCACAATCGTGTCTCTGTTACACAATACAAGATTTGATTGTGAAAAATCCTTTTTGTCTGTCACGATGCCTAGATGCAGCTAAGTAAAATTGAGAAGCAGAATAAAATTGCCCTCATTAACTTGTATATAGATGATCTGGAATTATTTCAACAGCACCAAATATTTTTCTTCAAGTTCTATAATTTTAGCTGGATTCAGTTCTGTCTTTAGACATTGCAACCTACATATAATTCTATATGTAGTTTAAAATCTTGCATTTGACAAGTCCAGATTTTATCATGTATATAATGGAAAAATCAGCACTTGTTAAATACAGTAATTATCAACAAACAAAATATGTTATGGTCCTATATGCATAAAAGGACTAAATTTAAACTGACTCATATCCAGTGGCCTGAGCAAGATTATTGAACATGTTTGTGTCATTCACTGATTTTCGTGATGCCTGTGTCTTGCATCTAGAATACATGAATAGAATAATGTTGATTGTTGAGATGTGGAGATTTTGTTCAGTGTAATGTACAGGAGATTTTTCGACAATGTTTCTCATTGTGACAGTTTTATGCCTGCAATGTACATTTGTATGTACAGGGTGACCAAAAAGTCATGATACTATTACAATGTCTTAAAGAAATTATGATTTTTTAAAAATAGGGTAGTTATCACAACTTTTTGATCACCCTGTAGTCGATCAGTGCACTGCTTGTTTTGAAACGGTATTATTCTGCGGTGTATCACCCTTAAAAAAAAGCTATGCCCAAATGGGGGAAAATGGGGATAAATTTATGCTCTCACTGCCACCAGTGTATTCAGATTTAGTTTTATTTAATCCATACAAATGCAATTTATACCCGATCTGTGATTTCTGCACTATTGACACATAATACACTTCGATTCATCTATGAGTAGAATGATTTAATTTTAATTACCTATTGAAAATGACCAATTTTATTATTGTTTTTTGGAGGGATTATTATCAGGCGTGTGGCGTAAGGAAACTTGCCCAAGGTTTCGCCCTCTGCCTGGAATTGAACCCGGGTGTCTCGCTTGCAAAGGCGAGTGCTCTAACCACTGAGCTGCAGGGCTCCACGACAACAACAGAAAATAGGTTATGAAAATCATACGGTCCTTTTACTCAATGGAGTATCTCCATTTCTGTAAATCAGTTTACTAAACAAATATAGTAATAGTGGATTACAACAACATTGTATAATATATACACACAAAGTCCTGTTGCCACGTGTTTTTTTTCTACAGTGCACTGACGCAACAACTGAAACGTGACCGAATGATGCTAATTGTATTTAGAAGTACTGAGTTGCATTCAGTACAAGTGTTTAACTGTATTTCGTCCATCCAGAGGATGGGTGTGAGTGAGCGAGCGCCATCGTTTCCGTGGCAGGTTATGATCCGTCGCCATGTCGGGCGCCGCATCTTCTGTAACGCGGGCGGAGTGAGGAGGCAGTTGCTGGGATCAGACATTGTTACCCGCCACTCATCTGCAAATCAATCAATCAAATAAAAATTAATTGTCAGAAAAAAAGACAGGTGGTGAGTGAGTGGGGTTGAGAGTGTGTGTGTGTGTGTGTGGTGTGGGGGGGGGGGGGGGTAACAGGACTTTGTGAACACCCTGTGGGTTCCTATCACTGGGTCTGGAGGTGTCCAACCCCCCAGTCACGGGGTGTGCAGAGCCGGTGTGGAGCGGGGGAGTCCTCCCCGCCTCTGGGGGGCGACATGGCATTGCCGTCACCTGTAAACCCTGGAGGACTCGCACCTCTCCGCCGAGGAGAAAGTTTGTGGCGGCTGAGAGCAAAGATTTGAACAGAGAAGAAACTGCAGCGGCAGCAACAGGGAGACAGTGAGGAGACGGTCACACACACACACACACGCGCGGGGTCAGGGACACGGGGGCTTTGCAAACAGACGGATGCCGAAGAGGAAGGCGGGGGGTGTTTTGTGGGACCATCAGCCTTGGAAACGGTTTATTCCGACCTTTGTGGAGAAGAGCAACAGAGACATCGCCAGAGCCGCGGGGAGACCTCAGCCCAGACCCCCAGCCCGGGGCCTGGACACCCCCAACCCGGGGCCTGGAGACTCCCAGCCCGGGGTCTGGAGACCCCCAACCCGGGGCCTCGACACCCCTAACCCGGGGCCTGGACACCGCCAACCCGCAGCCTGGAGACCCCTAACCCGGGGCCTGGACACCCCTAACCCGGGGCCTGGACACCGCCAGCCCGGGGCCTGGACACCCCCAACCCGGGGCCTGGACACCCCTAACCCGGGGCCTGGACACCGCCAGCCCGCAGCCTGGAGACCCCCAGCCCGCGGCCTGGACACCCCCCGCTCACAGCCTCGGCCTCAGCCCGCAGCACCCGCCCAGGTCAGCCCCTCCCTCTCTCACTCCCTCCCTCTCTCCCAGCAGCTAATGGCGGATCGTCGCAGAGCCCCGAGTTAACGGGAAGCTCTCAGTGTATAACCATCTTGTGTTTCGGTGTCGAGACACGTGATCAGGTACCTCGAGAAGAGGAAGGTGGGCTCGGGGTGTACTGAAGAGGAAGGTGGGCTCGGGGTGTACTGAGGAAGGTGGGCTCGGGGTGTATTGAAGAGGAAGGTGGGCTCGGGGTGTATTGAAGAGGAAGGTGGGCTCGGGGTGTATTGAAGAGGAAGGTGGGCTCGGGGTGTATTGAAGAGGAAGGTGAGCTCGGGGTTTAATGAAGAGGAAGGTGAGCTCGGGGTTTAATGAAGAGGAAGGTGGGCTCGGGGTGTATTGAAGAGGAAGGTGGGCTCGGGGTGTATTGAAGAGGAAGGTGGGCTCGGGGTGTATTGAAGAGGAAGGTGGGCTCGGGGTGTACTGAGGAAGGTGGGCTCGGGGTGTATTGAAGAGGAAGGTGGGCTCGGGGTGTATTGAAGAGGAAGGTGGGCTCGGGGTGTATTGAAGAGGAAGGTGGGCTCGGGGTGTATTGAAGAGGAAGGTGGACTCGGGGTGTATTGAAGAGGAAGGTGGGCTCGGGGTGTATTGAAGAGGAAGGTGGGCTCGGGGTGTATTGAAGAGGAAGGTGGGCTCGGGGTGTATTGAAGAGGAAGGTGGGCTCGGGGTTTAATGAAGAGGAAGGTGGGCTCGGGGTGTATTGAAGAGGAAGGTGGGCTCGGGGTGTATTGAAGAGGAAGGTGGACTCGGGGTGTATTGAAGAGGAAGGTGGGCTCGGGGTGTATTGAAGAGGAAGGTGGACTCGGGGTGTATTGAAGAGGAAGGTGGACTCGGGGTGTATTGAAGAGGAAGGTGGACTCGGGGTGTATTGAAGAGGAAGGTGGACTCGGGTTGTATTGAAGAGGAAGGTGGACGTGTATGAGGTGAAGCTACGGTTTCACACGAGACACCAGGACAGGGCAGAGAGTGAGGAGTGGGAGACATGTGGAGTGTAAGCAGCGGCAGCAGCAGTGGGGACTGTGGGCCCAGTGGCTGCTTTGCTATACACTGCATTCTGTGTCAATCTTCTGTGTACCTGTGTCTGGTGCTCCCAACCTCTACTCCTGCAGCTGAGCTTTTGCAGTTATTTTTGATTCTTTTTTTCTTTCCCCCCCCCCCAAAAAAAAAATCTGCTTGTGTCTTTGCTTTTTTGCGGTTATTTTCCACCTGTTGCTTTTGCAAATGCAACATTTAAGATGGTTGGGGGTCGGTTGTTATGGGGGAAGAGATCAGCAAAACACACAAAGAAGTAATGGCCTTCCTAAATTATTGGATCCAAACCTTCTTTGGCAATTATAACAGTGTTTTCATGTGTGAATCTACCATATATCTGAGCTACTGTATTGTAATAACTGACATTTACTGTTGTATACTTTGGCTTCTATGCTTATAGTTGAAGAATAACAGGCGTTTTTTTTTCTTAATTTTTTTCCTTGAATTTTTTTCCCTCTCCAGAATGTAGAGTTGAATGATGTGCCGTCCGCATTCAACTCCTTCCAGTTTTGGAGAGTTCCTTTACCTACTATCAACTTGGACGAGATTGAGAATCCCACCTTGGAGAATGCAGCCGAAGAAATGAACTGTGAAGAGACAGAGGAGGCAGCACATGTGGAAATGGATGTGCAGAACTAAGATTTGCATTTTTTTTAAAAATTAAGTAAGGCAACATTTAAAAAAAAATCCTCCCAAAGGGAAATGGGAAAGTGTCTGCAGACATCTTGGTAATTTCCAAATACGCTCATTCTGCTGTGAAATCTGCATTTCCGAGTTCCCATGGAGAAGGCCTAACAGGTCACATGTCTCATTCCTTTCAGAGAAGCATAAAAGGTCAACAGACTTTCAAAGTAACCCTTTCCCGGTCTGTATAGGCTGATAGCAGTGCTTGGCTGTGTAAATTAATATGTTGTCATTGCTATAGAAGTAGTAATCAGTTGGAAAAAAATACACACACTTCCAAATAGTACATGTGCTGAATTCAAGTGAAATCATCATAGCACAAATTAACACAACAATGATACACTGGCTTTAAGGGCTGTGAAGGATAGTGGTGGGGGTTGCTGACTGGTATGTGAAATACTTAAGTGTGTTCTATCCTTTATTCTAATTTAAAATTGTTTATTTCTTGTTTTCTTTCCATTTGATTTTTTTTATTTTCATTCATCTCTTTCACGTTTGTCTAATCCTTAAAAATGTAATGTATGCCTAGTTTGCTTTATTTCCTAGCGTGTTTCAATTAAAATTTTATCTCTCATACACTCACAATACCATTAACTATTTCCTGCCACCACTGCAGGTTGAAGGAAAGTCAGTTTTGTATTAATGGAGGCAGTGCTTGCCCATAGTGCTCTCCAAAATTGAAATGTCTGTGACATCTGCAATGATTATACAATAGTTTTACTTTTTTTACTGAGTAAGTGCTGCTTCTATCAGCATGAAACTGACTTCTCTTAATCTGTCAGTTGGTAACAGAGTAGATAATTATCTCTCTGTTTTCCTCTGTTCATCTTTATGAAGCAACATCTGATATTACAATACATTTTACAATTACATTTGTATAGCACCTTTCACGTCAGGAGGACATCCCAGGCGCTGGACAGTCAGGAATTTGGACCTCCATATAGTCAATTAGATGTCAGCCTGGCTTAGTTGGTAGCACTCTGACTGAAACAGTTCAAGCTACCTAGAATCATAGAATTATACAGCACCAAAGGAGACCATTTGGCCCATCGTTTCTATACCTGTTCGGACTTTGAATTCAGTCTTGGCTGACACTTTGATACAATGCTTAGCCTTGAATGTCAGAAAGAAGATATGTTGGGATGTAGGTCTCGCATGTCTGTGTTTATATCATGAAAAGTCAATACTGTGTGAACAGTTTATTTTTAATTTCTTATTCCACTAATGTGCCTCGGTATTAAAATAAAACCTGTGCACTGGAAGAGTCTTCTGCACAACTTCCAGGCACCAGTTGCTAAATTTTACTTTCCATTTTATAAAAGCAAATTGTAGAAAAAGCTGAAATATTTTATATAAGAAAGGTTTATGATTTGGATCATTTGTGGATTCTATACGGACAAAGGTTAGATTTTTCCCGATGGTTGTTTCCAGAAGCAGTGTAGCCACCGGCTCTTCTGATCTTAAACTTACAGTACTATAGTGAGATAAAACTGATTGCTGCCAGGAGTTTTGTTCCCTCTCAACTCGCTTTCCCTCCCCTCACCCCAGATATTGGCATGGGTAAAAAATGTACCCGTACTGCCAAAAGTACAGGGAAGGGAAGTTGTGGTAATAGTAGCTCTCCAAATAGTACAATAGGGGAAAGAATAGTTACTAGCAGTTGTTACCCTGTGTGATCAACAGATCACTTACTTGGTCTTTTTGCCCTCATCAAAACTGCAATTCAAGTTAGCATATGAATTGCATGTTCAGAAATGTTTGATGTGCTAATCAAGGTACCTCACCCTGGGAACAGTTGGAAAAGTGGCTACTGCAGCCTGCATCACTGCCTTAAGAGAAACAGATCGTAAAGTTGAGCTGTGACTGATTTATTGTTGCTGCTTGTAGTAGATTGGTAGACATCTTTAGTTGAGGCAAAAATAATGTAAGTGTAAAAAGGTGCCTTTTTCGGGACTTGGGGCAAGGAAATGTTTCCTGGACAGGAATATTTAGCTTTTAATTATTTTACAGATAAATGTTGGGTGTTTCTTCAGAAGAATGAATGAACAGCTAGGGAAATGTGCTGACTCCTAAGTCTTTTTTGTATATATTTGATATTGCCCTTTTTCTGAGCAGTGTTGCTGTTCAGGAAAAAAATAAACTTCATTGAAAAAAAACTGAATTTGTGAACAAAGTGATGTAGACAAAGTGTTCAATAAATTGTTTTATATAATTTTAAGAATTCTGTGAACAATAATATTTATTATTTTTTAGGATTATTTTCAGTGTAATCCACTAAATCTTTAGATACCATCCTGTGTATTAATCTTTAAAAGACAGTCATTGATTGCAATATATTTATTGGGGTCAAAATTCCTAAAGCATTCATTTTCCTTATATAAGTAACAAGGTTAAAATATGTTTTGAAATACCCCATCTTCCTCAGTTCTGAATAATGGCAAACTGAGTTAAGACAGTTTCCTTTGAATAATCCCAGACGGAAGTCTTCAGTCTTATTAACGTTCAATCCACTTATTTGTCAACAAAATGACTCGTGCCACCAATTTTGGTTTAAATGCTGGTTTTATTTTATCTCCTGTTCTGACACATTATATGGTGCACATGCATTATAGCATCAATGTAGTACAGTTCTGTACATTTATTCTGTTGCAGGCGCTCCAGGAGGCACTGGGTACATAAAACCTGGCACAATATCTGTAAAGGTGTAAAATTATGGCGCCTTGAAAAACTTTTAGGCAAATCAAACACCTAAATCCAAAGACTGATTTAAGTCACCTTGCTGACGTCAGGAACACCAGCTCTTGCACTTTTTTTTAATCCAATTGCTCCTCCTTTAGGTTTAATTCAAAGACATCTTTTCTTCGGGCTCGCTCTAAACTGATTATTTTCTCTTTCAGGCTTCCCTATGTTACAAAACTGATGCATAGGCCAAATTGAAAGTTTAATGTTTTCTTCTAAGTGGCTGAAGAAAATATATGTTTTGTGATTAGTTAATACAGTTAAACATTGAGTCTTTATTTTTGAATTTGATAGAGAACATCCAAATGTAGTGATGAAAATGGAAGCAAACTCCTGAAACTACCCATCTTTTACAATATCTTTTATATTTTACTGTCCAACATTTTTCTAGCTGTACATACAAGAACAATTATATATATATATATTAGGAATTTCTTAGAACCAAGTTGATGTCATTTAGCTGTGGACTTTCAAAAGATAGACACGCTCAATATGGGTTGAACTTATTAATAACATATACAATGTAGTACTGAAAAACTATGATATCTTGGAACATATTCTTTATTTTACGGTATTGTGTGCGTCTATAATTTACCCTGTTGGTCTTGTGGAAGGATGGCATTTTTTTGCCAGCAGGTATCCATACCAGACTGAGATTTAAACATAGTATATACACATATATATATGCCGCCTTTGCATGGAAATATCCTTGTGTCTGAAAAGGAAAGTGCACATTCTCTTCCAGGAGAGATGCACCCTGCTTACCCAATTACCAAAAGTATTAGGCTAATGGTGGCAAGAACCAAGGCTTACGTATGCTAGAGTTTCTATCAGTGTACCGCTGGAATTCAACCAGCTAAAAGCATAGATTCCCATCGAGAACATGACCTGGTAAGTTTCCTGGTACTTGTCCAGCTAGCACCACCCTACCTGTTAGGAGTTTTGACTTGCAATGTTAACAAGAGACAAGTGGGAAGAATCCATGTCCCCACTTAAAGGTCTACCCCTCCAAATCCTGTGGATGACCCATGCTGGCTGTGGTCTGTCATCAGCAGTGCCCCGGAGTACTCCAGATCCACCTAGTTCAAGAATAGGTCTATAGAGACCAGTGCAGAGGCTTGTCTCGATTCTGACATTCTGGTGCCAAAAGTATTGCCTTGGAGCCAGGAAGGAGGCTTACTTTCTCTGAACAATTTATAGTTACTAGTTCTGTAAAATCTGGCAGGTTTGAGCCTTTACTAGTTGGATAGCAAGTCCTGGTTATACTGTGAGCCTCTTGGTGACCAGCACAACTCAGCATGATATGTGGGCAGCTGGAATATCCTGTACTATTACCAGGATGATGTGAGGACATTCCACCCAGAACAACTTCACTCTCATAAAATATGCATTAAATTGCTCTCAATCCTCCTTTATACCTCTAATTTCATAGATGGCAAATTCCTTATGCTGTTAAGTATAACTCAATTGACAATGGATTTATACAAGGAAAATCCCATGACATGCTCACTTCAACAAAGTTGCTACGTTTAACAGTGAGAGCAATATCTCACAAGATGTCATTAGTGTAATTCTTCATAAAGCACTCCAAAGCTAACATTGATGCAATACCTATATCTAATTAATCTGTCACAGAATCGTATACAACTTCTCTGATAGAGACGGATATTTCATCTCTATGTTAGTGAACAAAAATATTTTTAATCCATTGTTTAGCTTTGTGAATGTGTTAATAATAATCATTGCTATTGACATAGAGTCTTATCAATGTAAAATGGATTGTGGGCGAAATGCGGCAGCCAGGTTTGTGCACAGCAATGTCCCACAAACAGCTATGGAGTGAGTAATCAATTTTATTTGGGGATTATTGGCCAGGACACTGGGAGAAACTCCCTTCTCTTTTCGAATCCTGCTATGGGTTGCAACCCCCGCATGAAGAGTGCTATATAAATGCAAGTTGTTGTTGTACATCTTAGATCTTACAAACTAATTTTAGGTGGAATTATGGGTCCATGATTACTTACCTTTGGAACAATATTCAGCTAAGGAAATACAGAATTCCTGCCAACCTTAATTTCAGACTCAGTTTACAAAGGAAGCATCATTAATTGACAAACCACTATTTTTTCTGGATTAAAATGGGATGGGGTGCAGTGTTAACCCAATGTTTAGCAATCAATACCATTTGATTCATCCAGAACGTGCAGATCTCTATCGAATTAAGCACTCTTGAGACCCCATCTGGCATCAACATCTTCACTTCTGTGGATCTAAAGTCCTCAACCTCCCTGGGCTCTCCCTCAGTCACACCGAACCAGCGTGCAATCTAGGCGTCCGGTTCGACCCCCAGTTGTCCTTTGTCCCCCACATCTGGTCCCTGACCAGGTCCGCCTTCCTCCACCTCCGCCACATTGCCGGCCTCCAATCATACCTTACTCCAATTGCAGCCGAAACCCTTGTGCATGAGTTTGTCACCTCTCGCCTGGATTACTCAAACGCACTCCTCACTGGTCCTCTCAGCTTCACTATTCAAAAAATCCAGCTTATTCGGAACTCTGCTGCTCACATACTTACCCGGACCAAACTCTGCACCCACATCTCACCAGTTGTGGTCAGTCTCCACTGGCTCCCCATTACTGAACGGATTGACTTCAAGATCCTCACACTCATGTTCAAATCCCTTCACTCCCTGGCACCTCCCTACCTCTCCGACTTCCTGCTTGTCCCTTGCACCCTCCGCTCTACCATTGGAGGTTGTGCTTTCAGCCACTACACCCCAAAACTTTGGAACACTCTCCCTCAATCCCTCTGCCTCACCCCCTTCCCTTTTTTAAGTCCAACCTTAAGACCTTCCTTTCGACTGTGCTTATGGTTACGTACTCTCCAGCGCCCCCACCCCCCGGAGTCAGGCTCCGCCATTGTTAAGCATTCAGAGACGCTGCCCTACGTGGAGGAAGCTATACAAGTGCAAGTTATTATTTAAATACTTTGGATTATCGTATTCTACATCTAAAGACACCTTTATTGGAGAACACGCCTCTTCTTCCCTTCCCCAAGTTAAAGCAGGCATGAATTTACAGCAATAAAAGTATTAGGAAAAGCAACTATTGGATATGATCTGAAAAGTTAGCTTTTAAATATCCTGCATTGGTGAAATCTTTGCCGACCTGTATTATGAAACAAGGCTATTGGGAAAAGCACCATATCTTGTTCTCTCAATAACTGATCCTCTCTGTCACTGCGTGTAGATCCAGTTCCCACCTGAAGTTAGGCAAATGAGGCAAGTTTCGATAATTTTTGGATCCAAGCCAGAAAGTATAAGTGATAGAACAACACCCTTGTGGTCCAAAGATCAGCGTTGGGCAAACAGGTAGTAAGTAGGCAGGTGGCAGTGTCCTGGGTAATGTCAGACTGTCTGGTGACACTGGGGAAATCCTGTTAATTACTTAATGTCCTGCAGAGAAACCAGGTTTCATTCTTGCTGTAGATCCATCAGACCACTTCTCTTCTCCCCAACTTCAAGCAAAAGAAGTCAGATTCAATGAAGGTGCTGTTAAAGGTAACAACTCTCATGGCCATCAGATGCTGTGTTCCTCAAATCTTCTTATTCTTGTAACTCTGCTGCAGTGTCAGATCGGGACATTGCTCACTTTACACTACACTCTTTACACAGTCAACATTCTGACTTCCAGCTGCTAGAGATATATGTCTGATGTTTGTAATTCCAGGGATGCAGTTTAATGCTTAATCTATGAATCTTGCTTCCCTTCAATTGATTCCAAAGTTCATCCCTGTCCCCGGGAGAAGGCTTTCCCAGGACCCTTCTCTACCGTGCAGAGTGTGCAAATGAACTCGACCACAGGTACATCACCAATGAAGACATAAGCAAGGTGATCGGGGGCTTAATGTGGCCAAACCTTGGTGCAGTTGATAGTTTTGAAAAGATTAAGGGGGGAAATAAACTATGGGAAAGAAATTCCACCTGGATCTAGATTGATCCTGTTACCTTGATATTGTGTGTACAGTGTATCAGCCTGGTGCAGTGGTAACACTCTTGCCTCTGAGTCAGAAGTTTGTGGGTTCAAGCCCCTGATCTGGATTTGTCTAAGATGATTTCAATGCAGCATTGGGGGGGTGTGGCATTGGATAGGACTGTAAACCGAGATCCAGTCAGATTCAGATGGACTTTAAAGATTCTGTGGCACTATTCAAAAAGAAAAGGAAATTTCTCCCTGTGAGAAATGCCAACAAATCCTTCCAAATGCAATTGATCTCTCATTTAATGGCTATTTGTGGGACACTGCTGTGCAAACTCGCTGTCGCATATCGCCCGCAAAATACAGTCAATCCTGTGAAGGATTTACATTAAGTCCTGTGAAGTGTTTTGAGATGTGGTAAGGCGTTATATCAATTGCAAGGATTATTATTATTTCACAGAGCGTCCAGAATTCGTCAAAGCTTCATATTGAGTCTCAGTTTTGAAGTTGGTTTTCTTTGGATCTCATTAAGAACTACTGGAAACCGACTTCAGAATTAAGAATGAATTGGAGAAATTGATGAATTCTGCCTGTGTTGAAATACTAAGAAAATAGTGTAAATCCCTCACCCAGGTGAAATTTCTGCCCCTATATGTTAATTTGAAAGTAGCTCTATAAAGAGGCAATGTGGCTTTACTTGCACACCTGAGCCCGTCAACATTTAGAAGAAGTTATTCCTGAATGGCAACCATTATGCCCCTCCCTCTTAATGTGTCTCCCCAAACCCTCTACCTTCAAAACTGTGTTAAAACATGTCTCTTTAACCATGGATTTTGTTAGTACTCTTAAAATTGTTCCTCCTCTTCTCCCTGCAACCTTACTGTTTCTGTGAATCGTTTCAATGTGTAAATCCTACTTAAATTTGCTCTTTAATAATAATAATCATCCTTACATATGATAAAGTGGCTTTCACATCAGGATGACATCTCAATGTGCTTCAGATGATATATTGTAAAGTGACTGTATTTTATAGGTGAATGCAGCAACCGGTTTTACACACAGCAATGTCCCAGAAACAGTCAAAAGGGAATGATCAATTATTTGGGGATTGTTACAATTACAAATTTATATTTGTATAGCGCCTTTCCCATCGGGAGGGCATCCCAAGGCATTGGACACTCAGGGATTTGGACCCGAGCTGGGGTTCGGGATCGGGGAGAGTGGAGGGCAGTGAGGGTGACTGAAGGCATGGTTGAAGAGGAGGGTCTTGAGATGGGTCTTGAAGGAGGCAAGGTAGGGGATGAGGCAGAGGGACTGTGGGATGGAGTTCCAGAGTTGGGGATGGGGTCAGAGAGGCTGAAGGCCCGCCCGCTACTGGTGGAGGGAGTAGACAGGTCGGTTGGCCATAACACTGGGAGAAACTCCTCTTTTCAATTACCTGAACAGGCTTAACACCTCATCTGAAGGATGGCACCTCCAACAACGCAAACGCCCCTAGAACTGTATTGGTGTGTCAGCCTTTAATGTACGAGTTCAATGTACCAATGTGGGGCTTGAACCCACAGCTTCTGAAACGGAGGCGAGAGTGCTACCAACCGAGCCAGAGTGACACACTAATGAAAGTTGTCCTCATTTATCAGAACACAGTTGGTTTGTGTGTATTTCATTTTGTGAAAATGACAATCAACTGGAAATTCCTTAAATCACAGACAACGAAGGCAAAACATTAAGGTCATATTTAACGATGTTAAACGACTGACATAATTCAAAATTCTGTCTTTTTTTCAAATACAATGGTGTCTGATGTCATTGAATTATATTGCATGAAAAATTAAGCAACCAGGCTGGATTATTTTTCAGAGGGGAAATTAGCTTAAATCCCTAGAGGCAACCTACTGGTAATCTGCAACATTTTATACAAAAGTAGCCTATTAATCATCCAACTCGCAGCTTTTATTATTACAGGCATCATAAAAGCACTGATAACTGGGCATTAACAATGAGGCACAGTGTGTTCTGCACAAGATATTGATTTTTAATATAGTTTGTGATTTATGGAAACAAGGGTCAAGTGGAATACAAAATAAACTGATTAGGAGTTAAAGAAAGTACTTTAGTCATTGAGTCCCACTCATAAATTATATTCATCCAATTTGATAAGTACTTGACCGCTGCTCTGTGCCTCGTTTGTTGAGATCAAAGAGGTACTAAAAACATTAATAAGCAAATGGTTCATGGTTCAGTTGGCCATACTCTTGCTTCTGAGGCAGAAGGTCGTAAGTCCATACTTACGGCCACCTCCCCCCATCCCGGCTCGGAGTCAGGCTCCGGCACTGTTAAACACTCTGAGATGCTACCCTGCATGGAGGGCACTATATATATACAAGTTGTTGTTGTTTTTCCTCGGAGAAAAAGCTGCACTTCCCACTTCTCAAACTGCCAGTGATCTTATCAGGCTGTTTTGCAGAGAAATAGCTTTTGGGAGGCTTCTGCCCACTCTCTGTTTCTTAGTTTTGAGATAAGCAGATGTCTGAATCTCAGATGGGACAATGGCATGAACCTAGAAATTGAATGAGGGAAAGTTATCAGAATCTCACCTCAGCCTGGGTTAAGCCAATATGTTTTTACCTTTGCTAATGCTAATTAGCACATGTACCCAGGAACAGAACAGGAGAAAAGCTAAGGAATGCTGACACTGATTACCACAACCCCCTCAGGGGGCCTGAGCTAGTCATTAAAACAAACATTTTTGTCCATGTCCTAGTAACTAAAAAATGCTATCCTAAAAAGATTATACATGTTTGGTTACATTCTAAAAGGTATATAAAGACTAATTAAAAGCCTTAAAAACATTAAGCATTACAAATATAATCTTACACATGCTATTGCAGTACTTGGAGAGGGCAGCATTGTCATAGGTCTCATCCTACAGACAATGCATTTAACTCAAGGATGCCATCAATTGAATGTTAAAGATCCCATGATACTATTGGAAAAGAAAAGTGAATATCTTCTGGTATCCTGAACAGAAATCCTCCAGATTAACTGGTCATTCATCTCATGGCTGTTTGAAGGATTTTGCTCCATGCAAATAAATGGCTGCTGCAATTTCCTGAAAAAAACATTCACTTAAATGGTGAACTTAATGGTTTACATAACAGCAACAACAAAAACTTGCACTTATACAGCACCCTCCATTCAAGGTAGCATCTCAGAGCACTTAACAGTGGTGGAGCCTGTCTCAGAGCCGGGGGGAGGGGGAGGTGGCCATAAGCACGGTCGATCAGGAAAGTTTTCAGGCAGGACTTGAAAGAGGGGAGAAAGGGAGCAAGGAGGAGGGATTGAGTGAGAGTGTTTCAGTTTCGAGGCATAGTAGCTGAAAGCACGAACCTCCAATGGTGGGGCGGAGGGTGCAAGGAACAAGCAGGAGGCCGGTGCCAGTTGAGCGGAGGCGCTGGGTGGTGGATTGTAGAGTGAGGAGGTCAGAGAGGTAGGGAGGTGCCAGGGAGTGAATGAATTTGAACACGAGAGTGAGGATCTTGAATGTCGATCCGTTTGGTGATGGGGAGCCAATGGAGCCTGGCCAGAACTAGCGAGATATGGGTACGGAGTTTGGTCTGGGTCAGTATGCGGGCAGCAGAGTTCTGAATGAGCTGGATCTTGTGAATGGTGGAGCTGGGAAGACCGGCAAGGGTACATTTGAGTAATCCAGGCGGGAGGTGACTAAGAAGTGGATGCAAGAAATGCTGCAGTATCGGAGGAGAGCGTAGAGGAAATGGATAGGATAAGTATAAACAGAGTGGAAGTACTGAAAAGGTTGACTGCGCTGAAGGTAGATAAGTTGCCTGGTCCGGATGGGATGCAACCGAGGTTACTATGGGAGGCACTGGTACAAATAGCGGAGGCTTTGGCTACAATTTTTCAATCTTTGTTGGACACAGAGGACTGGAGAGTGGCCAATGTGACTGCCCTGTACAAAAAGGGACAGAAGGACAAACCTGGGAACTACAGGCCAGTCAGCCTTACATCAGTAGTGGGGAAACTCCTGAAGACTATAATCCGGGACAGAATAAATCTTCACCTAGAAGAATATGGGTTAATTAGGGACAGCCTACATGGATTTGTTAAAGGCAAATCTTGTCTAACAAATCTAATAGAATTTTTCGATGAGGTAACGGGGAGGGTGGATAAAGGTAGTGCAGTTGATGTAGTTTATATGGACTTTCAAAAGGCATTTGTCAAAGTGCCACATGAAAGACTTATAAGAAAGTTAGAAGCCTATGGTATAAAGAGTGGCAGTGTGGATCCAGAACTGGCTGGGAGACAGAAAGCAGAGAGTTGTGGTGAACGGCTGCTTTTCTGACTGGAGGGAAGTGTACAGTGGCTTCCCCCAGGGATCGGCATTAGGACCACTGCTCTTCTTAATATACATAAATGATTTGGACTTGGGAAGAGCAAGCACCATTTCCAAGTTTGCGGACGACACAAAGTTAGGTAGGGTGGTAAACAGTGAGAAGGATAGTAGCCAACTGCAGGAAGACACAGACAGAATGGTAAAATGGGCAGACACATGGCAGATGAGTTTCAATGTAGAGAAATGCGAGGTAATGCATTTTGGTAGAAAGAATGAGGGGAGGCAATATAGGCTGGAAATATAATCTTAAGGGGGGTAAAAGAACAGAGAGACCTGGGGGTGCAGGTAAATGAATCCTTGAAGGTGGCAGGACAGGTAGATAAGGCTGTAAAAAGGGCATATGGGATACTAGGCTTTATAAATAGGGGCATAGAGTACAAGAGTCAGGAGGTTAGGATTAACCTATATAAAACACTGGTTAGGCCTCAGTTGGAATACTGAGCCCAGTTCTGGGCACCACACTATAGGAAGGATGTTAAGGCATTGGAAAGGGTGCAGAGGAGATTTACAAGTATGGTACCAGGAATGAGGGACCTTGATTATGAGGAAAGGCGAGTGAGGCTGGGATTATCCTCATTGGAGTAGAGAAGGTTACGAGGAGACCTAATGGAGGTCTTCAAAATCATGAGGGGATTTGATAGGTTAGAAAGGGAAAAACTGTTTCCACTGGTGGGTGTGTCGGTGACTCGAGGTCACAGATTCAAAATAGTATCTAAAAGAAGCAGAGGGGACGTGAGAAGAATTTTTTGAATCTGGAACGCATTGCCTGAAAAGGGTGATTGAGGCCGATTCGATAACTACTTTTAAAAACGCGGTGGACGGGTATTTGAGGAGGACGGGTTTGCAGGGTTATGGGGAAAGGGCTGGGGAGTGGGATTGACATTAATTGCTCTAATCAAAGAGCCGGCACAAACTTGATGGGCCGAATGGCTTCTTTTCGTGCTGTATGATTCTATGAGGAGGCCAGACCCGGAGGAACGAAGGCAACGGGTACTGTTTTGAGGAGGGAGGTAGGGGGGTGCAGAGGAGTGCAGGGACTTGAATACAAGGGTGAGGATCTTGAAATTGATCCTCTCTGGAACAGGCAGCCAGTGCAGTCTGGCAAGGACTGGGGTGATCGGGGAGCGGAGTTTGGTGCGGGTGAGAATGCGGGCGGCAGAGTTTGAAATGTAAGCTTTGTTCTCAATGCACCTGAATCCATAGTCTGCGGCGAGATTAAGGAAGTTACTGTGTAACACTGAATACCAGGTTATGTCGCAGCCATTGGTTAGCCTTTGAGTAGCCTTATAACTAGTTTTTGCAGTGCTTCCTTGAGGCTAAATCTTTTAAATATGTTGCATTTTCTTAAAGGGTTTATGTCTTGAGGAGGGAGGGTCCCTTTTTTGTTTCGGAACAGTTTTCCAATAAATGACCCTCTATCAGGTCACACCTTAATCTCAGTTCTCGTAAGAAAAGCCCTACCCAGTATATATAAAAAAACTTCCAATAGGTTTATATAAACACAATCCTCTAACAGTTATTTTAGTTTCTGTGTTACTATAGTTGTGCAAAAAAACAAATCTTTGAGACTGAATTTGTTTCTCTACGAGGGAGGTGACATTAATCCTTCCTTCAGCAGGTCTGTTGGCAATGAGCACAGCCTGGTTCATCAGCAGGAGTTTAAGGGACAGACCAATCACTGGGAGTAGGGATTCTTCCCATTAAGTTCCTGTTAACCCTGCAAGCCAAAGACCTAACGGGTCCGAGCTGGACAAGCAGCGGGAAACTTGCCAAACTTGCTTTCAATGGCAAGCTCTACAATTTTAGCTGGTTAAATTCCATCATATGCTATAGGATCTCCAACTACAAAATTGATGATAGAGTGATCGAATAAGGTCTTCAAGATTATTACAGATTTATGCAAGGATAAATAGAAACAGATTATTTCCACTGACCTGTGATTTAGTACACTGTACACTGTACACTGTCCAGCCCTTGGGATGTGCTTCCGACGTGAAAGGCGCTATACAAATGTAATCTTGTTGTTAGTAATAGGAGGACATAAATTGAAATTAACCACAGAAGGAATTAAAGGTTAGAATGAGAAAACAGTTGTTTGCACATTAGGTGGTGAAATTCTCTACTATATTATTGAATCAGAGTCCATGAATTATTTTGAAGGGGATTCGATGGATGGTTGAAAAGAGGAATATTATAGGTTACGGGACCTGGACAGTGAGATTGGATTATACGACTCAAGTGGAGAAAACATCAATGCAAACTGGATGCACTTAATGACCTGTCTCTGTGCTGTAACTTTCTATGATTCTATGATCCAGATATCAAAATGTATTAATTCGATGCACATCATCGACAATACTGTTCCTTGTAAAATAAGCATTTTTTAAAAAAAAGTGTGAGAAATGATTGATTTTTCTCCCTCATGAAAGGAGCTTTAAGTTTATACCTTTAATTACATTTTACTTGCCTACAAAATGCAATGACTACACTTCCCAGAAAATCCCATGAGATGCTATGGAGATGTTTCAATGATGTGATGAGGCGGGTGTTGTGTCAAATACAAGGGATATTATTATTATTAATTAGGAACCAACCAAGTCTTTGATTTCTTAATTTGGATGTAACTCTTCTTAAATGTGCAATTCTTGAACACATTTTAATTATCGTTTGAAAAAGCAGTGAACACTTAATGAATCCAATAAAGGAGGTGCAGTATAAACTCAGTGTAAGGCTCTAAAATCTACTGCAAACCGTTTAATTATGCTGAGGTAATGAACTTGTACAGTTCACTTGGTTCTTGCTAAATGTTGATTTTGATCAGTTCTTAGCTGTCATGTATCGGTGAATTTTGCACAGTTCCAATTGAATAATACATTACCCAAAGACAGGTTTACTCTGGTTACAATGCTGTTTTCTATGGAATGCAGATATACCTGTCTAGGGTCTTAACTGTTGACCCGCTTTACTAGTGTGAGTGTGTGTAACGCTAATATTTAACTATTTGTATACTCAGTGTCTTCTGCACATTTCATTTTACTTGTATGTAATATCCTCCATACATCTGTGCATTTTAAACACTACACTTTATATAATGGAAATGATAATATGTGCGAAGATGATTGAAAATATCTAGATACTGCATTCCTTTACTGTAATAAGTCTTGGTGCAGTCCTGAAAGAGTTAAATGCATATCACTATATTTTTCTTGAAGTGTGCACTTTTTCCATTAAAAACTCAATTAGGACCATGTGAAGCCTTTCCTAGCACTTTAAGTGAAAGTTTCTGATGCTGGAGATCACCTTCGAAAGACAGACTGGGGCTGAAGAGTCTTGACAAAAGATCAGCATTTGTTTTGTGAAACTTGCTACTTAATTGTGTGTGAATCTGCAATCTGAAAAAGAGTAAATCTGTGTGCGGGGATCTTTGTGGTCAATCCTATTAGTGACACGTGTAAAAGATTGTTTTGCTGCTTGAAGAAATAAGAAGGAAACTTTAAAATTATGTAGATTTTTTTCTCAAACACAAAAATATGGTAAGTTAATTTATTTGGATAAAACAGTCAACCTTGTAGGTAACTGCAGTTATCATATTTTGAAATATTTTGACAAAGTTGACATTTTGTATCAGTGTCAATATGTATGTAGGTATTGATTACTGATTTAATAATGCATGTTTTCTTATAACTTTTTTATTGAAATGTTAACACTGGAAAGTGTAGTAATATGAATGTGCTTAATTGTGAATGTTAAACCAGTTTACTTTGTTCTGTTTTGATTGAAGCTGTTGTGTTAATGACATGTTGTCCTTTGAATCCATTATGAAACATCACATCTCTCATCCCCAAGGTATATATGTTGCAGTTTATTCATATTAATTATTCACCTTAACCTTTATCAGACAAAATGGTGGAATGTTTATCCATGATACCTAAAAATGAGCTGTAACTCCCAAACCATGTCATAATATGTATGACATTAAGATTAACCAGAGATATACACTATCAATGACATTCCTTCTATGCTCAAGCCCATTTCCTTTTGGCTGTGGCTGCCCTAACTTTTGTTTCCCTCCTAAAAGTCTCCAGATTGTAACATTAATTGGTCGATATCTGCCTAGATTCAGTGTTAAGTGACAGCATATCAATGGGAGGCTACGTGCTTTTAGTTGGTCAGACTCCAGCAGTATCCCAACGCACACTCTGGGGTGTCTTGGCTCTTGCCAATCTGCGAGTAATTCTTTACGGAATTAGATAAGCAGGATATGTCCCTCCAGGGAGAGAATGTGCAAAAAAAAATACACTTGATGGAGCAACTGTCAATCAGATTGGGGCATGTAACCCTGAAAAGAAAAAATACTTGAAAAGAAAAAAATTGCAGGTCTATGGGGAAAGTGCGGGGGAGTGAGACTAATTGGATAGATCTTTCGAACAACCGGCACAAGCATGATGGGCTAAATGGCCTCCTTTTGTGCTGTAGGATTTTATGATTCTACAAATTGTAGCCTTTCACAAAGCTCTAAAGTCTGAGAATTTAGTCTGGGCAGAATAACATGGTCAGAAGCATTACCTTGCTGACAAATTCAAAAAGCATCATTGGCTTTGAAATTTTAGATGTAGATTGTTATTTCTTTATTATACGTTTTTCAAACAAGTAGCTATAAAAGATATTGACAATAAGACACTTCAAAGATTAACTAAAGAATTTGAACAATGTGAAGAAAGTAACTGTGAAAGTAACCTATACACCAAGAGGCTGAAGGATTTACATCTCAGAAACTCGATTGGATATTCCCCCCCAAATGCCAATCTGTACAAGAAAAGATAATTTTTATTTTTCACCTATGGATTATCCATATTTTACATTCTACAGAATTATTTCAAATTAATGTCTGATGCACATAATACTGGATTATGGGCCAAATGGGGAGTATCCAGTCAGAGTATTGAATGAATAATTAATTACTTTTTTTATCTCTAGCCCCAAAAATCGTGGATTGAAGGAGTTTTCTTTAAACGAGAATGTGCAAACATTATACCCAGTTCAAAAGATGCACACAGGTGAGAGATGTTTCATCAGTCCTAATATCCAGATGATCACTTCTATTCATGTGATTCAGATATTAAGCCTATAGCAGGCCTTCATTGCAGTGTACTGCTGTTGCAGCATAACAATATTTAAAAGTTTACAATGACAGGGCCCAGGTAGCAACGATGAAGGATTTTGCTGGTTCTGAGTTTTATATCAAAAATTTTGGTCACAAAACAATAACAACTTGCATTTATCACTAGAAGCATCTTTGAGCGGTGAAAGCTACTCCTAACATAATACAAATTAGTTCTATAATTAGCAATTACACTTGAACTAAGTATAGAATGCCTGGTATAAGAAATAGACATGCCCAATGTTGGGTCATGGGAGGAAGTACCATTCTGAGCCTAGGATTAAATGTACATTGTGTACATTCTTGGGGTACAGTAGAAAAAGTTTTCAATGTATTTCATCTTCAAGTGCCTGAAGCTGGTACTGAGGAAAATAATGATAATAATCGTTGCATTTGATATAGTGTTGTATCATCTCATCGAATTGTTGCAGGATAGGCAAAAAGTGTTCCATTCTCCAGCACTAAAATCATTTACCTTAATGCGTGCAAAAGAAAATCATCAAAGAGGGAAAATATTTATTTTGTGACTGTTGTCAGACATGTTGTTTAAATATAAATCTTATTTAAATATAAATCTTATTTATCATAGGTGTCTTCCACGATGTCAGATTTGCCAGAACCTTGTCAGGTAAGGTCACTTTATTGCAGAATCATTTACAGAATAATTCATACCACAGAATGAAGCCATTCAGTCCATTGAGTCTGTACTAGCCCTCAGAGCAAGCTACACTTTCAATCTCATTTCCCTGCCCTATCTCCAAACCCCTTCAAGCATTTAACTTTCAAATACTTGTCTACTTCCCTCTTGAAACCCACAATGAACTTTGCCTTTACCAACTTACTTGACAGGCATTCCATATCCTAACAAATCTCTTTGCAAAAAAAAATCTCCTTAGCTCTTCTTTCGATCTTCTTGTAACTATCTTAAATTCATGGCCTCCAGTCACTGACTGCCCTACCATTTTCATTAATTAACCACATTTTTAAAAAAAACATATAAACCATAATGGATTGTTTTTCTTATCGGATTTTATGAATCTCAGGATCAACCTTCATGAAGCGAATGTGCCTGAATGCTTTCCATTCAAACCAAGCTTAGGAAAGCATTGTCACAAGATCATAATGTACTTCCAGTGGTCAAAGTGTAATTGAAAATAGTAGGAAAAGTTACTCTTTGCTTAAATTCACCTGGAAGGTGAAGTGTTAGAATTAACAGGTGTGAGAGAGAACATTTATACAGTACAACTCTTACACCAATCAAAACACACTAGGTGGAACACAGGTTGAATATTGCTTTGACATCTTAAGGAATCTTGGCTGGATATACATAATAACATAATAAAACATCACATACACAAAAGAGAAACTAAGAAACAAAACTGTACAAATATTTAACAAAACTCAACTCAAAGCCTCAATCTATGTGGCATCCAATTCAGCACTTTCTTCAACCAACACACCTTGCATGAACCGTATCTCTTTGAAGTTATTGGGGGTTATTTTCCACTTGTCAATAATGTAGCAACTTTGCATCCTACCCTGAATGCTACCAAAACATACAGTGTATAATGTTACCAACCTTCAGTGCATGCTTATAAAGTAATGTTTCCATCAAAACAATAACCCCACTTACAAAGAGAGTGTCACTTCTCTTGACACTATTGCATGCATATTGGTTATTTACAACGCTAGCATTTCCAGACTTGCTGCACTTGTGTGGTGTAATACTTATATAACATTTACAATATTAATTAATATATTATTGATATTAATATACCATATCCAGTTGGAGTAGAATATTTGCCTACTATAATCTTGTCTATCTACTTCACATCTTCACTCAGCGTTACCAGCATTGCAGATTCTTAAAGGATCTTTCTCTCTAGTTTGCCATCACCCACGTTCCCAGGCATTTACTGTTCGCATTCTTAACCCATTGTTCTGTTTGCCCTCAAATTGGAGGTTCACTACAAGTTGAGAAAAAACATAACTAGAATAAACATATCTTACAAATAAGTAGGAGGGATGTTTGCTTTGACAAGATATTCAGTTTGTCAATTTCGAAAAGATGAATGAGATTCAATCTCATAACTTTATGATCCCAAGGCCAGTGTTCAGCCAATTAAGTTGGATGGGATATTCCACTTCAAATGAATCAAAAACAAATGTTTTGGACAATATTGAACTCTATCTGAATCTTGTGTCCGAATCCAGATGTTGCTGTGGTCGGCTGGTTAGGGATCACCCCAGTGTGGATTGCACCTTGCCGGTCTATCTTTCAGCCCTTGGAGATGAACAGGAGGAGTGGTGTGTTGAGAAACACACCCAGAAAAGTCCAACTGATGCCTTTGGTACTATTGACTTCCAGGATGGGTCTCATTCCTCTCGAGCAAAGGTTTGTGGGACTTCTATAGGCAGTAGATACAGAAATCAGAAAACATGGGATATTGGGCCAAGCTGTCTACTAACAAACATAAGGCGGCTTTGGTCACCTTCCTCTCCCTCCCCCTGGCTCGGGCCCGTGATCCATTACTGTGGAGCACTCTGAGATGCTGTTAGGCGTGGAGGGCACTATATAAATCCAAGTTGTTGTTGAAATTTGTGGTATCACATGTGATGGCTATCAGCTGGGTTGATGGGGAGCGATGATTTAACACTTCTTCACTGAATAGTGGTCTAATCTTACTTTTAAGAGTATAACATTAAAATTAAAAAGCTGTTCCAGTGGCCTGGGATTCAAAAACAATACCTGTTGTGAAGGTGAATCACTCAGAGGATAATAAATGTTTGGAACAGGTTGCCAGGATAGTTGAGGCCAAGATACTGGACTCATTTAAAAAGCAGTTTGATACTGTGAGGTGGGTAAGAATGGCAGGGTGGATGTTCTGGAGGGATGGACCGAACATCTTGTGATCTTGTATTCAATGGTGCCTTTATTCAGTTCTGAGCTGGATTGGTGGGAGAAACCATTCTCTCGAAATGGTGATACAGGAGCGGATCAATCCCAAGCCAGTTTCAAGTACAAGAAAAAAATTACTGTGAAATCTGTTCTTGTTATGTACCGTACATCCCATTCTCCTCCCCCACATTTAGAAATGATTAGTAAACTGTATACACCTGGTTCAATCATCAATTTCAGCAATTGCTTTTCGGTAACTAAAGATTATCGAAAATTGGAGGGACATTCCAGCACTCAGTTCTTTTGTTACCTTATTTTTCCACGGTATGCTCTTTCTCTGTCTCCAGTATATTAGAGTCTCGTACGACACTAAATTGGACCAGTTATTACATTTGATGGTGAAGGAATGGCTAATGGAATTTCCAAAGCTGCTTATATCTGTTCATGGAGGCATCCAGAACTTTGAGCTTGCCCCAAAGGTAAAACAGGTCTTTGGGAAAGGACTTATCAAAGCAGCTGAGACCACCGGAGCCTGGATAGTGACTGAGGGCATCAACAAAGGTACTTTGGGTTCTGTTAATTGAAGAATTATAGTTGAGATTCAGGACATTAACAGTGAAATGGCATGTGCCAACCTGGCTCAGTTGGTAGCACATTCAGTTCCTAGACAGAAGGCTGCGTGTTCAAGCCCAATGTTAGGACTTGGAATTGATATAATCTTGGCTGACACTCCAGTGCAGTACTGGGGATGTGCTATATTGTTGAAGGGCCATCCTTCGGATGAGTCTAAACTGAGTTCCCATCTGCCTGTTCAGAAAGATCCCATTGCAAAAAGGGAAGGCAACAGTCCCCCAAATAAAAAAAAATGGTCAGTAACTTCATGGGTGTTTGTGCGACATTAGTGTGTGCAAATGGGCTGTTTCATTCATCCACGACATACACAGTCATTGCACTTTACCATGTATCCTGTGAAGCACTTTGAGACATCCTCCTGACATGAAAGGTGCAATATCAAATGTAAGGATTATTATCAAAATAACAAATGAGGAAGTGAGGAGCCACCTGTTCAATCAGCACAGGTTTATTCTCACAGGAGAAACATCAACAGACCAACAGCAACAACTTACATTTATATAGCATCCTTCATGCAGGGTAGCATCCCAGAAAGCTTGACAGTGGCAGAGTCTGACCCCAAACCAGGGGAGAGGGAGGGGGCAGGTGACCGTAAGCACGATCTAACAGTGACATACCACAGTCCTTATACAATGCAAATTGAAGGGCTGCAGGCATTTGGGTTCAGGCCCGACTGTGCAAAGTGCAATGACTGTGCAACCCCTCTTACATGCGGCTTCACAATCCCCCCCCATGTTCTAGACACCCATGCCAGCCTATGGCTCAGACAACTTTGTTCCCTGGCTAAGCTCCAGAGGGGAAAGAGAGAGAGGTTTGAGGGCTCAATGACACCCTTTAAACCCGCACAAGCTCTGCACCTCTCTCAGGTACAACCAAAGGGCTTCATTCCCAGTGTCTGTTACAATACTTACAAACCAATATGTGTGAGATTTATAGTAACGCGTATTTACTGCATATTTCATAGAATCATAGAATAATACAACACGGAAGGAGGCCATTCGGCCCATTGTGTCTGTGCCGGCTCTTTGAAAAGAGCTATCCAAATCAATTCTACTCCCCATAGCCCTGCAAACTTGTCCTCCCCAGTAATTGTAGGTTAACTTATCAAGTTAAATGATGGGCTATGTGTGACAAATGTTTTATTTGTGTGATACTTGCAACAACTATGTGCCTTCTGGTTTTGGATCAGGAACTTCTAGACATGTCGGAGATGCCCTCAGAGATCATGCTTCCTATTACCTGCGAAAGATCTGCACAGTGGGAATTATGCCATGGGGAGTTATCGAAAACCACAGAGACTTGATAGGAAAAGATGCAAGTATTCCTCAGTACCTTTGACGTCTGATTATTTATTTGATCTTTTGGGCTTCTCCCATGCAACAAATATGCTGTCTATGTTGACACTACAGTTCCCTTTAATTCCAATCCTCTTATCTAAAGTGTCTGTACTGACACCTGGTGACAGTATAAATAATTTCAAGGAACTAGGTAAACACATCTATACGCTGAATATATGTCTTACAAAAATCTTCCCCAAAGAGATTACAAGAGAGGAATTTCATTTGATTTAACAGTACTTTAGTGGTTTAGAACATTTTCTTAATCCTCTACAGATAGTATAGCCTATTTAGCCAAATATATTTCGCTATTTCCAATACACAATATAACACAAAATCACATTTTATAGCGCTTTTCACCTTGGGAGGACATCCGAAGGTGCTGGAAACACAATATAAGATAACGGTGGTTGAATCAGATAGTGTATTCAAGAGGATGCTAAGTCTTCACATGAGGGAGAGAGGAATAGAAGACTTTGGGAGGGAGTAAGGATTGAGTGAAGACTTATGCGGAGTATAAATACTGACCTGGACTGATTGGGCTGAGTGACCTGTTTCCACGCTGTATATTCTTTGTAAATCTTTGCAGATATTTGGATTGCATTTGTTCTTTAAAAAGAGGCAGCAGAAAACGAGCTTTGAAATTAAGCCCGGATTTAAGAGTCTTCCAAAACGTCGCTATCAATTCGCTTTGGAATGCTTAAAAGTGCCTCAAATGTTGAAGTAAAATGTGTCTCCACATCAAAGCCAATGGGGTGTTTATGTGCACTAAACAAAGTGCTGTATTGAGAGAAACACAAGAGTTTGCGTCGCTAGCTTTAACCAGCTTTTAAACATTAGCAAGTCTTTTGCAGACTAAAATAGACTAAGACAGACAAGAAGAAAACATTGATAATACAAACACTGACTAAGATACAAGAGTGATAAAATTGTTTCCAATGTTTTCAGAGTTGATGTGCAATGTGGTTACCAAAGGGATCGGTGGAGGCCAGGACATTGGGTTCATTTTAAGGAAACTTGATGCTGTAATGGGAATGGGGTATTCTAGAAGGATAAGATCAAATGGGCCAGAGGATCATCTTCATTCAAACCTCTCTTATGATCCTATGTATTTCAGATAGTGTGTCCTTATCAGACTCTTGGAAATCCCCTGAGCAAACTCACCAGCCTGAATAGCAAGCATTCACATTTTATACTGGTGGATGATGGAACTGTTGGCAAGTATGGGAATGAAATGAAGCTCAGAAAAAAGCTGGAAAAATACATTGCTCTTCAGAGGATAAATACACGTAAGTGCAGTCAAATTTTCATATCAATGATTCCCTCCACTCTTTATCCACAGCTACCCATTGTTGTACTAATGATTCAACGTTAAACTCAGCAACTTTCTTGATCTCATATGTCCTCTACTGACATTCTTCAATTATCAGTATTCTTGGGCTCACTAGGATCTGACTGGATTTGATTTTCAAATTGAATTTGATTTGCAAATAGAAACCTCCAGTTGCGAATACTGAAAACTTACCATATTTACTATTATGATTTCTAAAAGTCAGCTGAATCCCAAAAGAATGCCAGAGTGCCTTGCATATGTGGAGAGATCTTTCTACAATCTCTTTCACTGCTGGACACAACACAAGAAAATGTATGTTGCCTGATAGCTGAGCTTTCCCTTTCTTCTAGCTTCCAATCACTCTTTCTCATACTCCTCTATTGTTCTTTTCTTTCTCTAATTCATAAATGCAGCTATAATCATTACGGTTACAATATTTTCCTTTTGTATCTACTAGGCTCTAAATATGGCATGTTCCATAATCCTTCTCCTAGCTCCATCACCATTGTATTGAAATCAACACATATCGTCCATCTTCTACTGTAACTCATTCTTTGCCGTTAAGGCTGTGGAACTCCTTAGCCCTCTCAGTCATCTCTTATAAACTACGGCTATGATATTCAAGAATGGCGTCAATTTCTATGCTACTTGGCTTCTTTCCTTTTTTATTCTATTTTTAACCTCTGGGATACTCAAAATTCAAGTCTTGGCCTTTCACAGAGGTTTCTCAATGATTGAAAAGATGCGCAGGTAGTGAAGGGAGCGAGATGTGAAGATGTTTTTCTCGCAGTTGGATGAACAGCAGCTGTTGAATATCAAACGATTGAGAGTTTCATAACACAAATGGAAAATGGGATTCATTTGCAAGTTCCTAACTTCTTTGGGGCCTAAAATGCAACAATTTCAATAAGATCTGAAATGGAGGATCCTTGCTTTTGGAAGTAAATTGTAAATTTCTGACATTCAGGTTGATGTATTGTACTTTAATATATCAGAAAGATAGATAATAGAAGGAGATTCCATTTGTGTGACTCAACAACAACAACAAATTATATTTGTATAGCACCCTTCACGTCAGGATGACATCCAAAGGCGCTGGACAGTCAGGGATCTGCACACGAGCTGGTGGTTGGGTTCAGGAGGGGTGGAGGGTTGGGGGAGTAGGGATAGGAGGGTGACTGAAAGCACGGTCGAAGAGGAGAGTCTTGAGATGCGTCTTCAAGGAGGCAAGTGAGGGGGCAAGGTCGAGAGACTGTGGAATGGAGTTTCAGAGGATGGGGCAGAGAGGCTGAAGGCCAGTCCGCCAATGGTGGGTCGGCAAAGCGGGGGATGTGAAGCAGGCCGGAGCCCGGTGAGTGGAGGGAGCAGACAGATTTGTAGGGGGTTAGGAGGTAACAGAGGTATGGAGGAGTGTGGCCATGGAGGGCTTTCAAGTTGAGGACCACGATCTTGAACTGTATCCTCTGTGTTATGGGAAGCCAGTGGAGTTGGGCACGGATGGAGGTGATAGTGTCGTGGAGCCTGGTGCCGGAGAGGACACGGGCTGCAAAAGTTCTGGATGATCTGCAGCCTGTGGAGGGAGGAGTTGGGGTGGCTGACAAGCGGGGAGTTTGCCTGGGTGTGATGATTCAGTTATTTTATCAAAGAATCTTGACAGATTATCCCATTATAGATCCCTTTATATTAATTAATTTAACAATGATAAAATGTCTTACGTCTTTGAAAAAACTTGAACATTCAGTTTTACTTATTCTGGCTCTTTTCCATAAATCAGGATTACTTAAGAATGAAAAGAACTTGGTGCAGCTGTGACCCCAGGCATAGGAGTATGTATAGAAGATATTGGAACAGCAAAAAGCCTTGGTAGCTCAAATAAACATTCAAAATTGACCTACAGCACTGAATGCTCTACTATTTTCAGGATTTCTGGATGAGTTCACTGCATTTTACATATAAATCTTGGGTTAATAAGTTGTTGCTTTTATTTCAAACAGAAATGGGCCAAGGTGTCCCTATTGTGGGGCTGGTAATTGAAGGTGGTCCTAACGTGATCCTGACAGTGTGGGAATATGTCAGGCATACTCCCCCCACACCTGTCGTTGTTTGTGAAGGAACAGGCAGGGCAGCCAATATCCTGGCTTTTACACATAAGCATACTGCAGATGGTAGGTATGTTCCTGTTCATATATTCTCTCTTTCCCTCTGTATTCGTGTACTGTGTTTATAAAACAACAGTAATCCTTGCATTTGATATAGCACCTTCCACATCAGGAGAAAGTCTCAAAGCGTTTCACACGATTTACTTTAAAGTAGTGACTGTATTTTATAGGTGAATTTACTTGGATACAAAATGTGTGTATACATATAACTTAGGCCATTTGAACAGTGAAATGGTTACTAGTATCATACAGTTTAATTGGTTACATAGAGATGTTTAAATAGAGTTGTCATAAATGCATGCAATCGGATTTTCAGTAATCAGCAGTTTATTGAAATATGCTTTCAAGGGTCATTTTCTTCCAGAAAACCTGCTCGACAGATATTTTAACAAACATACAAGGTGTATCAGATTGAAGCATTGTTGTATCATTGACAGCATTCGAATGAAATTGACATAAGATTATTCTTATACTTCTGCCCTTAACAAAAATGTGTTGCCCAGCATATAATCTTGATGCCACTCATGTCCATTAGATGCCAATGCTACGGATCTTTTTGTTGCTGGAATTCCCATTATCTACACAGAATAAAAATTTGCCTATCAAGAGTGATGAATACCTATTGGACCAAATTGCCTCTCTAAATATATATATATATATATATATGTTTCTACCCAGCATATTACTGGCCATTACTGCATCCTCCATCGACCAGGGTTGCAATGATTTGATTTTGAGGTTTCAGTGTATTGTGCTACAATTAGTGAGTGTTCTTAACACTATGGCCAAGAAGTAGATCTTGATATTTTAAGAACTTGGTCATGAATTCAATAACATGTAAATAGCAGATCTCAGCTCAGACTGATTTCATTTGTTCACACCCTCTCTGATGGACTATTTGACATGCACATTTACGTGTATTACAGACACCTTTCTCCTGGGTTGGAGGATGAGCTAATACTGATGATACAGAAGACCTTCAATTTTGGACAGAAGCAATCCAATCATTTATTTAACATTCTTACAGAATGCATGGAGCACAGGGAATCGGTGAGTGCGTTCCAACCTGCAGCGATCTTGGGTAAAGTTTCAGAATGTTTATGTTTACATAGTTCAAGATCACAAGATTGGTTTGAGTGAAGAAGGCCCTTTTCCCCCTCTGATCCCATCCTTCCAGGATATCCATCCTATCATCCTCCCATCACAACATCAAGCTGATTTGTAAATGAGTTCAGTGCCCTGGCCTCAACCACTCTGCATGGCCACCTGTTCCAGATGTTAATTACCCTCTGAGTAAAGCAGTATGCATGTGTCCAGTGCAGAGCAGCTTCATTGGTAAATATACTGTATCCAACAGATTGGGATGTCCTCCTGACATGAAAAGCGCTATACAAATGTAATTTTGTATTGTATTGTGCAACTTCAATTCGTGTGATATTTTTGGGCAGTGAGAGAATGTTTAATCCCTTGGGGTGAGACAAGTCAAGACTGGTGAATGGTGACCAGTGTTGGTGAATGGAATACATTTCCATTCCTGTTTTTCCTTCTTGACATTATACTCCCTTCCCAAATGTTGGGCTCCAAAGGACCGATAGTAGTGGAGTTAACCACTCTATTGAAATCAGCTTATTCTGTTTGCCAGAATTTATATATAATGACCCATGAACAGAGGAACCAAAGTCCATTGTATTTTATATTTGAAGCTTGTTTCCTTAGTAAATTATAATGTCAAAATAAATATCAAAATCCATAAGTTGTAGACTAAAAGTCTCAAGATCTCTTGTTTCAGATGGAAAATCTTGAACTAGTGAGTATTGTCTCTGGAACTGGCACCCCTGATAATCACTTCATGGCTGTTTGTGTGAAATTGTTGTGTGCAAATTGGCTGTCATGTTTGCCTACAAAATACACAGTCACTACACTTTACAGTAAATCCTGTAATGTGCTTTCAGACACCTTCCTGATGTGAAAGGCGCTATATCAAATGTAAGGCTTATTATTAATAATAACTTCTGTTGTGAATACAGATAACAATTTTTGACACAGAGTCAGAAGACCAACAGGACATTGATTTAGCAATCCTGACCGCTCTTCTGAAAGGTACTTATTCTCATGTTAAATCTTGCAGATTCCTAAAGCTTACCTAATGAACTTTGTAATAGAATTTAGTTTTATATTGGAAACCTACAATGTTATTTTGCTTCTAAAGGTACAAATGCTTCAGCATCAGACCAGCTAAGTCTGACGCTGGCTTGGGACAGAGTTGACATTGCCAAGAAAAATGTTTTGGTTTACGGACAACATTGGAAGGTATTTCAATATATACTGTGTTAAAATTGATCATGCACTTCATGGCTGATTGGGAGACATAAAAAAAAAGCGAGAAATTTAAAAAGTGTTACATCAGAACGACGTCAGTATCAACAGTAAACTAACAACTATCAACACATTACACATCATGGACTTAACTTGATCAACTTAATTGGATCAACTTGATTAAATTAAAACTTAATTAACTTAACCTAATTAACTTAAGTTAACTAATTAACTAACTCAAGTTGGAAGAGGTGACAATGGCCCGGCAGTGTTATGTGAGGAGTGTGACATGTGGGAGCTGATGGAGGGCAGTCTGACCCCGGGTGACCACATCTGCAGAAGATGTCTGCAACTGAGCTGAGCTGAGCTGGAGTCCGAGGTGCAGACACTACGGAGTATCAGAGACAGTGAGTGCTTCCTGGATAGCTACATCCTGGAACCAATCACTCCCCTGAAGGAATATACACTCAACATTGATTATGGTCAGGATAGGTCAATGGACAGTCAGGAGGTCAGGGGGATAATGGAAAGAATGGTAGTAAATCCGGCATTAACCTTGAACAACAGGTATGAGATCCTTGGAACTTGTCTCAACAAGGAAGCCGGTGAGGTGGAAGGAAAAGCTACCTCTAACACTGGGGCAAAAGAGCAGATGGTTGTCGTCATTGGGAATGAGACTATTAGGCAGACAGACACAATCATCTGCAACACCAACCAAAACACCAGAAGGCTTTGCTGCCTCCCTGGGACCGGGGTGAAGGATGTCTCGGCAGGGCTAGAGGATAATTTAAAATATGAGGGCAAGGATCCATTGGTGGTATTTCACATAGGTACCAATGACATTAGTAGAGTTGGCCAAGATGACTTGAGAAGGGAATTCAAAGAGCTGGGGTCCAAATTGAAGTCAAGATCATCGAAGGTGGTAATATCGGGACTACTTCCTGTATCATACGACAATTGGTACAGGAACAAACAAATTAAGGACTTGAACGCATGGCTAAACGAGTGGTGCGTAACTCAGGGGTTTCTTTTTATGGGCCATTGGCATGAGTATTGGGGGAAAAGAGCTCTTTCAGAGCAATGGGCTGCATTTAAATCGGGCTGGGACAAATGTCCTAGCTAAACAAATTAATAGGGAGGTAAATAGGAATTTAAACTAGTAAAGGGGGGGAATATATCGGTAAGAGAAACCATAAGTTAGCATTAGAAAAAGTAAAGATGACAGTGCAGAATAGCATGCCAGATAATAGGAATATGTTAACTAGGGGTAAGAAGCTTGGCAAAGCAGATAAGGAATCAGAGAGTACAGGAAATGTTAGGAAATTAAAAATGTTATATTTGAATGTGCGAAGCATTCGGAATAAAACTGATGAATTAAAAGCACAGATAGACACATGTGGGTATGATCTAGTAGCCATCACTGAAACATGGTTACAAGGAGATCTAGGGTGGGAGTTAAATATTCCAGGGTTCTCAGTTTACAGGAAAGATAGGCACTGTGGGAAACGAGGTGGTGGTTGTGGGTGGGGGGGTGGCCCTGTTAATTAGGGATGAAATAAAAGCAGTGGAGAGAAAGGATCTGAAATCTGATGACCAGGAGGTTGAGACAATATGGTTGGAAATAAAAAATAATGAAGGGCAGAAAATATTAATGGGAGTGGTTTATAGACCCCCAAACAGCGATCACAATGCAGCACAGGGTATCAACCAAGAAATCAGTGGAGCGTGTAGGATAGGTAAAGCGATCATAATAGGTGATTTCAATCTCCACATAGATTGGGAAAACCAAATCAGCAAAAGTAGGTCAGAAGAAGAGTTCATTGAGTGTATGAGAAATAACTCTCTAGAGCAGCATGCCAAGGAACCAACTAGGGGACAGGCCATCCTAGACCTTGTTTTGTGTAACAAAACAGGGCTTGTCGGCAGTGTAAGTATTAAGACTCCTCTAGGGCAGAGTGATCACAATATGATTGAATTCTGCATTAAGTTAGAGAGGGATATAGTTAAATCCGAGGCAAGTATTCTGAATTTAAATAAGGCTAATTTTGTAGGTATGAGGAAAGATTTAGGTAAAATAGACTGGAGAATAAGATTAAGAAGTAAAAATGTAGACCAACAGTGGCAAATATTTAAGGATGTAGTGCAAAATTCTCAGCGGTCGCATATTCCCTTGCGGAATAAGAGTACCACAGGGAAAGCAATTCATCCGTGGCTAACTAGAGCAGTTAGGGAAAGCATCAAATTAAAAGAAAAGACTGATAAAACTGCCAAGAAAAGCAGCAAATCTGAAGATTGGGAGAGTTTTAGAAATCAGCAAAATAAAACTAAAAAACTCATTAAGAGTGAGAAAAAGGAGTATGAGGGTAAGCTAACCAGGAACATTAAGTCAGATTGTAAAAGTTTTTACAAATATATTAAGAGGAATAGGCTAGTGAGGGTAAATGAAGGTCCACTTCAGTCAGAGATGGGAGAAGTTGTAATGGGGGATAAGGACATGGCAGAGTCCCTAAATGGGTACTTTGCATCTGTCTTCACCCTAGAAGACACAACAAGTCTGCCAACAATAGAGATGCAGCAAGGGGATAAGGACAGGGAGCAACTTAGGGAAATTTTAATTAGTAGAGAATTGGTGCTAGAGAAACTGTTAGCACTAAAATCCCCTGGTCTGGATGGCTTGCCTCCCAGGGTTTTAAAAGAGGTAGCTTATGAGATAGTGGAGGCCTTATGTCTGATCTTCCAAAATTTCTTTGATTCTGGAACAGTCCCCATGGATTGGAAGATCGCAAATGTCACACCACTATTTAAAAAAGGTGGAAAGGAAAAGATGTGGAACTATAGGCCAGTTAGTCTCACATCAGTGATAGGAAACATTTTAGAATCATTGATTAAGGATGTGGTAGTCTGGTATTTAGGGAGCACAATATAATTACGCCAAGTCAACATGGCTTTACAAAAGGGAAGTCTTGTTTGACAAATCTCATAGAATTCTTTGAGGCTATTTCGAGTAAACTAGATAAGAGTGAATCAGTGGATGTGGTCTATTTGGACTTCCAGAAGGCATTCGATAAGGTGCCGCATAAAAGGTTAGTCCAAAAGGTAAGTGCCCATGGAATTGGGGGGAGCATATTAACGTGGATTGGGGAATGGTTAACGGGTAGAAAACAAAGAGTAGGGATAAACGGGTCCTTTACAGATTGGCGGGATGTGACTAGTGGAGTGCCACAAGGATCAGTCCTTAGGCCTCAGCTATTTACCATCTACATCAACGATCTAGATGAGGACATCGAAGTTAATATATCTAAATTCGTGGATGACACAAAACTAGGAGGAATTGTGAACACAGAGGACGACATTAAAAAAATGCAGCGAGATATAGATAGGTTAGGTGATTGGGCAGGTGGGTGGTAGATGACGTATAATGTAGGGACGTGCGAAGTCATCCACCTAGGTAGCAAAAACAGTAGAGCGGGTTATTTTTTAGAAGGGGAGAGATGGGAATGTGTTAGCGTCCAGAGGGACTTGGGTGTCCTTGTACACCAATCACAGAAAGTTAGTCTGCAGGTGCAGCAGCAATTAGGAAGGCGAACGGTATGTTAGCATTCATTATGAAAGGATTAGAGTGTAAAGGTAGGGAAGTCTTGCTGCAACTGTATAGGGCCCTGGTGAGACCACACCTGGAATACTGTGTGCAGTTTTGGTCTCCTTATTTAAGGAAGGATGCACTTGCCTTGGAGGAGGTGCAGCATAGATTTACTAGGTTAGTACCAGGGATGAAGGGGATGTGTTACGAGGATAGGCTGACCAATTTTGGCTTATATTCTCTAGAATATAGAAGAATTAGAGGGTATCTTATAGAAACCTATAAGATCATCAAAGGGCATGATAGAGTAGATAGTGGGAGATTGTTTCCCCTGGTTGGAGAAACTAAAACCAGGGGTCACAACCTTAAAATCAGAAGCCAGCCCTTTCGCACTGAGTTGAGGAAGAACTTCTTCACTCAAAGGGTGGTGAATGTATGGAACTCACTACCCCAAAGGGCTGTTAATGCTCAGTCCTTGAACATATTCAAGACTGAGATAGATATATTTCTTATTGCAAAAGGGATTAAGGGATATGGGGATAAGGCATGGTTATGGTATTAGCTGGAGTTAGATTAGAAGATCAGCGATGATTGAATGGCGGGGCAGGCTTGAAGGGCCGAATGGCCGACTCCTGCCCCTACATGTTATGTTATGTTACATTCCTGTGGGCAAATTGGCTGCCACGTTCAACTACAAAATGCACACTCTACAGTGTATCCTCTGAAGTGCTTTGCGTTGTCCTCCCAATGTGATTGGCACTATATCAAATGCCAAGATTACTATTATTTTATTAAAAGGGGGAACATTTTTACAGATTTCTAAAATACTTTGTGCCCTTGTAGGTGAGGGACTACAACCCTCAACCTCCATCTTCCTGATGCAAACATTTAGAACATTTCATGTAGGAGAACATCTCAAAGTACTTCACACAGACCATGTGGACCAAGACCCTGAAACTTTGTACTGATATGATTCGCAGTGCAAATTATTTTATTAAATATACCTCACACCTCACATGAGGTGTTAACCAGTTTCCCTGAAGTTTCTTTCTAAGGGTGAGACACCCTCTTTAAGAATAAGAACAATGCTTTTATCTGAATGGTGCAGGTTGGATCCCTGGAACAGGCCATGCTCGATGCTCTGTTGATGGATCGTGTGGATTTTGTGAAGCTGCTGCTAGAGAACGGTGTGAGCATACATCACTTCCTCACCATCTCCAGACTCCAAGAGCTCTACTACATGGTCTGTACATCATTGTTCTCCAAAAGCACAGACTTCCTTGTTTAAAACTTTTTTTGTGCTGCTGTGCGGAATGACTTCTAGTCAACCCAAATCAATTGGGATTTAAGTGATGCATATGAAAGAAGGAATTTGATTAATATGGGGGGTGGAGGGGGGTTGGGCAGAGTGGGGGAGTAGAGAGCTTTTTAAAATAAATATCTGACATTCAGAGAATGATTTCTCTCAGCGCTGCTGTAGTCTCAATGCTGGACAACATGCTTTGTCTAAGTGAGGGAGGATTCTGGCCACTGTTGTTCCCAGTCGTGTGAGCAGTTATTCAATGCTGCTTCACCGCACAATGGTTTAATTGTACTGCCCCAACCTGGATTACCAATTCTATTTCAGATCTGGATGGAGCCAGTGATTATTGTTCAATACAATAGGAAACGTGAGCTACATCAATATTGACTTACAAATATTTAATTCCACAGAAACAAGGTCCCGCTAATCTCCTGCTGCATCACCTTGTCGGAGATTTGAAACAGGTAAATCCAGGAACAGATTAAAGAGATATCTGGCCTCAGGCTCTTTTCCACCTTAAGTGCTTTTGTGGGTTCTTAATGATAAACTGCTTACCAGATACATCTGTTCTCAGTGCTAACATTTTTACAAGGTTCTGCCTTTAAAATCCAATTACCACATGATTCAGGAAGTATAGTACAAAATTACATTTGTATAGAACCTTTCACATTGGGAGGATGTCTGAATGCTGTAGTTATATCTATGTGATGATTGTGGGGCCACCAAATTAACAACGCAGCATACTTTGTTAATTTACCTCCAAATACCTGAAAAATCAGTGGTTAGAGCCCTCGCCTTGCAAGCCAGAGATCTGGGTTCGATTCCCAGCAGGTCGAAACCTTGGGCAAGTTTCCTTATTCCACACGCCTGATAATAATCCCTTAAGAAAAAAAAAAATAATTTGGTCACTCAAACCATGACTGTTTGTGGGACACTGCTGTGCGCACTTGGCTGCTGCATTTGGCGCACAAATATACAGTCAATTCACTTTACAGTATATTCTGTGAAGCGCTTTGAGACGTCTAAAATATGTGAAAAGCGCTATATCAAATGCAAGGATTATTATTATTAAATACTTCTGCTCTCTCTGATTCTTTTGAGGCTATTACTTGGTACATTTTATCATTGCCATGACCCACTCTGCCTTCCCCCACCTCCGCAACGTCACTTGGCTCTGCCACTGCTTCACCCCTTAGGCCGCCGAAACATTTATGTACTCATCCACACATTCATCACATCTAGGCTCAACTACACCAACTCCCTACTTGTTGACCTTCCCAACTCTTCCTCCCACAAGCTGCAGATCATCCAGAACTCTGCAGCTTGTGTCCTCTCCTGCACCAGGCTCCGTGACCCCATCACCCCCACCCTCGCCTGGCTCCCCATCCCCCAGAGGACAGAGTTCAAAATCCTCTACAGTCTTGCCCCTCCCTACCTCTGCGACCTGCTGACCCCATATCAACCTATCTACTCCTTCCACTCAACAGGGTCTGGCCTACTCAATGTCCCCTGCCTGGGCTGCTCCACCATCGACGGCTGGGCTTTCAGCCTTTCTGCCTCCACCCTACAAAACTCTATCCCAGATTCCCTTCGTCTCGCTCCCTCACTCGCCTCCTTCAAGGTGCGTCTCAAAACCCTCCTCTTCGACCGAGCCTTCGGCGACCCACTGAAAATCTTGCCCTCCACCCTCCCTGATCCCGACCCCCAGTTCGGGTCCAAATTTCTGACTGTCCAGCACCTTGAGACATCCTCCCAATGTGAAAGGCTCTATACAAATGTAATTTTGTACTGTACTGCCTGGATCATGTGGTAATTTGGATTTTAAAGGCAGATCCTTGGTCTCAATGTGAAGTTATGTAGCTTTGACAAACACATAAGATATTCCACATGCGTATGTGTTAAATTTAATGAGTTCCCACTTTTGTGAATGTAGCATTGCAAATGAATTTTACTTGAATGTTATGAATGTTATTAAACATTCATTCACAGAACAACCTTCCTCCTGGTTACAAGATCTCTCTGATTGACATTGGTTTGGTGATGGAATACCTGGTAGGAGGCGCTTACAGGAGCAGCTACACAAGAAAATCTTTCAGAGTCCTGTACAACAACCTCCTTAGTAAGCACAAGGTAAGGAAATGACTGCTCTGATGCTAAATAGATTAATCATTGTTGTTCAAATCATGTTGTCATAAATGTTTTCATTTGATATCTCCTTGGCTATCATATTTGGGATAGATGGAAGCAGCATGCTTTCTTCACTGTTTCCTGATAGCACAATAGCATGGATATGATCATCAGCTTGCTGAAGTGAATATTACAAATCAGATAATAATTTTCAACAATCCTGTAGCATTGGTAAAACTATAGATAGTTTAATCGGTTCCTTGAATTAGTCAATGCAAGTGCTTGTTGCTTAGTTGATTTTCTGCACCAATGAAATCTCCATAGTTTTTCAGGAATTGTTTGACTGAAACAAATAGTTTTATAAAATGTGATCACCATTTGAATTTTCTCTTCATCTCCATTTTTGACCTTTGCTATCAGTAGCATTTGATGCCATATTCAATTGAATAGAACAAGTGCTTCATTCCCCCTGATGGAAGCAGTAGGTTTGAATGATTGTATCAGATTTATTTGAGTATATTAACTTGCTACTGACCACACATTACTTGCTGGTTATTGTAATAGCCAATGTTTGGTCATTCAGTTGATGGTTGTTTGTGAGACATTGCTGTGTGCAAATTGGCTGTCTAATTCATCTACAAAAACACATTCATAACAACAATTATCTGTGACTCACTTTGATCTTACAAGTACTTTTTCATATACAAGGATTACTATTTCTTGCTTGATTGATATGTGGTAGCATTTATCAGTTTACTGAGTAATATGCTTTAAAATAGCCCAATAATTAAACAGTTGTTCTCTATGTTAGTGAGATGTTGTAGCTACACATGCAGTATGTTCACCTAACAGTGTGAAAACATGGGACTTAAGGATATATGAAGAAGATGATGCCATCATTCTTTACTTAACAATTTGAAGTGTGTTATGTAATTGATAGCGATCCGGAATGCTACCTCAAATGAAGAGCGCTCTGTAAATGCTGTAAAAGTTATTGTTGTTGTTAGGAAGAACATTGTAGTTTAAATATAGCTTCTTTAATTAGATATAGAAACATATAACTCTACAAAGCAGAAGGGGACCATTCGACCAATTGAGTCTACACTAGCTCACAGAGCGAATATGTATCTTAAAGTGTGCTCAATTTGTCGGATGGAAGAATTTGGTATTAGATGTTAATTTGTCGATAACCTCTAAACAAAGAACTGTCATTTTCACAGCGCATTAGTCATCAGAGTGTATCCGACTTCTCACAGACCTGGACCCACCATTCCTCACTCCCGAACATAGACACAAACCCAAGAATGAGATCTGTGGAGCACAGGCTACATTCTCAGTTCATTCGAACAGCCCAGCCCTACAGAGCCAAGGTACTGCACAGTGCATCCGGTAGCCTCATTAGTTACAAGGTTTAATTTATTAGTTTACTTTTTAGCAAGATAATAGTTAATAACTAGCCTACAGGTGAAAATGTCTTTACTCCTCCAACTCCCACCCCCAACTGGTTTCTTTTGGTTTCTCACTTCTGTGCACTGTTTTTTTTCTCTGATGCCTGTATCCTGTGTCTGAATCCTGTGAAGTACAGTTCTGCTTCACAGGAGACGGATTGAGTTTAGCTGGTATCCTTTGAAGCTTGACTAAAATGAGATAAACAACGACTGGAACAGTTTGCCAGGAATAGCGGTTGAGGCCAGCACACCAGACTCATTTAAAAAACAGCTCAATGGTAAGATGATAGGATGGGTGTTCTGGAGGGATGACATCAGATGGGCCAAAAGGCTGTATTCATCCAGACCAATCTTGTGATCTTATGGAAAACACACAATTGTAGCTCAAAAACAGTCATGTCAAGATTGAAATGACTATTCAGAAATCAGGGAATACTGTGAGGTGGGGCATAGGGGATCATGCCTGTGTCCTATCTTTAAGAATAGATGGAAAGTGCCATGTTTTGTATAAGATTTGATAATTTGTTTGATAAAAATCAAATCTATGGTGAGACATCACCCTGCCCCACTTTGATTTTGCAAGGAATGCAGGTATTAGTTTTCATTCAGTCTGATGTTGCCCTTGCAGGAAAAATCTGTTTCATCACATAAATCGAGAAAGAGGTCTAAACATGATCTGAATTTTTCTGAGGATTACGACTTTGCAAGTTTCATCTACCCATTCAATGACCTACTGGTGTGGGCGGTGCTGATGAAACGGCAGAAGATGGCTATGTTCTTCTGGCAACATGGAGAGGAAGCCATGGCAAAGGCAGTAGTGGCTTGTAAACTCTATAGAGCCATGGCACATGAGGCCAAGCAGAGCAATATGATGGATGACATCTCGGAAGAGCTGAAGCAGTATTCCAAGTAGGAACTATTCAATGTTAAATCATTTTAGAGTTTATTCTGTGAAGCGCTTTGAGACATCTCGAAGACGAGATAAGGCGCTATATCAAATGCAAGGATTATTATTAAAGGGCTTTCAAACTCTCCCTCATGCCTATGTTAGTCCAAAACAAATTTAGGGTGTATTTATTTTTGGGGATCTTCTATTGCCCAGCCTAGTGATAGTAACACTTATGTTTAAAGGACAGATGTGCTGCATTTTAAAGTTACCCGGCAGCTGTATTTTTGATATCATTGCGGGAAAAAGCTCAGTGATTTCATATGAGATTCCTTAATAGACTCCCATAAATCGGGACTGCTTCTGCTAACAAGAATATGTCAGACCAATTCATATGTTATCGAGGTGCCCAATACCCTGGATTTCTAAAATAAAAACAGAAGTCGCTGGGAACACTCAGCAGGTCAGGCAGCATTTATGGAGAGAGGAAAGTGAGTTAATGTTTCAGGCCGATGACCTTTCGTTAGAACCCTGGATTTCTAACTGGATTCATTGGTAGGAATATGAATGGGGATTCCTTTTGGTAACTGAGTGTAAGTCAAGCCAACTTGAGGTAACTATGCTCCCAAAGTAGGTTGCACTGAAGCAGAGTTCCTGATATATACTTCCATTTTCCCAATTAAGCAATCCCAATTGCATATCCCTGCACATCAGACCACACTTAAATAGTGGTATTGAGTGAAAATCCAACAGCCAGCATTTGCTTTTCTGACTCTGCTCCCTGGATTAACCCATTTGTACAACCAAAATATTCACCTCATGCACATTAATATTGCTGCACATACACAAAATGTTGTGTTAAAGAGTCTGCAAAAGCTTTGTGAATAGGAGCGATGGTAGCTAATGGATTGGTGTTTAAAGGAGCCACAATGGGTCTGTGTTTTCATAGCGAATGTTTTCCCTCGCCAGGGAATTTGGGCAGCTTGCTGTGGGTATTTTGGATCATGCCTTCAAACAGAATGAGAGAATGGCCATGAAACTGCTGACTTACGAGCTGAAAAATTGGAGCAATTTCACCTGCCTGAAACTAGCAAGCTCGGCTGGCCTGCGACCTTATGTTTCACACACTTGCACGCAGATGCTTCTAACAGACATCTGGATGGGACGTCTCAAACTGAGGAAGAACACCTGGCTTAAGGTAAAGGGCACTCAGTCACTCCCCTGAGGGAATGTACAGTCAACATTGGTTAGGTCAGGATAGGTCAATGGACACTCAGGAGGTCAGGGGGACAACGGAAAGAGTGGTTGTAAATCCGGCTTAACCTTGAGCAATAGAAATTAGGTCCTTGGAACTTGTATCGACAAGGAAGGTGGAAGGACAAACTATCTATAACACTGGGGTAAACGAGTGGATGGTTATTGTAATTGGGGATGAGACTGTTAGACAGACAGATACAATCATTTAATAATAATAATAATAATCCTTGCATTTGATATAGTGAGTTGCACTGAAGCAGAGTTCCTGATATATACTTCCATTTTCCCAATTAAGCAATCCCAATTGCATATCCCTGCACATCAGACCACACTTAAATAGTGGTATTGAGTGAAAATCCAACAGCCAGTTGTTGACAGTGGTTAGAGCACTCTCTTTGCAAGCGAGAGACCTGAGTTCAATTCCAGGCAGGTCAGGGCGAAACCTTGGGCAAGTTTCCTTACTCCACACAGAGCCTAATGATAATCTCTCCCAAACCAAAAACAATAATAAATTGGTCATTTTCAATCTACGACTGTTTGTGGGACATTGCTGTGCGCAATTGGCTGCCGAGTTTGCCCACAAATATACAGTCAATTCACTTTACAGTGTGTTCTGTGAAGCGCTTTGGGACGTCCTCCCGACGTGAAAAGCGCTATATCAAATGCAAGGATTATTATTATTATTATAGTGGTCTCACATCAGTGGTCGGAAAAAATTTAGAATCATTGATTAAGGATGTGGTAGTCTGGTATTTAGGGGAGCACAATATAATTAGGCCAAGTCAACATGGCTTTACAAAAGGGAAGTCTTGTTTGACAAATCTCATAGAATTTTTTGAGGATATTTCGAGTAAACTAGATAAGGGTGAATCAGTGGATGTGGTCTATTGGGACTTCCAGAAGGCATTTGATAAGGTGCCGCATAAAAGGTTAGTCCAAAAGATAGGGGCGCATGGAATTGGGGGGAGCATATTAACATGGATTGGGGAATGGTTAACGGGGAGAAAACAAAGAGTAGGGATGAACAGGTCCTTTTCAGATTGGCGGGATGTGACTAGTGGAGTGCCACAAGGATCAGTCCTTGGGCCTCAGCTATTTACCATTTACATCAACGATCTAGATGAGGACATCAAAGTTATATCTATATCTAAATTCGCGGATGACACAAAACTAGGAGGAATTGTCAACACAAAGGGTGACATTAAAAAAATGCAACGCGACATAGATAGGTTAGGTGATTGGGCAGGTAGGTGGCAGATGATGTATTATGTAGGGAAGTGCGAAGTCATCCACCTAGGTAGCAAAAACAGTAGAGCGGGTTATTTTTTAGAAGGGGAGAGATTGGAATGTGTTAGCGTCCAGAGGGACTTGGGTGTCCTTGTACACCAATCACAGAAAGTTAGTCTGCAGGGGCAGCAGCAATTAGGAAGGCGAACGGTATGTTAGCATTCATTATGAAAGGATTAGAGTACAAAGGTAGGGAAGTCTTGCTGCAACTGTATAGGGCCCTGGTGAGACCACACCTGGAATACTGTGTGCAGTTTTGGTCTCCTTATTTAAGGAAGGATGTACTTGCCTTGGAGGGGGTGTAGTGTAGATTTACTAGGTTAGTACCAGGGATGAAGGGGATGAGTTACGAGGATAGGCTGACCAATTTGGGCCTATATTCTCTAGAATATAGAAGAATTAGAGGGGATCTTATAGAAACCTATAAGATCATCAAAGGGCATGATAGAGTAGATAGTGGGAGATTGTTTCCCCTGGTTGGAGAAACTAAAACCAGGGGTCACACCCTTAAAATCAGAGGCCAGCCCTTTTGTACTGAGTTGAGGAAGAACTTCTTCACTCAAAGTGTGGTGAATGTATGGAACTCATTACCCCAAAGGGCTGTTGACGCTCAGTCCTTGATCATATTCAAGACTGAGATAGATATATTTCTTATTGCAAAAGGAATTAAGGGATATGGAATAAGGCAGGTTTATGGTATTAGCTGTAGTTAGATTAGAAGATTGAATGGCGGGGCAGGCTCGAAGGGCTGAATGGTTTACTCCTGCTCCTACATGTTATGTTATGTAGAGCACATTGGGCACTTTTGGTAAATTTACCAAACTAACAGCAAACTATGGCACTTTTGCCCTACAGTGAGAAGATTTTAATGCATTACTGGCCAAAATGAAATTAATTTATATAGAGAATAGTGAACAAATTCAGAGGTCTTATGCAAAAAATTGAGCTGACAGCATAAACTGTGAGATGCGTTTAAAATCATCTGAACCCCTGGATGAGATTGAGATTACAATCTCATGAAGACTCTCCATGGGACATTCTCCTGATGTGAAAGGCACTATATAAATGTAAATTTGTTGTTGTTGTTTTCCATGCCATCCTGTTCTTTCTCTGTATCCAGGCATTCTGCTTCAGTTTGTGGGGCATTTTGGAAAAAAAGGAAATATGTCACTCAATTCATGACTATTTGTGGGATATTGCTGGGCGTAATTGGCTCCTGGGTTTTGCCTCACAAAATACAGTCAATTCACTTTACAATACATTCTGTGACATGCTTTGAGATGTCCCACTGATGTGATAAGGTGCTATATCAAATGCAAGGATTACTATTATTTTGTCTCATGGCTTCTGTATTTCCTGATATGAGGCATCCAGCAGCAATATCCACTGTTCTGCTGCATTTGTAAGGAACTCCGAGAACTTCCATAGGCATGATCTGCACTTTGTAAACTCAAACTGGATTGGAACCATTGCTGTTATTCTTGTTACATGTGTTTAATTCTTCTCTTTATTATAAGCTGCAGTATTTCTCCCGATGTACACATCAAACAGCGACTCTACATTCCCAGGATCATGCCTCTGACCCCATTTTAGACTCAACATTAGTTGTTTTCCAACTTTCGGTATTTTCCAACATTCCAGCCATGTATTTAATGAGCTGTAAAAATTGTCAACTACAGTTCCCTCTAGTTCAACCCTCGCTTCCTTAAGTACTGGTGTATGCATCCCATTTGATTCAATTCTCTTATGAATATTTATCATTGTCAACCTTTATTATCTTTATGACCTGAATAACTCCTCTACCCCTCCAGCTGCAGAAAAGGACACTCCATTATTTTCTGCAGTGAAAGGTACTGTGAAAATAAGATTCCTGCCTTATTATTCTCCTCTCCTCAGATCTCAGAGGTGTGAGTAAAGGGTACTGCAAATGAAACAAGCAGCCTTGGGCTGCAACGAGGAAAAAAATAGTGCAAATTCCACTTTGAATTGCTATTCCAGGGCCTATCCCTCTCCTGCACTCCTTACTAAAAAGTGTGTATATCTATGTGTGCTTGTATCTATGATGTGTGCATGTGTGTTCACAAATGTGCATGTGTGTGCATGTTTGTTCAATAATAATAATAATAATAATCCTTGCATTTGATATAGCGCTTTTCACTTCTTCCAGATGTCTCAAAGCACTTCACAGTTAAGTAAATTGACTGTATATTTGTGGGCGAAATCAAATTCAAGATCAGACTGAGTGCTCCTCAAGTCCAATAATCTACCAACTATGCTATTTAGTCTCACACTTGAATGATGGCCACTTGGGTGAGGTTTGATATCTGCCAGTGTTTGTGGAACCATATGCCACGTCTTTGGCTTCCAGAGAAGAGAGGTTGTAACTGATGAGAGGTTGAACATTGAAAAGTGTATATCTCAACATTTTTTAAAGTTTAAAATGTGCTTACAATAATACAGATTTATAAATGTATACAGTAAATATTTTGGATGATTCCTCCTCTCAAAGCATAGACAGCACATTAGGATGAGGAAGGCAGATTACTGAAGGATGAGTGAACATCTTCTCTTGTGTCAAAATGTACAGAGAATGGAATAAGTAATACTTTGCCCCAGTAAATGTACATGTGCATTTCTTACATGTGCTGTAATTGTACAAATGCGTTATTCAGTGACTTGTATTTAGTTGTATACTTTCTTTTTATGGCTGGCAAAACAACTTGCTGAAAATAGATATTGGCTTTAAGATTCATCCAGCAGCTCTGCATTGGTGTCATGGCAGACCCTGTGATTTTTGGATGTATAGTTTAAGACAGACAAAAACTTGGAGCTCCTGACCCAACACCATCGCTATTTAGAGCAGTCTAAAGAGAAGACCCATCACCACCTTCTTGCAGTAGCAGGGGATGGCAATAAATGCTGGCCCTGGCAGTGCCACTGATATTAGTAAAAAAAAAGGTGGATTTATTGATTCATACCTGATTTTGTCCAGGAAGTCTGATAACTGTTTCAATCGGGCTGAAGATACAGGAAGATGATTCAAGACAGTAGAACAAGAAGGCATAGGTTTAGAGTTGCAAAGAGCAATTTGGGAATAGTTATCAGGAAGTTTTTCTTTACCTAGAGGGTAATGATTGGAACAGGTTACCAGGAACTGAGGTTGCCATGAAGTAATCCTTGCATTTGCATTACCAAATGCAAGGATTTTTTTTATCTCTCCTATCTTAACGTGACACTGTTTGTTGTCAGATTGTTCTGTGTATTCTTCTGCCTCCGACCATTCTGATGTTGGAGTTCAAGAGCAAGGCTGAAATGTCCCACATCCCTCAGTCGCAGGAGGATCATCAGTTTACGCAACAGTACAACACGCAAAACTCCGGCACCGACAAGGACAGCTCTCCTTCGGTAAGGTTAACAAGCTTCATACCCGTAACTGTCCCCTTTGTTTTCAATGAAAATGGTAATCAACAGATGGGCTGCCGTGTTTGCCCCCATATCAACATCTATTTTTTGTTTCCAAATAATGTCACTCTGAAGGCTTCAAGACACAATGTAAGTATAGGAATAAGTACAGGAGTAGGCCATTCAGCACCTCAAATCTCTTTTGCCATTCTATTAGGTAATGGCTGATCTGTACCTCAACGCCATTTATCCGCCTTTGCTCCATTATAGCTTGATACCCTTACCTAATAAAAATGTATCAACCTTAGTCTTGAAAATTTCAATTAATCCAGCATCCACAGCCTTTTGGGGGAGAGAATTCCAGATTTCCCCTCGCCTTTGTGTAAAAAGGGTTGTGGAACTTGCTCTTGTTGTTTTCACCTGTTGTAAAGTAATCTGAAGTTATTATAACATCTCTTTTATCTTAATTTTATAGCTTATGCCAACACTCTTCATTGTGCTAGTGTCAGTAAAAGATTGGACATGGTACTGGATAATAATGTTTAGTGAGTACTTAGATGTTAATTTACTGATTTACAAACTAAGTCTGGGGTTATTTGAGGCTTCACTGCTTAAAGAGTAGAATGTGGTGAATGTATCATCAGGATAGAAGTTGTACTTGAGGAGAATCTCTCCAGTTTGGCAAAATCAGTCATTTATCTCCCACTCAGAAGATTTGTAAATGTGTACACCAGGATGTAGTCAGGTCAATCCTTGTTTGCTGTTTCTAGTGTGTGAAATATCTGCTGCCTCTTTTCTATGTCTAAAAGATTCAGGAGTGTGTTCCACTCACTGCTTTGGATGTGTAAGACTTTTCAGTTGTTCCTTTTCATTTCTTTACAGTATGACATGGAAAAGGCATTGGATATAACTGAGGACAGTCAGGACAGCAGTGCTGGCACCAGGCAGAGGGGATTGCCTTGGACAAGAAAGATCCATGAATTCTACAGCACGCCAATTGTCAAGTTCTGGTTCCATTCGGTTTGTCTTGCCTTATTGTTATTTTTGTGACACACTTTATTCAATGTATTCAGGACAGATACCAGGACATTTTCTATTTCCTCAGAGGGTAAGTAACGACTGGAACATTTTTGTTGCCAGGTAGGGTGGTTGAGACCAGGGCACTGGACTCATTTGAAAAAAAATCTTGATGCTGTGAGAACAGTAAGGTGGGTGTTCTGAAGGGATAAACTGTCTTCATCCAGATCTATCTTGAGATCTTGAGTGATCTTTTAAAGTGTCTTTATTATGTACCTGAAGCACTCAAATTGAAAAGCCACCTGTGAAGGTGAAGTAGGAACTAGACAAATATTTAAAAAAAGAGAATTGGGTAAGGTCATGGGAGTGTGACTAAATGTTGACTTCTTCTGAGTCTTCTGTTTCTCCAACTGGAGGAAGAAAGGTCTGCTCACACCTTTTCTGGAGACAATGCCTTTTAACATTCTGATACATTTCTATTTTTAACCGTTCACAGATGGCTTACTTGGGATTCCTGATGCAATTCACCTTCATAGTGTTGGTGAAAATGGAGCCGAGACCTAGTGTCCAAGAATGGATTGTTATTACCTACGTTTTCACCACAGCAGTGGAGAAAGCCCGAGAGGTGAGCGTCTTTTCCAAGCTTCTAAGTCAAAGGTATTTTAGTCACAATATGTCTAGGATACAATAATATTCCTTGCATTTGACATAGGGCCTCTCAAGTCAGTAGAACATTACAAAACTGATTTACTGTGAAGTGCAGTGTGTATTTGTATTTGTAGGTGAACATGGCAGCAAATGTCCTACAAACAGCCAGAGTGAATGACATATTTGTTTCTCTGGGGAATTGTTGTCAGAGATACCAGGATCTTCCTTCTCTTTTTGACTTGTGCCATGGGATCAGGGTGCGAGACCAAGGGGTAAAGGGGCGAAGTTCCAAAGACTAGGATGCAGTGGCTCACTGTTCGACCACTGGGATGCTTAAACAGGTCTGAGTTAGCCAAGCAGAGGGAGTGAGTGGATGAGAGGGGTAGGAGAAATTCATAGAGATAGTGAGGTGTTGGGGCGTGAAGGGATTCATAGTTGATGATGAGGACCCTGAAGTCAATTTGTTGGATAACAGGGAGACCGTGGAGCCTAGTGGTGACAGGCATGCGGAATTTATGAACTCTGCAGCCCGTGTCCTCTCACGCACCAGGCTCCGTGACCCTACCACCCCCCGTCCTCACCTGACTACACTGGCTTCCCATCACACAAAAGATACAGTTCAAGATCCTGATCCTCACCTTCAAAGCCCTCCTTAGTCTTGCTCCTGTCTACCTCTGCGATCTCCTAACCCCCTACCATCCTGGCCGCTCTTTCCACTCAGCAGGCTGCGGCCTGCTTCACGTCCCCCGCTTTGCCCGCTCCACCGTTGGTGGGCAGGCTTTCTGCCACTCTTCCTCCAACCTCTGGAACTCCATCCTGCAGTTCCTCCACCTTGCCCATTCCTGTATCTCCTTCAAGACCCATCTCAAGACCCTCCTTTTCGACCATGCTTTCGATCATCCTGCTCCCACCTGCTCCCCACCTGATCCGACTGCCAGCTCAGGTCTGTTACTCTGACTGTCCAGCACCTTGGGATGTCTTCCCGATGTGAAAGGCGCTATACAACTGTAATTTTGTTGTTGTTGTTGTGCATGTGAAGGTGGGGCCAGCGGAATTTTGTATCAGCTGGAGCATATGGATGATGAAACTAGGAAGGCTGGTAAAGAGTGTGTTCATGAAATCAAGTTGGGAGGTAACAAAGAGTGAGAGTTTCTGGGGTGTTTGGTGTGATATAGGGGCATAGGCAGACCTCCTCTTACAAATACAGGACCTAGTGTACAATTTGAATTTCACATACAGTATTACAAAAGCACCAAAATGCTGTTTTCAGGTAGCTCCCATATCACTGCAAGTCAAAGCAATTGTTTGTTAACTAAAGAACTGTGGAAATTAAGCTTCCAAATTAAGATTGAATGTATGATAGCTTTTTAAAATTCCGAATGATCTTAATTTATAAGTTTATGGGCTTAACCCTAAAAAACTGTGAATTTTGGGCCGCTGGGTCTTACAACTTTTGTTTTTTCCTTGTAACTGTTATAAAGGGATAACATGAAATTTTTGGTCTAATGTTTGACCACATCTCCATTACAGGGAGAATATGCAAAATATTGTAGAACACGAGCTGTATTGAAACCAGCACTGTACCAAATCTTAATTTACCTTTGTTTTATCCTTTTTGCATAGGTATTCATGTCAGAGCCAGGAAAGATCAGCCTGAAGCTTAAAATTTGGTTTCAGGAGTACTGGAACTTCAACGACTCAGTAGCTATAGTCCTGTTTTTTATTGGTTTTGGTTTACGCTTAGCAGAACAGCCTCTGCAGACAACTGGAAGGATTATATACTCCCTGGATATTATATTTTGGTATGCACGACTTCTGGACTTTTTTGCTGTTAATCAGCATGCAGGGCCATACTTGACCATGATTGCGAAAATGGTGAGTAGATTCAGTGAGAAAGGAATCGGTCTCACTAAATCAGACATGACGCTCAGTAATATAAGTGTTCAGCAAATTATTTCTGAACTGTGTTTTAACTCACATGTAATGGTTATGAAATCTTTAATACTGTTATGAAAAGAGTCCTGACTGGGCTGTGCATTAACACAGTTCCCTTTTGACCTCTGAGCTCTCCTTTTGATCCAGTCCAAAGTGATGGAGTGAAAGTCTTGCCTGTCTACGTGTTTTGTGCAGAAATGAGTTTGGACAGCCTTAACCCAGTTCATTTTTTTTTACATCGGCTAAGTGTCTGACACATGCAGAAACACATCATAGGGATACATTGAGATGTCATTTGATTAATAAGTAATCTGATTCAAGTAAATGAGGATTATTTCCATAACTGAGGTCTATATAATGCCTGCATTAACTCTGCATGATCTATGTCTAGATTGGAAGTCCCACAGGGAACTTAAGGGTATTCCTTATAAAATAATTCTGTCATGTCAAGAAATACCTTAGATTCCAATTGTTGGAGTAGAGAAGAAGGAAAGGAGCTTTACTTTGAAATTGACGTTTGCTATACTTGACTTGAGAGTCTAATCTGGAAAAGTGATCCATCCATTCCCCAATATTAATCTCGCTAATTTTGATAACCACAAAAAGCNAAAAAAAATTACAAAGCAAAGAAATTAACATCTTGTGTGCCAATAAAACTGAAAGTAATACTGTGATAATACCAGCTCAGGTGCGGATCCCTGACTATCCAGCGCCTTGGGACAACCTCCTGATGTGAAAGGCGCTATACAAATGTAATTTGATGTTGTTGATAGGGAGAGCATTTTGAATATTGTTTCTAGGTAACTGGCAACTCAATGTAATCAGCTCTGGTGGGCATTTTTCAAGAATAAAAAATAAAGGAACTTTACGTACATCATATAAAATAAAGGATTGAGTATTAATTATTATAAAGTATTACAGTCACTGATGTTCCCTTGGTGGGTTTTGGTCTTGCAGTGACGGAGAACTAATCTGGATTAGGAATATGAATGTAATCTACTCCTGATCAACCATTATTCTATTTATATTCTACTTCCTAAAATAACATAAAAATATGCTTATTTCTTTTCTAGACAACAAACATGTTCTACATAGTGATTATGATGGCGATTGTTCTGCTGAGCTTTGGGGTGTCAAGACAGGCCATACTTTTTCCACATGAACAGCCCTCTTGGCATCTCGCTCGGGATGTAGTGTTCCAGCCTTACTGGATGATGTTTGGTGAAGTTTATGCAAGTGAAATTGATCGTATGTATTCAGTAATATGTGTTCCTGTAATATTCAGAAATGTATTAGTTGAACATTTATGGATGAGGATAACCTTTGGGTGCAAATGTATTAACTAATAATAATCCTTGTGTTTGATGTATACAGTAAAATGTAAATTTGTTCTTGCTGGTGGTATAGCGCCTTATCACATTGCCAAATTGTCTCAAAGTGGTTCACAAGATTTTACTGTGAAATGTAGTGGCTGTGTATTTGTAGCCAAACACATATATTTAATGTGTACATTAGGATGAATAATAATAATCAATAAAGTGGTTGAGGGGATCAGGTAGAAAGGCACAGGGTTGATGGACCCCTTTATGATAATTCTTTTGATAGGTGAAAACTTGTCATACCGACTGTGCAAATAGCTTGTCTCAGGTGTCAGCTTGTCTCAGTTGAGCGCACCTGAGTCAAAAAGTTGTGGGTTCAAGTCCCCTTTTGGGACTTTGAACTCACAGTCTAGGCTGACACTCCAATTAGGTGCTGAGAGTGTGCTGCATTGTTGGATGTGCCGTCTTTCAAATGTGATGCTAAACTGAGATCCAGTTTGCCTCCTAAGGTGGATGTTAAAGATCCTGTGGTGCTATACAAAAAGGTAATGGTTTCCTGACCAACAATCCCCGAAATAAAATTGGTGCTGCATTTGCCTACAAAACACACACTTTATAGCATATACTGTGAAGCACTTTGAGAGTCCTCCTCACGTGAAAGGTGTTATACCAAATGTCGGGATTATTATATAATATTTTAACTAAGCTCTGATGCAATCTACTCCCAGAGAATTTTCCTTATGGATTGATGGGAATTCTAACAGGAAATTCTAACTTCATTAAGGAATTGCGGCATTGTAGACTCCATTGTTTTTCCTTGAACATATTCAAGACTGAGTTAGATATATTTCTTATTGCAAAAGGTATTAAGGGATATGGGGATAAGGCAGGGTTAGGTTATTAGCTGGAGTTAGATTAGAAGATCAGCCATGATTGAATGGTGGAGCAGGCTCGAAGGGCCGAATGGCCTACTCCTGCTCCTATATGTTATGTTTTAAACAGCTGTTCTGTTATAATTGCAGCTTGTAAGGACAATCCAGATTGCCCTCCTGGTTCATTTCTCAACCCATTCCTTCAGGCTGTCTACCTGTTCGTGCAATACATTATACTAGTCAACCTGCTCATCGCTTTCTTCAAGTAAGGACCACGCATTTTGTAAATGGTTGTGCTTTCAATATGTATGCAGGATGTCACTTTGGCTATTATTCTTTTATGTTCTCCTCCCTACCAGCAATGTGTATTATGAGATGAAATCCATGTCCAACGAGCTTTGGAAATACAACCGCTATCGTTATATTATGACTTACCACGAGAAGCCCTGGCTGCCTCCACCGATCATCATCTTCAATCACATTGCTATGTTCATTGGCAGAATCTGTCGCACTCGAGCGAAGAATGAGCTTGCTCAAGAGGGAGAACATGTGGGCTTAAGTGAGTACGACCAATAATGTTTCCTTTTATAAAGTAATGTCAACATCTCATAGAGTTTCACAAGTAATTACTGTCAATTGCAGTAATGGTGCATTTTTAGGCAAGCTAGGCAGCCAATTTTCAGACTGCAAAGTCCCACGAACAGCCTTGAAATGGATGTTCCATTTATCTGGATTATTGGACACTGGGAGAAACTCTGCGTTCTCTTTGAATATTCCAACGGGATCTTTAGCATCCAACTGAACAGGATTGATTGGGAAGTAAAGGAGTGCAGAGAATGTAAGATTCCTGAATCCGTGTGCTTCTCTACTGTTCATCAGTGATAATGCTCTTTACCCCAGTCAAAAAAATATTGTTACTTACCCAATAGATTGCGGAAATATGTTTACAGTCAGTGAAGCTACTTTCATGGAAGAGACAAAGACTCATTTAAGGTTGAGAATTTAAATAGTCATGGTAAATAAATGATGTTGACATTTTTCTGCCTCATAGAGTTATATCTCAGTAATGAAGAGTTGAAGAAGTTGCATGACTTTGAACAGCTGTGTGTGGAGAAATACTTTCATGAAAAGAATGAAGCCTTCCAGTCGAGTGAGAGTGAAAAAGTCAGAGTAACGACAGAAAGGTGAATCTGTATGAGTGTTCTTCTTATGTTATCTGTAAATAATTAGTAAAACCTTCTGCTTACAGGAATAGTGTGTATTCAATGTGTTGCTACAGACCCAGGCCTAGTTTATATTTTTCTTATTATGTGTTTCTTTATTTCCTCCTCCCCTCAATTTTGAACAAGAGTGGTAGTCTTTGTTAAAGGGGAAAGGTAGCTGGGACAAAGATGTCAATGGCCATGGTTTTCTTCCTCTCATTAGCTATGGCATCCCTAAATCCTCATGGTATATTTACACATGCGACATAATACAGTTGTGTTTTACACATGGTGCATAAAGTGCTCCTTTTTGGGTTTGGCTAGATAGTTTATCTGCTCCTGTGCAATTCTTTGTTCCTAAACCTACAGTAAATTGCAGCCTGATGACCGACTTGCCATCTCCCTGGAAAAAAAATGAAGATCTATTTTATTGGTATCTTTTGATCATGAGTTCTTGGTGACTTCAGTTGTTCAAGGTCTGGTCCAGTGTAAAGCAATGTTTTCACTTGGTTTGTTTGCGCACAAAATACAGTTTAAAAACCTTTATATTTTACAGTATATCCTGTCAAGCACTTTGAGATGACTCAACAATGTGATAAAGAGTTATGTCAAAGGCAAGAGTGATATTATAATAAACAGGAGGTTCCTGAAGGAATGCCATCATTGAGATGCTAAGCTCAGGTAATGCGGAACTAAAGATGTCTGATTCTTATTTCTAGAGTTCGGGAGATTGAGATACATTTGAAAGATGTGAGTGAAAAAATGTACTGCATCAAGGAATCCTTGTACTGTCTGGATAGTCAGCTTGGACACCTGCAGGATCTCTCAGCCCTGACCGTGGACACTCTGAAAATGATCTCTGTGGCGGATAGTTTAAAAGTGAATGAAGTGTTTCTGGGGAACGTCACAGAAAACGGTGACTGTCACCGGTTACCTCGCCACTGGACTCCCACTACCTCATCAAAGTCTTTGGACAACTTTTGTGTTGACATTCAAAAGACCCACAATTATCTCAGTGCCCCACCTGCGTTGATCCATGGCTTACCGAAGGGAGAGCAGTCACCAATATGCTATTCTAACACGAATGTCGCACCCAGGACTCCTGAATGGGAGAAGGGGGAAGAGGAGCAGATATCAATTGCTGATAGAGATTATTGTAAGCAGAAAACATCGGAAAGTGATACCCTCACATCAGGGGTGTCATCTGAGCCCAAGTCACCTCATAAATATAGGCAGCTTCTCCTTGACCAGTCGTCTCTTGGGAGCTCAGAGTGCTCAGAGTTCCGCTTCAGTTTGTCACTTCCCAGCACTCCGACCTTGCCCAAGTTGAACTTCATAGAAGAGATGTGGGAGAAGAGCCCCTGTAGTATGCCGGCACAGTTCAGCCCTCACAGGACAGGCCCTAATGATACCAAAGAACCTTGGGAGAAGGGAAGGGTTACAGCTCATGTGTCACCTGTGAGAAGTGCTGGGTGGAGAGGCAGCCTCCCAACCAACCCACTGGCCTCTGTTGTGAATAATACATCCCTGTCATCGGGCAGCCACAGTGAACAAAGTGAAGGGGGTTTTGTCAACTGGGCTTTCAATGAAGAGGATGAACCAGGGATCCACGGGGTCAGTTTGAAGTTTCAGAAGGAAAGGTTTCCACAACCTATATACCATGCTGACTGTAACTACATGGACCACGATCCACATATTGACGAGCCTCATGTCTATAACTCATACAGTGCTGGGAGCAGCGCTGACAACTTCGAGTCCATCTCTATGCGACGGAGAATCCCTCCTGCCCGCTGGATATATCCATTGAGAATGAACAACTATTATTGTTGGAGAAGCGGCTTCAGGCGCAAGAACAGAAGTAAAGTAAAAGGTACCGTCTTACTGGTTCTCTTTTATTCATGGCCGATTTGTAATGGGGCAAAACGCTGTAACCCCTCGAAACCACAAGTTTAAAGTTCAGGGGTTATTTTCTCACACTTTGGAAGGTGCTAGGTAATGGGCACTGGGAGTAAAGGTTCCTCCCACTTGGCTCCTGTTAACACTGCAAGCCAAAGCCCTAAAGGTAGGGTGGTCCTAACTAGACAAGCAGTGCTGAAGATGGACCAGAATCTGGAGCCCTGGCAGGTTTTCCCCTCCCTAACCCAGCATGGACCAACCCGGTATCCCCATGATCCCTGGCCAAGATCATGAAACTCAGCATAGTCTGAGATTTGAACCATTGAGCCTTGGTCCTTCAGCTTCAGCTCTATGCATTACACCATTGGGGATTTAAAATTTTAAGATGAAATAATCTTGCAGTTCCTCAAGTCAATTGTTGTGTGTTCAAGCAATCACATAGTCTGAGATGACACTCCAATGCAGTGCCTTCCTTTGGATGAAACATTAAAATGAGATCCTGCCTGCCTGTTCAGATGGGCGTTAAAGATCCCATAGCACTATTCAAAAAGAGAAGGGAGTTTCTCCTGGTGCCCTGGCCAACAATCCCCCAAATAAAATTGGGTCATTGGTCATGGCAGTTTGTGGTATATTGCTGCGTGCAGGTTGGCTGCTGAGTTCACCCACAAAATACACACAGCTACATCACTTTACATTATGTCCTGCAAAGTGCTTTGAGACGTCTCGACGACATGTTGAGGTACTATAACAAATGCAAGAATTAGTGTTATTCTAAAGTGCATGTAGTTGTGTGATCTTTAATTCATGTCTCTGCTTTTCAGTCTTTGCAAAATCTTTAGATCTTCGGCGATCAGTCAGACAAAAGAGGATACGAAACAATGAGAAGTTTAGGGTTCAAAACAAGCCTACAAAACTATTCATGCCGGTGGGTAGAAAAAGTGTGACTGATTTTACTCTGAATGTATTCCTGTAATTTTTCAATTGGATTGATTCCTGTTTTTTACCGGTGTCACAAACTCGGTCCCCTGAATGTGGATGAGTTCTACCCGACTGTCTGCTGGGGCATCTACATGGATGATATTAATGCTGTAGGATTCAGTACCTTACAGAGATGTCACAGTTACAGGTCAATTCCAAGGCTGTTGTAATTATGAAGACTGAATCAATCGTATGTTTACCACTGAATTTTAATCAAGAGTTCATAGAGATGGTAGATTTTACAGTATATCCTTGATACGAAAAGAATAACAGTTACAGATAGATGTGTTGTTACTTTGGCTCTTTGTTCTACACTGTGTATAAGAGTAGCACCTTTGTAATGCATATTATAGCACTGGGACAGCACAAAGCGATTTCCCATCCAGTTGTGTGTAAGATAAAATTGTGTATAAGTGGTAAAAAAATACAATGTTATCCCAGCCCCCCCAACTTCGCAGAGTGGTGGGAGCCAAATATTTTATTGTCTGCCCTGTTCTCTTTGATACATGTCTGAACCCCTGTGTCATTCCAGTGAGGCATTGCAAAATTATATAAAATATAATGTTATAGTACTTATAGCTTTTGATATTAATTTTTCCATCATGTGTGAGAAGTAAAGGGTATCAAGAGACAGCTGAGCATGTATTCTCCTCTGTGCCCTGTTACTTTTATGACTGTCAGTAATAGTCAACTGGGAGCGAGCACAAATCCCACATACTTGGATCACAGAGACATTCAGCTCATAGATCCTGTTCTGCAAGTTTATTCCAGTTTATTAAATCATAACAGATCCTTTAATCCCATTTCCCATCTTTTATCCTTACTGGATATTTCTGATGGATGTATCTGAATGCCAACACGTGGAGTTCTGTAGCTCAGTGGTTAGAGCACTCGCCTCACAAGCGAGAGACCTGGTTTTGATTCCCAGCAGGGCGAAACACTGGGCAAATTTCCTTACTCCACACCCCTCTGTTTACCTAGCAGTAAGTAGGAACCCAGTTGTTAATTGATTGGTGGATTGCTTTTCCGGGGGTAATAATTAATTCAAAAAATACATAAATAATTGGTCACTAAATCCACAACTGGTTGTGGGACATGGCTGTGCGCAATTGGCTGCCGTGTTTCGCCCACAAAATATACAGTCAATTCACTTTATAGTATATTTTGTGAAGCACTTTGAGACGTTCTGAAGACGTATTTATTATTTATTTTTTATTATAACAAGGGATTACTTGCAGAGATTTGTTTGCTGTGTCTGTATTTGAGCTGATCTCAGTACTGATGTATGATTGTGCCAATGCTTATTGCAGAGCAGTACCTCCAGAGGATTGTATATCTGCTGTCTTTCTCTTCGGCCACTATTTCCCCACTTCAAAACACTTAACAAACTCCATTTATCTTGTGCCTACTCTCCTAACCTTCAAAACCCTCTTAAAAACTTAGAAAATAATGATCCTCACATTTCATATATTGCCTCATCAGGCTCCGGTCTGCTCCATGTCTCCCGCCCACCCCACCCTACCATCGGTGGCCAGGCTTTCAGCCTCTCTGCCCCCATACTCTGGAACTCCATCCCACGGTCTTTTCGCCTCGCTTCCTCCCTTGCATCTTTCAAGGCCGGTCTCAAGACTCTTCTCTTCGACCGTGCCTTTGGACTCCCTCCCACCTCTCTGCCTTCCCTCACCCCTACACCACCCCTCCCCCATGCTCGGGTCCTGACATCTGACTATTCAGCGCTTTGGGACGTCCCCCCGACATGAAAGGCGCTCTATAAATGTAATTTTGTTGTTGTTGTTGCCTTATCATGTTGTCACCCTGTCTCAAAGCACTTCACAGGATTTATGGGGGAGTATATTAACTGTGTCATTGTGATAGCCAATTACACAAGCAGCACAAATAAGTGAATGACCAACTTTGTTTTGGGGATTGTTGACTAGGACACTGGGAGAAAATTTACTCTTTTTTGAATTGTGTCATGGGATCTTTATGTCCATCTGAACAGGCAGACATCTCATCTGCCTGTTCATGTAGACATGAAGACAGTTTAACATCTCATCCATAATGTAAGGCAATATTGTGAGTTCAAAGTCCCAACGTAGGGCATGAACCCACAACTTTCTGACTCAGAGACGAGAGTGCTACTAAGTCAGGCTGAAACCTTTTTGCCATTTCTTTGACCATACCTTTCGTCAACATTCTCAAGCTCCCACTCCTTTACTCCTGCTCAGTGATCCCCTCATCTTTGTCAAGTGCTTCGAGATGTTCATGCTACATGAAAAGCACCCATATAACTACAAGATATTGTTGTATTGTTATAGTTTGACCATATTCTAACCTTACTCTTTTCATTTGCATCCCTGCCCAGACAATCGGGGTAAATAGGTGCCTTCGGATCAGCTCGAACTCTCCTTGGCATGGCACCACTGAGTGTGACAAGAATATGAATGAGGAGGATGGCGCCGCAAAGTGGCTAATGAGCCCCTCTTTCAAACAGTTAGGTATGTTACCCAAGGTCTTACCACTGGTACCTTAGAGGACACAGGACGCCTCTTGTTGGCTTTGAGAAGTAAGTGGTGTATGATTTGCGATGGGAAGTGCTGAATTAAGTCTCCGTGGTCAAATGAGAAGTTGAATTGAGATGGTGCTTTGATCGCTGGCATTTTTATTTGCTCTCTGTGGCGATTGTTTCACTCTCTGTTTTGGGCATTTTGTCAGCTTCCGGGAATCACTGTCTCAATTGAACTTCTCATTTTGGAAATGACAGTTAACGTTTCCCCGCCCTTTAGTAACTCATATTTTAGGTGAGCTCTTTTGAGTTCTCTGCCGACAATGAATTGTAAAGTGGTGGAAGTAGATTTTGGAGAAGCTGACATCACTGAGCCTTGCTGGGTTTGCAAGGGAAGCTGGCTGGTCAGCAGTGGTGAAGATTTTTGGTGGTTGTTGGGGGATGCCGCTGACATCTCGAGAACTGATTCATTTGTCCAGTCAGTGACAGGAGCACAAAGTATACCACACATCAGTATACTGCAGGTTCACAGCAGTTCCTGTGTTATGTTCATGTATACTGAAGTACTCAGTAACTTGGTCAGACTGGAATAACACGGGTCAGGAAGAGGAAACGAAGGGGAACTACTCAGAGGTGCAAACAATTATTGTTGTTTTGTTTCAGCAGGTTACTCAAACCCAGGATTCTGTGACCAAGAGAGTGACTTGGTAGCAAAAGAGTCCAAAGAGATTCTGAAGACATCATATGAGGTGATGCATTGATTGCGCTTTGAAGGCCATTGGGAATTTAATGCAGATTTATGAGAACCCTAGGTTTAATACATACAGCTGCCTTACAGATTGTTTTATTCACTTTCTATTTATGTGCTGGTAATACAGATAGCAGCAGGTGGAAAGCACATTGCATGCCCATAATACATCCACCTGAACTTGAATTAGTGTTAGGCAAAGCAAGCTGTTTAGTTTATAGCACTGGGAAGCTATAAACTCTTCTCACAGTCAGAAGCATAATGCGGTAGTGCAGACTCATTGCAATTTTCTCATAGTTTGCTATAGGATAAATCCACAGCTAGTCAGGTTAATCAACTAGGCAGATTGTTCCTCCTGCAATTTTGTGCAGACAGCATTCGCCATTATGAATGGCTGTTCTGTAACTATGATCGATTTTTTTGCAGCACTCGTAAAGTGTGCAATGTGAGAACCAATTTAGATTCATTGAAGCCCAACAACCATGCACATGTAGAGAGAGCGGTGTGGGCCTTCCCTGATCAGCGTGACCCTTTATTCAGTCCTTTATTTGCTCTTCTTTCCAAATTTGCACCTGGGTAATCATAGAAAACTTATAATCCCTGCAGTTGGTATAGTCGGGAGGACATCTCAAAGCTCTTCACAAGATTTAGTAGTGCAACCAAATTATGTCCACAACCATGAAGTGAATGACCAGAAGAAGGGAGGTGTCTCAAACATCTTCACAGGATTTACTGTAAAGTGGAGTGACTGTGTACCTTTTCTACACACTTGATAAGTTAATTGACGTTGATACTGCAGTTAGTTACTTGCGGATGTCATTTCTCAACTGCGGCTGGCAGCTTTTGGGGAAATGCTGTCTGATTCAGTACGGGTCACTGGGACACAGCAGGGGAAAGCAGTTTTATTAAACTGGATGCAGTGAAAGGCGCTATATCAAATTTTAGAATTATTATAAAAAAAGTAATTGTTTAAATAAGTATTAATTGTGCCTTTAGAGGGAGAATTTTTCTTTACTCCCTGAATGGACTGAATTTTTCCCTGAGTCTGGTGTACAACTGCCATTTACTTACATGCCATTACTTCTCAAATCAACCAATAAATGGCCCATGTCTTGTCCCAGCCTCAGCAGGATAGATATCAGTTTGTGTGATCCAACATGTAGGTAGAAATTCAGCCTTGGTCTAGATTCACTCTATTCATGTAATTTTTCAGAGCATCCCACAATTTGTCAGATTCTTAAGTACAGTCTTTAATTTTGAAGGTCGTTTTCTGTGAGTTTCCTTCAAAAACGTTCAAGAAATTAACACAGAATTCAAACAATTTGCCAGATTCTGTACACTGTACATGGAAATGCTACTTTAGTTGAGTAAATCTAAATCCAAGTGGAATATCAACCCTATGGTTACTAAACTCTTCTGAGTTGTGGGGATGAAGATCTTGATGAGAAACAAAATGACTCCCTCATATTAATGTTGATTTTCAGACTGGAAGTGATCACTCCATGTGGAGAAGTAACCTGAATAGGAAATGCCTGTAAGTATGGACCTATGTATTTTCCTACCTAAGAATGTTACTATTTCCTCAGTGATTCAAGCTTGATTTACCACCCAGTGCCAGGTGACTTTAAGTGAGCACATTGCAATGTTCCTAAGATTCCTTCCCTCAGAGTCACTGTGCTGCATCTTCAGTCTACGAGCCAACTGAATTTTTACATCAATGTTAAGCTCAGTGTTAAGCATTACCTATACTGTGCTGCAGCTGGCAGCATTGCACTGTGCAAATGAACTTCAGGATTTTGCTCTCTGGCCTGTTTTACTGCTTTTGCAGCTTTTAGAAACTTCAATTCAACATTTTGCAAATACAGTATCACAAAATTAAATATTCAAAGAATATTCTCTGGACATTGCTATTAGAGCATCAAATATGTTTGTCAATACCAGAAAATAGACCCCTTTGTTGGTTCCAGTTTGATGGGCAGGAGACAACTCGAATTTAGGTGCATCATTGTCTTTACACAGTTTGTCATTTGTCACAACTAATATTAGACCAGGCCTCGTGCTGATGTGATGATTCCGACATTTCACCCTAAATAAATTGTCATCATGTTACACACGTGGCAGTTCTGTACTGCTCAATTTTATTAAATTGTAGAATAAGCAAGACTATCGCAGAGCAGATACACCATTTCCCATTCAGTAGCCAGACCAGGATTGCTGACGAGGACATGTGGGTAGTTCTTCCTGGCAAGTGGCAGTAAACAATACTACAGATGTAGCAATTTTATGCTGCATTACCCATTACAGTTATACCATGCTTCTGTACACTGGGAGTCAGTCTATAATGCGACTACACCTTGTGCTACCTTCTGATGTTAACTGGGCAGATTCTTGGCCCAGGAGTCAGTGTGGAAGTTAGACATGCTCCAGTTGCTCGGACCTGGTCTCACTTCAATCCTGGTTTCACCCAATGTCCATGAGTTCATCCTTTCCAGCAGTGAAGGAGCAACAGGCATGGGTTATTTCCCCTGACTGGCTGAAGGCTTCTCAGGTTAATTATAGAATTATAGAATTTGGAAGGGAATCATTCGGCCCATTGTGCCTGTGCCAGCTTTTGAAAGAATTGTCCATTTAGTCCTAATCTCTGCCCTTTTCATTATATCCTTTTATATTGTCTCTTTTTCAATCATCCCAGCCCGACCTTAACTTGACTGAGATGACCACAGATGGGCCTGCTGCACATCTTCCCTTATCCCAGTACCACAGCCCCTCAGTGGCCCAGACTCAGTCACTACATCCTTAACCTCTGTGTACCTCCGCCTTTCCCCCAACTTATAAATCTACCTGTTTGACTGTGTTGGACGTCCTCTCGATGTGAAAAGGTCTACACAAATGTAATTTTGTTGTTGTTGTTTGTCATATCCCAATCTCCCTTGCTCAGCATCTGATTGTTGTTGTTGATTTAAACCTGCATGTGTATAACTTAATGTAACAGTGGGTGGTGCTGTTATCCACAAGACTATTGAGAACCCCCACCCGTCGACATTGAGTACTTGCTCAGTTATGTGGTTATCAGTCATTACTTTCAGCATTCGGTGTCTCATTGTTTGACTTGATTCCTCTTTTCCTCCACAGATCAAATTCATGTATTGTAGATGGTAAGTACCAGGATTTAATCTTTTTTTTAATTTTCCATCATCTATAGATCAATCGTGTGAAATAAATTTCAATTATATTTTTTACAGGAGAAAGGATCGAACCGTCCTTTCATACTTGTTCCTTTCATTCACTCCTCATACATCCTAGTACTGTACAATATTTTGCCAAGCAAATATTTAATGCTGAACATTTTTTGAAGGAGTTAATATAACAATAATAATAATTCTTGCATTACATATAGCGCCTTATCACATTGTCGAGACATCTCAAAGTGCTTCACAAGATATATTGTAAAGTGGATTGACTGTATATTTTGTGGGCGAAACGTCCCACAAACAGCCGTGGATTGGGTAACCAGTTTTTATTTGGGGAGTTTGTTGGCCAGGACACCGGGAGAAACTCCCTTCTCTTTCCAAACAGTACCAGTATCACTGCGCCAAGCTGACACACTAATCAAAGCATCAGTATATTCACTATTCCATGGGGAAAGTAATTTGATCTGTAGCCCCTCTTGAGGTTCTTTAACCTTAAATCTAAAGTTTTGCTACAGTTACAGTTCTGCTCTTATGGTCTAAATCAATTATCTGCTTATGTTAACATCATCTAAGCCTCTTATTGTTATTGTCAGTGAACCTTGGCATGGACAACTGTTGTTGTAGTCCCTACCAATCTGCCCGCTCCCTCCATTCGGCGGGCTCCGGTCTGCTCCATGTCTCCCGCCCGACCCGCCCTACTATCAGTGGCCGGGCTTTCAGCCTCTCTGCCCCCACACTCTGGAACTCCATCCCACGGTTTCTTCGCCTCGCTTCCTCCCTTGCCTCCTTCAAGGCCGGTCTCAAGACCCTTCTCTTCGATTGTGCCTTTGGACTCCCTCCCACCTCTCTGCCTTCCCTTCCCCCTACACCACCCCTCCCCCATGCTCGGGTCCCGACACCTGACTGTTCAGCGCTTTGGGACGTCCTCCCGACATGAAAGGCGCTCTATAAATGTAATTTTGTTGTTTTTTGTTGTTGTTGTTGGATCAAATGGCACATTTCAGTTTTGTACAGTCTCTGCAATTCTATGTAATAAATTGAACCAAATAAAATGTAAGAATGACTTACAAAATATGGTTAATTTATTTTATAATTAGGATCATTGTGTTTGTTTCAGGGTTCCCTGACGCATTCAAAACTTCCCAAGATCTCAATCATCATTACTCAGGTAAGTGAAGCCTGGGCACAAAGCGTATGAGTTGATTGCAGCAGATGATCTGCTGAGCTCCCCAAGTGAGGCAGTTTGTACACTGAAGATGAAGTGAGGCAACGGTATATCAAGCCACATGGTGGGATGTATTTGCATCCCATGGTGTGTTAATTATCACATTGGTGATGGATGAGATCAACAAAACAATAACTGAAGATCTCCCCCTACCTCCATCACAGAGGGTGGACCTGAACACAGCCAGAGTTAGATTGTCCATTCACAAAACCATCACATCACAAGCAGCACATTGCCAACAAAGCTAAGAGGAGTGGTGATATTCTGCTCAAAATGCTTTACCTGTCTGGTCTCTCTAAAGCTAATGGCTGCAGAGCATCTCACTGTAAAACAACAACTTCTGCTGTGTGCAAATGAGCTGCTGCATTTCACCTACAAACTACTTAGTCTACTTTACATGACATTATATCTTATGAAGCACTTTGAGGTGTGCTTCTGATGTGAAAGGTGCTATATCAGATGCAAGGAATAACGTAACTTTTATTTATATAGCTCCTTTCATGTGGATAACATCTTAGAGCGCTTCACAGAAGTGATCCTTCTGTAGGGAAGGGATTGGATACGAAGGGAGACCCAACACTTGCACTTCTCTGGATGATTCTGCATGCAGGTCAATGATTAGGTCATCTCCTCTCTCACACCAGTGAAGGGGAGGATATCCGAAATCTAAGTGAAGAGATTAATGCAGTAATAATATAGTAATAATCCTTGCATTTGATACAGCACCTTTCACGTCGGGAGGATATCTCAAAGTACTTCACATGATATTCAGTAAAGCGTAGTGTGTTTTTTGGCCCAAAAATCAAATGGTAAATTCTGTTGTGAGGTATTTTAGCACTGTTTTAAATCTCATTAGATATTTCATATTCACAGCTGTTGAAAGAAACAATTTAATGCGTCTCGCTCAGAGCATACCGTTCACTCCTCTTCACTTATTTGGTAAGTTACAGCATTTTGTTTCTTCCAGGCTGGAGCCGGGAATTTACAATTAGAGCTTAAGCCTGTTTGACGTGAGATCAGGGAACAATTCATTACACAGAAGGTTGTGAAAATGTGCAATGCACTGTCTCAGAAGGGTATGGAAATAGAATTATTTGGGATGTTTAAAACACAGTGCAGTACAGTGCAGTCCTATCCTATTCTAATTCATTTCTTTGTAGTGTAAATTCAGTTATAACGGGATCACAATACAGACCACATTCATTGTGCACGTGTACAGCCAGCCTACTCACTTCCTTCATGCCACTGGCTCCCATGCTAAAATGTACATAATTCCGGGTCATTAGCTTGTCACCAATATCCCTTCTAGTAAGTTGAAGTGAATTTATGGTAAAAAGGAGAAGTGTCTCCAAGCCTTGGCTCTTGTCAACCTGGACCTAATACTCTTTTGGAATTAGGTAAGCGGTGTGCACCCACCAGGAAGAGAGTGCACATTCCATTCCAGACACAGGGAAATTTCCGAGTGTTGGTGAAATACATATGTGGTACCCTCAGTCTGGTTTGGATACTCTTAAGCACAGTGATGGGTTTTATGTGTTAGACACCCATGTGACCTAAAATATTTTCCTGCATGTTGCCCACATTACTCAATGTTCAGTGAAAGGAACTAAAAAGACATTTCCATGTGGAATAATAATAATAATAATCCTTGCATTTGATATAGCGCTTTTCACGTCGGGAGGACGTCCCAAAGCGCTTCACAGAACACACTGTAAAGTGAATTGACTGTATATTTGTGGGCGAACGCGGCAGCCAATTGCGCACAGCAATGTCTCACAAACAGTCGTAGATTGAAAATGACCAATTTTTATTATTGTTTTTGGTTTTGGAGGGATTATTATTAGGCGTGTGGAGTAAGGAAACTTGCCCAAGGTTTCGCCCTGCCTGGAATTGAACTCGGGTCTCTCGCTTGCAAAGCGAATGCTCTAACCACTGAGCTACAGGACTCCACATGTTGAGTGGCTGAGCAGTCATTAACCAGGCCTGTCCTTAGCTGCAGCTATTACACACTGGGACTGGTCTGCTATAGTTGCAAAAGACTTTTGTCAATTGTGACTTCTGAAACCCATTTGAGTAAACATTCTGGAGGGTGAAATGCAATCTCTCCCCATCAGTGTTATTTTGCCATCATTAATAACCCAGCGACCTTATTCCTCATGGTCTTAAACCACTGTCTTAACACTTAAAGCCTGAGCAGAATGTTGACAAATTCTTACATCCAGTTTTTAACTGAAAGGTGATTTTCTGCAGTTTTTTTGAGGATACTTTTGGAAAAGATGTTATCTGAATTAAGGGTGAATTTAGAAATTTTCCAAGATATTGTGTAATTTAAAACTTAAGACTGTGTTCTTAAGAACATGAGAGATTTGAGGACTTGGGTGAGGATCCCCTGATGTTTATTATCCTGCATGCAGCTGGTGAGGAGATAACCGTCTACAGACTGGAGGAAAGTTCTGCCACGAACCTTGACAAGAGCTTGTCCTCCTGGTCACAGAATGGGCTGACTGCCATGATCCAAGTCCTTTCCAGGGAGGAGATGAGTGGTGTCCTTCGCAGGGCCATGAAGATAGAGTGCACGTGGTCTGAAGACGGTATGCTGAAGCCTGGCCAGTTTTACATCATAAAGTCGTTCCTTCCGGAGGTGGTCAAGACCTGGCAGAAGATGTTCAATAACAGCACCGTACTCCATCTCTGCCTGAGGGTAAGTCGCTCAGGAAACTGGGGGCGGTGGTTGGCAGGCAGGACATTTTACTGAGTCTTTACTCTGTGAGACCATTCTGTCTTCAAATTGAAGGTCACCTAGAATTGTGAAAAATTCTTTAATTCAGCTTTTTAATGATTGGAAACCCGGTGTCTTAAATTCCACACATGCGTGGACTGAAAATTAGTAAATCCCAAAGTATGTCAGTAGAACAAAAGCTGGTGGTACTCCACCAATTTAAGAAAAATCATGTTTTAAAGTACTTGTTTCAAAAGAACTGCACACGGCTGGGCTATCAAAGTCTAGCTGGGATAAGGCTGATAGCATAAATGACTCTAGAGTCTAAAACAAAGTGTTTGACACATGCGGAAATTCATCACCATGCTTAAGAGTATCGAAACCAAACTGAGAGTTCCATATATATTTGCCACTGATGCATGGAGATTTCCCTGTGCCTGGAATTGAAAGTACACTCTCTCTCCTTGGAGGGGCACACACTGCTTACCTGATTCCAGAGAGTTTCAGGCACAGGTTCACGCTTGTGTTTGGGAGGCACTGCTGGAGTTTAACCAGTTAAAAACGTGTAACTTGCCTACAGCTGCTATTTGGGTCTTGAACATCTCTGGGTTCTCCTTCAGACTGATTGAACCAGGGAGCAATCTAGGCCTTCGGTTCGACCCCCCAACTGTACTTCCTCCCTCATATCCGGTCCCTGACCAGGACCACCTTTTTCCACCTCCGCCACATTGCCCGCCTCTGACCATACCTCACCTCAAATGCAGCCGAAACCCTTGTGCATGTGTTTGTCACCTCCAGCCTGGATTACTCAAACCTACTCCTCGACGGTCTCCCCAGCTCCATCATTCGTGGAGTCCTGTAGCTCAGTGGTTAGAGCACTCGCTTTGCAAGCGAGAGACCTGAGTTCAATTCCAGGCAGGGCGAAACCTTGGGCAAGTTTCCTTACTCCACACACCTAATAATAATCCCTCCAAAACCAAAAACAATAATAAATTGGTCATTTTCAATCTACGACTGTTTGTGGGACATTGCTGTGCGCAATTGGCTGCCGCGTTCGCCCACAAATATACAATCAATTCACTTTACAGTATATTCTGTGAAGCGCTTTGGGACGTCCTCCCGACGTGAAAAGCGCTATATCAAATGCAAGGATTATTATTATTATTATTCAAAAGATCCAACTCATTCAGAACTCTGCCGCCCACATACTGACCCGGACCAAACTCTGTACCCATATCTCACCAGTTCTGGCCAGGCTCCACTGGCTCCCCATCACCGAACGGAACAATTTCAAGATCCTCATACTGGTGTTCAAATCCCTTCACTCCCTGGCACCTCCCTACCTCTCCGACCTTCTCACTCCCCAGTATACTACCCGGCTCCTCCGCTTGACTGACACCAGCCTCCTGCTCGTCCCTCGCATCCTCCACCCTAACATCGGAGGTCGTGCTTTCAGCCACTACGCCCCTAAACTCTGGAACATTCTCCCTCAATCCCTCCAGTTAGCCCCCACTCTCCCCTCTTTCAGGTCCCGCCTGAAACCTTTTCTCTTCAACCATGCTTACGGCCACCTCCCCCCGGCTTGGAGTCAGGCTCCGCCACTGTTAAGCATTCTGGGATGCTACCCAATGTGGATGGCGCTATATAAGTGCAAGTTGTTGTTGGAATCCCTATTAGTTAATCCAGGTACCAGATTCTCAACCGTAACAATTCAAAAGACAAAAGCTGCACAGAATGTCTGTAAAGCTGATTTTGATCTTTGTCTCTTTTTCCTGGAGATATTTATCAGTCTTGCTATCTTCTTCCCTTTAGGAAATTCAGCAGCAAAGGGCTGCCCAGAAGCTCATTTACACTTTTAATCGGCTGAAGCCCCACTCTGTGGCTCACACTCCAAGGTAAGGCATTGCTGCAGACTTGATCTTTGTGTAGAACCATCATATGTTGTGATTAATGCAATGAGTGAGCTTAAGGAAATGTCTTGTCAATAATAAATCGATTTTTCATGGTAGATGTTAACTCAGTAACAAAGGGGCTCAGGACTGATACTGAAAGAGTTATATTAATAACATTAGTAATAATTGATAATAAATAATAATCCTTTGAACAAAAGCAGAAGTCGCTGGGAACACTCATCAGATCAGGCAGAGAGAAAGGAAAGTGAGTCAACGTTTTGGGTCCACGACCTTTCATCTGAACTGGGGTATGTTGGAAGGGAGAGGCTTTTAAGGACTAACAGAGAGGAGGGAGGCAGGGCAAGGAAGACGAAGAAGAAAATGAAGTAGAGGACAGGGGATGATGGTTTAAAGAGGTGTTATTGATGCAAAACAAAGGGGGGATTGCAACAAAGCAGGGGAATAGAGGCGTTAATAATGCAAAACAAAGGTTGGGGGGCATGAAATTTGCAACAAAATAGTCAGACCAGAGAGAGAGAGAAAAGGTGTGTCTGGGAACCAGATGATGTGTTAATGATCACAGAAGAGGGGGAAGGGGAAGGTGAGCTGTTATGGTCTGAAATTGTTGATATCAATATCAAGGCCAGAGGGATGTAAGGTCCCTAGCAGATATATGAGGTGCTGTTCCTCGAGCTTGCACTGTGGCTCATTGGAACAATCCTTGGGTTTAATATCAAAAATATCAAAAGATCTCAAAGTACTTCACAGGTAGTTTGTAGGTAAGTAATTTCTACACAAGATCCCACAAACATCCTTGAAGTGAGTAATGTGTTTACCTAGAGGATTAGTGGGCTAGACTCAAAAGATTGAATAGCGTTCTTCCTTGTTGTAGTTTCTATAATGTGAAATTAGAATGAATTTGGTTAGCCCTAGTTTATAGATTTATCATCTCAAACGTGCACGAGTGGATAATAATAATCCCTGCATTTGATATAGCACCTTTCACATCAGGAGGATGTCTCAGTGCTGTGTATTTTGTAGGTGAATGTAAGTGAATCACACAGTTAATGGGGACTAATTCTGGGGAGTCTCACCCATCTCAACACTCTCTGCTATCACAGTCATGAACGATGGTAATATGTAGCATGTCGATAGAAATAGAAACATCTTTTACATCTTGGCTCCTGGTGTTAAGGCTTCCTTCTGTTGTGCTGTTTCAGGGATTTGTTGTGGAATGGCCTGAAATATGCTGTTACACCTCAATCTGTGGTTTGAAGATTGAAGCACAGAAACTAATCACTTCATATAAGCAGCATAAAATGCTGATCGATATAGGAAATAGGGTGTGTTTTTTAGCTGAATAATAATATTCCTTGCATTAGGTACAGCTCCTTCCACTTCACACATGGAGGACGGCTCAAAATGCTGTGAAGTGGTGTGACTATATTTGCAGGAGAAAGTAGCAAATAATTTGCGTGCAGCAATGTCTCACAAACAGCCATGAAATATACAGTCCTTCCTTTTCCGAGGTTTCTCGAAGTGTTCCTGGTGTATTGCCATTCAGTCTCTCAGTGGCTGACGATGGAGAAGTACCTGGGCGGTGAATTCAGAAAGTACAACAGCAGCAACGGGGATGAAATAATCCCAAGCAGCCGGCTGGAGGAGACCCTGCTGGCTTTCTCCCACTGGACGTATGAGTACACAAGAGGGGAATTGCTCATCCTGGACTTGCAAGGTTGGTATCAGCATCCTCCGCAAGTGACCACCTGTGATTTGCCACCTTTTGCTCTTTGTGTGATGCTCACAGAGTGCACTATCTTGCTGTTTTACATCCTCTTGGTACCTCAGCACTCCACAGTAAGGCAGGAATGTTGGTTTAGTTGTGCCAAATGTGTTGTGTTGATGAGTGGAAGATAGACTGCAGTATTTATTATTTATTAACCATTCCCATTTGTGCTAATTCAGTCAGACCTTCTTAAAACACGGTGCCACTACACTCCGAAACTCAGGAACTCTCTCCCACAGTCTCCTTCCTTCCCCATTTTCAGATCATGCCTTAAGACTTTCCTCCACAACCGTGCCTATGGTCACCTCCCCCGGGCTCGGTATCAGACTTCGCCACTGTTAAGCGCTCTGAGACACTACCCAATGCGAAACTTGCTATATAAATGCTGCTGTTGTTGGCGGCGGTGTAGTTCAAGATCCATTTATAACGTGTGTATGGTGGAACCCATGGGGTACTGAAGGTGCGGTCTGATCTATAGGACTGTCACAAGTTTTCCAATAATATGGTTTATCTCTATCAAATGATCTCAGTAGCTCCAAGAAGACTAGCACTATATGGGTGTGCATTAAGACAGGGTTTACTGTAATTCTGGTCACTGGAAGAAGTTTTCATTTGTGACTCATATTTCTTATTAGAGAATCGTGTTTGAATAATGCTACAAATGGACTATGCTGTCTGCCACTTTCCTGCATCCTTTATCCTCTGTAAAAATGACTTGAAACAGAGGTTTCAATGCAATTGGATGTGGGAATTTTCCTTTGTAATTTATCAGAATTATGGTTAAAAATGTCTAATTTCCCACCTTCTATGTTATGCTTTTTCAACTATGAATATGAAACAAATATGCTGTATTGTTTTGTTTCCCTGTCTTAGGTGTTGGAGAAACTCTCACAGATCCATCGGTGATCAAAGGGGAAGAGAAAACGTGAGTGGTCCCAAGACTTTGGTTTTGGCACTGGTGTGAGTGAGCCTGACAATCTGCTCTCAGCTCAAGTGTGAATAAAGAGCACAGATTGAACTCTGATGCCGTATTTACATGAACACAAACATGTCCAGTCTAGTAGTGGGTCATTCAGCCCATAGTGTCTATGCTGTGCCATTGTGCTACAGTTCACATATTCTAGACTGACATGTCAATGTGGTTTTGGGGGTGCACTGCATTGATATGTCAGGAGGACATTACAAAGCACATCACAGGATTTACTGAAAAATATATTGACAGCATATTTTCTAGGCGAAATTGGCAGCCAATGTTTATGCACAGCACTAGCCTGCAAACAACCTTGAAGGGAATGACCAATTTTATCTCAGTGGGTTTATTGGTCAGGACACTGGAAGAGGCTCCTTTCCCTTATTGAATGGTTCTATGGGATCCTTAGCATGATCAGGCAGAAGGGACCTCGGTTTACCGTCTTATCCGAATAAAGGCACTTCCAGTGATGCAGCACTCCACTGTATTGGAGTGTCAGCCTAACTGTGAGCATTCAAAGACCTGCTGTGGTTCTTGAACCAACAATCTTCTTACTCTGAGGTGAAAGTGCTACCCACTGAGCCAGGCTGAGAAATCAACTGAGCATGTGTGTTGTTTGCATGTTGCTTGTGTCTGGGACCTCCTCCTATCTCCAGAGAAGGTCAGTGTAGGCAATGCACTAGCCACATTCCTGGCCTATGGGGGTGTATTGGCAGGTCAGCCTATCAGTGATAATTGCCACATGACACCTCACAGTGTTTGCCCATATCTTTCTGGGGGGTTTTCCTCGTCCATGAATTGGGTTTTTAAATTGTAACTTTATTTCCCCTTTGTTTTAATTTACATGACATTTAGCTCCAGGGGAATGGTTTTCGGACCGGCTAATCTTGGAGAGGATGCGATGAGAAACTTCACCATAAAACATCATTGTAACTCCTGCTGCCGAAAGCTCAAACTACCAGGTGAGCCCAAAATCAGCACTTTCATTTAAACTGGGTATTGGAATAGGCCATCAGCATATATTCTTGCTTAAGCTGTAATTGTTTATTTTCGTTTATGCCAGTCAGTCTGCAGTATAAACTGGTGTTTCGCATATTCCCTATTAAAAGTCCAGGTAGCCCAGATAGCCACATCCAAATGATATGGAAACTAAATTATTTGGAAAATGCATTGGTGAAATAATTTGGGGATTGGGGTGACATGTTTTGTCTTCCATGTGGTGCTCTATGTGCTCCTTGTTTCCACTCAGCAGCTAAATGTCAGCATTCTGTGTTTATACATTCCCCTTCGGTTCAGCTCTTCTGAAAGTGCTGAACATATGAGACATACTGGGGAACAGTTTCATCTGCAACAGTTATACTTCTGTACCTCACTAAAGTGGTCAAGTTCACGTGTGAAGCTTGCCAATAAGAGTCAGCAGGGTACTCGACTGGGGGAGAAGGAGGTACATCCCAGCTGAGCTTGCTTACTTAGTATCCATTCATGCCAGTCAGGTTGAATCCTTGGTTTCCTTCTCCAACCCAGCCCAATGGAACCGAGACAAGTGTACAGCAGCCTTACTGATGCTGTGGTCCAAGATTAGCTAATTCAGTGCAGGCTAAGCATCAAATATAGGAACTTCCTGGTCAGTCCAGCTCATTTGACACTGGGCAGTGAGCTTAACAACTGGTCCATCAAGGAATCCAAATGGTATTGTTTGATTCCAATTTGTGTCTCTGATCCTGTGCCCATCTATGTGCTGATTACTGTTGAGTTGACAGCGGCCAAACAAGATGCCTGACAATAGCCAAAGGAGACTCCTTGCACCAGTCAGATAGGTTAATAACACAATCCAAGCAGTCTTTCAGAGGATCAACCTAACATATACCTGAACACTTGTTGGTTATACTTTTTTACAATTCCTTTTTGCGAATATCGAATGTTAGATCTCATTGTGTTATCCTGTTGGGTATGTTCTACTCTGCCTCTAATCTGTGTTATTTGGTTGTAGATTTGAGAAGAAATGATTATAACCCAGGAAAACTGAACGCTACATCGAAGATAATTCCTCAGAAGCCAACACCAGATTGTGATTTTACTTCTTCTGCCTTTATTCACGAGGAGAAGTGAAAGCACCTGGTATAGTCTCTTGTTTGGAACAGATGCCTAACAGGAAACTTATAAATCACATGGAAAAAAATGGCTCTTGTTTCACTATTGCAGAGAGACTCAATGTTTAAAAATAACTATTCAGTATTTATCAAGATGCCCATAACTGGTGCTTTTAAAGTTAGGATTTATTTAGTTTCAAACTGCATCCTTTCACGAGCAGCTACTGCCACACACAGGAAGGACAGTTATCTGGACCTCAATGGTGACCGCATTCTTTCTCTGTATTCAGTGACCAGTGGAAATAACTTCTCATTGTTTACATATTACAAAAATCCCTCATCATTTTAAAAGTCTCTTATTAGATCTCCACTCAACATTCTCAACAGCCCAAGTATCTCAAATTTTTCTTCATAAGTTAAACCTCTCATTTCTGGAAATATCCTAGTTAATTTTTTCTGCAGCTGGAAAGTTGAAGAATGAAACTAGATTATCAAACTTAAACCCCAGGCTAATAGTTCTATTAGCTGTTAACGTTTTTAATAAAGTCAGATTATAGAATTGTAAGGCAGAGAAGGCCATTTGGCCAGTCAAGCCTATGTCCAATTTCACTCACAAAATACACAAAGTCGCACCACTACAATAAATCCTGTGAAGCTTTGAGGGTTCTCGATGATGCACTATATCAAACGTAAGAATCATTATTATTATTTTGCCCCATTCTCTTGCCTTTTCTCTACCTTTTTAGATCTTTTCCAAATATCTTGGTCAGTATTTTAAAAGTGCGTGTTCCTGTTTGAACTCTTCAAGCTTAATGCCACCTTAGTGTTCATGAATAGTTCACCCCTAATTCTGAATACTTTCGAATGTCACTGACCTTTCATGAGATTGCAGAAGTAAAACCACATGATGTTGCAAATTTCCAGTTAGACTTGGCCTATGAGACAGACCACCTTGTCTTAAAATGTAAGAGTTGTGGGCAGTTCTTAATTTTGAAGACAGTTTAACCATAGCTCTTAAAATTAATTAGCTTTCAAATTAATAGCAAATTTAGGATTTCTGCATGATCTGAAATTTTAAGATAATCTTTTTGTGTTTTATGTTGATATTAATTTTTTTTGCTGAATTCTGAACCACCTTCAGGGAGGTTGATCAATGATCATGTTGTCAGTTGTAACATTGTTCTGTGACCAGTTTTCTTGATGACATTTCATATCCTCATTGAATCATTTTGATCTTTCCCCCTGATGTAATTTATGTTATTCAGAAATGTTTAATTCATTGATTTTAATACTACAATTGTGACCATTTCTTCAGACTTTAGAACAACATTTCATGCTTCTGGTGATGCTGACACAGCACAGATATGCAGAGTGAATATTGTAGTTTTACTATCTCTGAAATACCCTTTTCTTTTTCTGAATTTAATAAAGTTTCTTCTCAAAATATGGCCTCCTGTGTTTATTGCCTGCCATTTTATTTCTTTATTTTCTTCATCAGAATACATCAGTGTTGTCTGAAAGTTTTAATCCGAAATTAACTAACGCCAGATTGGATTGTTTAACTTTGCTTTAACTTTGTATTGTTTGTGGAACATGTTGACGATCTGAAAAGATGCTATATCAAATGCAAGGATTATTATAATTATTTTATCAGGGTAACCAAATCCAGCAGCGCTAATATTGAGGTGCAATTGTTTTATTCATTTTATTGATAGTTCCACTGTCCAATGATGCTCCTTCTTGCCTCATTGATCAGTTATTGACCTTACCCAAACATTAATAGCCAGAAACAAACATTGCAAGGAATAATAATAATAATCCTTACATTTGGTATGGTGCCTTTCAAGCCAGGAGAATGAACCAAAGCACTTCACAAATATTCAGCAAATAGGTTCTTTAATGTCCACTTGAACAGGCCAACTGGGTCATGTTTTAATGTATCATCCGAAGGACAGCTCCTTCAACAATGAAACTCTGTAATGCTCTTCCTCTATCCTTCTGCCTTGCCCCTCCTTCCCCATCTTCAAGTTGAAGAGGACCTTGCTCTTCAATCGTGTCTACGGTCACTTCCCCCCGGCTCTGCATAGTGCTCCGTCAATGTCAAGTGCTCTGGAACGCTACCCTTCATGAGGGGCGCTATCTAAATGCAAGTTGTTGTCTTTGTTGTTAAGGCTCAGTAGCTATCGTGAAGTTGTGCTCAATCAGCTTTGATCTAAAAGAACTTTCCAAAACTTTGAAATAATAAAATCCATATTTGGGGAAATTGTTGATGGTCTGCGATAGGAATAGTTTGATGGGCTAAATAATCTTTCTTATGCTCTTATTGATATTCTCATTGAAACACACACAAAGGGGGAATTGTTAGAATTATTTATCATACATTTTATTGTTTTTTTAACTCCATCTGCAATAAAGAAACATAAACATAGATTGTCATTTACAGTAAACATTCAGAAATATTCAATGTGCATTAAAAAGACCTCTACTATTATTAAACTATTCTGCTTACAGAATTCAAAATGTCATTTTTTTTCAAATACAGGGTAACTTAAAACTCCAAGCATTTGTAGGTTACTTAAATGAACAAACAGAAGAATTTTGTTATGTACAAGAAAACAGAAGACTGAACTTTTATTATAACTTCCACATTGTGTCAGGGCATTGTGAAGTCTTTGCAACAGAAGATGGTTCTGAAGATTTTTAGTGCAAACTCTTTGGACTCCTTCACTCCCTCCTTCACATTAACCCTTTAAGGACTATAGTAAGGATACAATTGCACCAATTGTGAAGTGTGAATTATCAATAAATGGAATGATAGGGATATGAGGACAAGCCTTTTTTTGTAGATATTTTCATCTCACTGTCTTTAGAATGACCATAATACTATTTTGGTTAAAATAACACATTGTAGATTGTCTAATTGGCTTCTCTTTCCAGATCTCATCATGGGATGTACCCACCAGTCCTTGGTCCAAAACCACTGCAGTCGACACCAAAACCCCGCAAATCTAATGAATGATAATTTTGTAATAAATGGTGGAATGATTTTGGAAAATCGCCATAGTCCTTCAAAGATTATAAAGTGTCCTAAGTAATTTTAAAAACAGAAGTCAAAGGAGGTTTTGAACATTTGAAAATAGGTTATGAGATTACATAGAATGCTAGGGGGTTGTTCTGAAAATAGCCCTATTTTAGCATGCTCAACTAGCACAGTATCTCAGGAACGAGGTGTCTTGAGCTGGATTAAGACAGTCAACTTTTGCCCTGTTCAAAACCAGATGGGGTTGGGTGTTGGGATCATGGGCCAATGGCTTGAGCTCTGAGAGTTGCATTTCCGATGATTAAAATTCACTAATTTAACAACTTTAATATTAGTAATGACTTGGCATCATAAAACCAGTGCAAAAAAAAAGCAAACTTATATTTTAAAACTGCAGAACTCTGTTATCCATTTTAGAGATTTCCAGAAAGCCCACTCATAAACTAAACTGCCATCAACCCTAGATTGATCAGAAAAGCAGATTATTTAATAATAATCCTTGCATCTGATTTAGCGCTGTTCACATCAGGAGGATGCCTCAAAGCACTTCACAGGATTTACTACAAAATGTATTGCCTGTGTATTTTGTGAGCAAACTGATTACTGTGATTGACTGGCTCTTTTTGAGCATGCTCTGAATAAAATGAAAACAGTCTCACTCCAAGATTATACATCCCAGTGTACAGAATGTTTGTTGTACCCAAAGCTCCCCTCTCCTCCTCTCAGATTTTCTGGCACTCCATTAAACCCTCAAAACAGGATGCAGAGATTTCACGACAGACCACAGAATCTTCTTAAGATGTTCAGCAATGGGGGCGAATGTTGCGAATATATACAGACTGAGCCCCGAGGGAGTGAGAAACAACTGCCAGCTTTACTCATAATTCATAGTGATTTCCCAAATCCTTTGCATATTAATTATTAATAATAACATTCATTTGACAAACTCTTTGGGAGCTATAAGTTAAGGTGGACAGTCCTGTCAGTGGATTTGTTTGTCGTTTTACAGAAATAAATCCTAATAGTAAAAAATCCACAAGATTCTAATTACAATCAGTTCTCTGATAAAAAAGATAGAGTACACTCGCAGGAGGCGAACGTATCAATATATCTCACTTGGTCTCTGATTTTTCAGAAAATGTGTTTGTTTTTAAGAACGTTACAAATCAGAATGCCGTATCAGAACTACCGACCCATATTATTTACAGCATTTATTAACAGAATGGATAAAGAACTGCAGCAGCAACTTGATGCCTTTACTCCGAAAAGATGGTCAAGGGTTTTGTCAAATTTAAGGTAGACAAATCTACAGAAAAGGGCAGAGATTTAGTATATTGTAAAGATGGCAGCATGCAAAGCAAACCTCTTGATTTCTGCACTTACATAGCAAGTATTTTCACAATACAAATGCCTTGGATTATTGCTACTAGGATCTAATGCATGTTTGGAATTCTAAACCTTGATAGGAACCTGCTCTTCTGTGACCCTCAAGACAGTGAAACATACAGCACATGTTATTGGCTGAATTCCTATTATGTGCACGAGAAATCCTTTGTTACAGTCATGGATTGCTGTGGTATTAGATTTGTTTTTTAAGACGACAGCAGCTCACTTCCTGAAACCAAAGAACTGAGTTAACCCATGTTTTAATGATGTGCTACCGAAATGTGAGAGTGAATTAATAAAATTATACCACTCTTGGCAATTACATTTATAAATGAAGTGCAAAGACTGTGGGAGAATAGACTTGCAATATTCTGTAGCAATTTAACCTGGAGTACCTTCCTTTTCCATTCAAATAATCAAGTAAGACTGCTTTGATCATTTGACTGGATTTGTGGATCTAAACTGACTCAAGAGGTTCCCCGGGCATCTGGTCACTTACTGCCAGGTTAGGCTGCTACAAGCCATAAATATCATCTTGTAAATGTTGCTTCATTTCTTTTTTGCTACTTTCAGGAATTAGCTATTCACCAATTGGCCCATTTTGGATTCGATTAAGA